GTGAGACCTGCTCTTTCCCACGATGCCTTGCTTGAGTGGGCCAGAGGCAGCAGGGAAGGAAGCAGAGGGAACGGAATTCTAAATGGCAAATGCACGCACACATACACGCACACATACACGCACACGCGCACGCATACATGCACACAAACACACAAACACACACAGGACATTGAGGAACCTCCTGTGCCCATAGTTCAGAAGCTGGCCAGTAGATGGGCTCATTCAGGAAGTTCTCAGCTTTGGCTACTTCCTGTTTGCTGGACGCTTGTATTAGAAGCACAATGTGGAGTGGGGGAGCGTTTCAGCAGCAGTTCACTAAGGGTAATGAGTCAGGCTAAAAATGCTGCACACAAATGCAACAGATGAATGCCTCATGTGTGCATACATTACAACTACCGACGATTATGTTTCAGCTTTCCTCTAATTTCTTCAATCAGAATTCTGCTGTTTTAACTCTGCCTGTTTGCTGGAATCAGAAATAGCTTAACTTTGGACGCATTAAAGTTGAAATTTCATGAATGTAATAAAAGATTAGATTGTATTTGAAAAAATTGGGCGACATGATAGAAATATCCTTTACCTGAGGTGAGCAGTATGATCAGTACGACAGCAAGTCATCTGGAGGACCTCCAGCTGTTAAGGCTATGGCATTTTTTGGGAGAGCTGTCGTATGTTTTTATTTTTTATGAATTAATCCTGCTCTTCACTCGTTTTGGTGAAGGATTAATACTGATGATGTTTATAGAGCCACATTTTTTTACTGAGAGATAGTTTATGGCAGCCTTGTGTCATCAGACCAATTCACCTTGATGGAAGCATATGGAACAGTTAATTTCATTTTGGGGGAGCATTAGCAGTCTTCATTTTGGCTTCACAATTTCTCTTGAAGCATTTGTATATTAACGTAGCTCATAGCAAAAGAAATGTGAACAGACTAACAAAATACAACATGAGTTTTGTCTATAATGAGCACCATATTGGATTCAATGGACCTTCCAGCTGCAAATGCTAGCATTTTGGTTGTTTACAAATGTGATAAAACAGCACTCGTTGTGATTGGGTTGGTTTGTACATTTGCCACTGATGGAAAATTATTTAGGATGACGTTTTCAGCCGTTCCACTTGCCAGCGAAAATGGATATGAGATGGGTCCGGCAGCGCCAGGCCAAGTTTGTGGCTTTATTTGGGATAAAACTTAAGAGAGAAACAAGGCTGACCGCAGCAATTTAATTCAGCCAACACAGAGTCTTTGTAGATGCCATGATGCCATCGGACACTTTATCTGTCTTTAGCTGCCAACATAAACCTGAATTTGATTTTGCGCTTGCTGTCAGTCTGCTTTGCTTCCAAACTTGCCATAGCATTGTATCAGGAAGTTTGATATGTTTGTCTAATGGAACAGGTGGACTACCTATACCATTAGTCAGTCTCCATTGTGCAAACTCAAGCTTTGAGTTGTCAATGTACCAGCTCCCTATACAGGAATTATTTTGGTGTCACTTCTGCATTCCAGGAAGAGGTTGGGACTTGGCATCTGTGTCTTTGTACAGTCAGCGAGTGCAACGCTGATGGAAACTCTCCCAAAATGTTTGCAATAAAAGAAAAAGACACATTGTTAAAAGAGTTTGGTTTCATACAATCCGAGTTTTCACTGTGTTCAAAGTATGCAGCTGAGTAGTTTGCCCACAATCAGTTAATCTCAGTTCTTAAAATAAAGTCTCTCTAATTTATTGGGTCTGCCTGCTTTGCTCATTTTCTCTGTATAAAAAAATTGGATAGGGAAAGAGAGGGGGTGTAGGTTGAGAGATAAACAGGTAGAGAGGGGAATACTGAAATGAAAGTGTGGAGGAGGCTGCAGCCTTCAGGTATGGTGTTGATGTGATGTTCCACAATGTATAGACAGGAAACAGAAAAGTGATGAAAAGAGAGGAAAAGGGGGAAGAGAGTTATATGATGTGTCATAACAGAAGGAAGTGAAATGAAGAGATTGCTGCTGATACGTAAAGCAGCCACCAAGAAGTGATTTCTTTCCCTGTTGCAGAGTTAACACCTGTATCCGGTGTTGGACTCCCGCAACAAGATTTCTTTTCAACAAGAGACAGTAAAATAATAGGAATACACTCAGTAAGGTGCATTCATATTGAAGGTGACAGTGGTGATGTTCCCAACAAAGTGGGAAAACCTCGGATGGATTGCGACCTGTAAATTTCCTGCATCATACAAAGCCTGGAAGCTCGTCAGAGGAACTGTTTAATCTCCTTCTGTGATATCAGCCTGCATGAGAAGATACAGAGAGAGCAGGGGGCATTACATCCTGCTGTATCAAAACCTAGTCTGCTCCTTTGCTGATTTCACTCTTTACCTTGAGATCCCCCCGCTCGATAAGAAACAAACTTACGACCTTCATGCTCGAACAAAAGATAAGACTCTCTGCAAATGTTCTCCTAGTGCTGGGAGGCCTTTTTCAAGTGAGGCCCGCCAAGTGGAAACAGGCCAGCCTCTGAAGTTATAACAGTTCAGCCTGAGACAGACAGGTTTTAACTTTTCTTTCAACCCTGAGTACATTATGGAGGCGATGTAATTCAAGATAAGACTGAAATATGAAGCGCAGACTTAGCAGAAATCCGTATAGAGTGAAAAGAGGATTTAATGAGGGATTTTTGAAAGTACTTGACTGTATTTAGCAGGTATTCTAGAGGTGAGTACAGCCCTGATATCGCAACTTTTAGCCACTTATTTCAGACACAATTTCCGTTTGGATTTAAAGAATTTAGCGTGAGCTCATTCTGTAAAAGTCTATCACTTTGAGCTTCTCATAACAATGCCCGTTTCCTGCTTGGTCTACTCAGCCAAAGTCTCTCCCTAAAATAGTTTTTAAGCTGCACACTTCCATTCAGACATCTCACAAAAACAATGCGCATGTAAAAAATCACTGAAATGGCTAAAAGGGTCTGGAGGAAACCACACATAACCAACAGGAAATCTGCTGCCAACACCCAGTGGAATGGAAACAGAGACTTTTATTTCCTTTAGCTGGCAGAACAAAACAATTTCCCCATACATTTACACTGGATATATCTTATTTCTATATACTTAAGTCTTGGGTCCTTTTCTGTGACATCTGCAGAAATGCACAATGTGGTAGCTTTGAAGGACCAGCCAAAGTCATTTGGACGGTGTGTGGTTAAATGGACACACTGGCCTCTGAGCAGTACAACTAAGCTATAATCTCCCTAAGAATACTTGCAGGGACAGATAGATGAAGAAGAATATAACTTGTTGCCAGTAAGAAAAGAGGGCACTTTAGAAAAAAGAAAATTCAGAAAATCCCAACAGTGCTTAAAGTGCGCAGAGAAGATCTGAAGCCAAATTGCAGTATTTCAGTCTAGCTTGGAACTCTCCAGGATAGTAAAATTTTAACACTCTTCGTTCTAGTGTGAATATAAAACTTGATGTTGAACTTTGCTGAATTTAATAGCTTACTAAAAATATTTTAAGGCTTTCGTGAAGAAAGAGGGTGCTGTCATTCTATATAATTTAAGTATGTGCATATCTCAATAATTTGTGGCTTTACTGCTCTGACTTTTTGTATTTTCTCCCACTTTTTAAACAGAGGGCATTAATCTTTGAAATAGGTTCACAAGCGCTGAGTTTCACTTTTTAATAAGGCTGATAATTTTCTGATGCAGGTAAGCCCTGTAGTTTATAGGGAGCATTACTCAAGCAGGAGTAAAGTGCAGACTATTTCCAGCTGTATACAGACACAGATGAACGGTTGGTAGAGAGTTAAATCAGGAGTAGAAACTGAACAATGAGTGTGTACATTGCTTGTGACTTGGTGCAAGGGTGATTATTTATATTTTATCTGTTTTACACGGCAATGATGGTCCCAAAAGATTTAGCCCATGACCCCCAAAGTGCCAGAGACTGACACCCTCTGCCCCTCAAACTGGTTAAACACAGCGGTGCACACGCTACTTGGCCTATCCAAAAATGAGCATTCGACTAAAACAAAGCAACCCTACAGCCAAACAACCATAATTTTATTTCTTTGTAATTCAAAAGAGACTAGAAACAGAACACTAGTAATCTCATTTATTGCCTGCAGCTGTTACAGGACAAACTTACAGAAAAAAGTCTTTCGTGTGAAATATTGAAACTTCTTCTATTCATTGTGTTGCTATTGGATGCCATGGGCACACTGGGACTCTCTGCATCTAGTGGTTTGGAATGACAATTTTTATAAATTTTTCTTCCTTATAATGTCCAGTTTATGCAGTTAAAGCAAATGTGGTCTATTATAAAGTCAATACCTATTGGTAGTGGGTTGGTTTTATTGAAAAATCTTTTGAATTAAGGACAAGTGACACAGCTAAAGTGAGTGGGTGTCTCTCTGTGTCCTGGCTGCCTCCAGTTTGTCTGCATCGTAACTGCGCATAAGCTACGTCCTGGATTGATTCCAGACAGAAAATTAAAATATGGAACTCTCAAAATTGGTTGGCTTTTTAGTTTAAGTTTATAAAAAAAAAAAATAATACAACATGACAGGCTGTCACGGTGGCGCAGCAGGTAGTGCACGTGCCTCGCAGTAAGAAGATCGCTGGGTCGGGCAGGGCCTTTCTATGTGAAGTTAGCGTGTTCTTCCCGTGCATGCGTGGGCTCTCTCCAGGCACTCCGCCTTCCTCCCACAGACCCAAAACATGCTCATTAGGTTATTTGGTGACTCTAAATTGCCCTTAGGTATGAGTGTGAGCGTGAGTGGCTGTCTGTCTATCTATGGCCCTGCAACTGACTGGCGACTAATTCAGGGTGTACCCTGCCTCTCGCCTGATGACAGCTGGGAGAGGCTCCAGCCCTCCCTGAAAGGGATAAGCGGAAATAGAAGATGAATGAAAACATGACAAATTACAACTATTGCTGGCGAGATTGTCTTATTTCCTAAAAATAGCTGAGCTCCAAGTGGATGTCCAAGCACATGAGAATATGGAGGTCCACTGTGTTTGCATCCAGGTTGGGAGAAAGCTGTATCAAGCTGACTAACAAGCAGTTTTACTTGGAGAGGTCACATCAGTTTTTCATTAGTCTTTTTGTGGAATTTTTTGTTTTAAAATACAATTAAAAAAGAAATACCTAGTAGAAGCAATGAGAAGATCTTTTTCAAAATTGTTGTTGAATGAGGCTCCTAAGAGGGACAGACGTTGATATTTTAGCCATGGGAAAGGAAGGTCGAATTAAGCAACCAGTCTTTCCTCTCCTGGCAGAGAATCACTGAGTGGAGCCGTGACCTCATCCCATCCTGCTGCACAGGAAAGGTGGATCAGATAGCTGTGGTAGACACCTGCATGGACAGAGGGCCGTATGTTTGGGCAAAGGAGACAGACGGGGACAAAAATAAGAAGGTAAATGTTTATGCAGCACTCTAGATATGGACCTGTGTGTAAGGAAAAGTACTGAATCCAGTGAGATAAAGCGATAACAGCTGAATGAAGACATGGTGGAAACAGACACATTAAGTCCTTTTTGAGCTGGAGCTGCCAGAATACACAGAACTAGGATATTATGATATTTTAGACTTTCCAGAAGGTTTTACTCAGAGAAGAAAAAAGCTGTTTTATTATAATATTCTCCATTTTATCTTAAAGTGGTGAAATCTAGAAATTAGCTTCAGTCCACTGCAAAGGTAAACTTGCCAAATTTGCTAATTTGCTGCTTTGATTCACATCAGAGGCGTCACAGTCTTGTGGTCAACAGTGTGTGTTTGTGTAGCTCAAAGACAGAAAGACTGCCAGCAAGTCCAGTTGTACAGCCAATACAGACAGGCCCCTCCATTAGCTCCTAACCATGCATTTTAAAGTGACCCCCACTGCCGCTTGTTCACCGTCATCCATTGTGCCACACTTATGTCTGTGTTGTGTGAACACAGATTCAAAATATTCAGAATTGCTGCAGAATATAATGTTTTATAAGGTTCAGGAAAGCCTGAATAAGTTATCTGGATTTTACAGCTGGTGTTGGACTCAATTCAAGGCTTATCTACGACTTGGCAGGCCATCAATCTTGGAGGTGCGCTAAGGATTTGATATGTGGACCAGGGTTATCATGGTCAGGCTGTGGATCCTGAGGATAGAAGGGAACTAGCAAACTGGATAAACACAGAAGCTGAATAAAAACCTTCTACAGCTGTTTGTATGTATTTATCTGACTGTGGGAGTGTACATGCATGCATTTAATACAGTGCAAGAAAGAGATTTTACATTAATGAATATGTGCAGATAGAAATAAATCTTACGCTGGTCTCTCTCATCATGGGGAGTCCCACCAATAGTGTCATTACGGGTCCTTAAGCATCTGCGTATGGTTAAAGCTGTGTAATTTCAACTCTGTGGCTCATAAAACAAGATTAATGCTGATTAGAACCACTTAAATGTATTTTACACAGAGACAGTAGGGTTGCACAAACGCAGATACTGACAAATGTCTACTAAGACAAGGTTGCATATAAGATGCAGTTTTGTAGGCATCAAAGAAATATTTAGTATTACCCTCAAAATAAAAGCAAATTAAGCGAATACATAAGTTGAACGTGACTCATATTAAATGCTGATATTGTTCAGCCTAATTAGAAAGTATTGTCTCAATCTAATGTGTCCCTTTTCTGCAAGTAACAATAAAAAGACCTATGCTTTTATTTTGAAAGGAAATGCTTGATAGTGGCACAAAGTTTGTTTAGGTTATATTTCTTATGCGAATCAATACAAAGTAACTTTTCAAGTCTGAGAGTGCTTTTGAAAGGTTTTATATATAAAACTATCTTTAGGCTAGCAAGGATGCTACATGTTGACCAGGGTCAAAGCAAGAGGCATTCATTTAGTCTGTAACACATGGTCAAAGAGCTTTTTGTTTGCATTCATTTTGGAGATATAGCCGATCTCTTTTCGGATTTTTTTCCTGTACATGCGCAAGTTGTGTTTTTAGACAAAGAATCTCATCCTGCCATTTTTTTATTTTAATGCAAGTATTTGACGTTTTTGCAGTGTGCTGTCGGCTGACACCTACCCCCAGGCATTCAAAATGAAAAAAAAAGAAATTGAAATTTTGTTGCTGATGGTCTTGTACAATTTTTGAGGTCATAATAAAGCATCACTATCAATTTCATTCTGTTTTGCAACCAGCTGAAAACTCCCCACAGGAGCTTTAAGCTTATTACAATTGATTAAAGCACTATAGTCTATCCAGGAATGTAACTCTTTGAAGTGGCAAGTTGTCGGACCATGCTTTTGATAAACCGTAATGTACTAATAAAAAAACAACAAACAAACAAACAAACAAACAAAAAAACAGAGGACACTGACAGGCAGCACAGTGATGTGGTGGTTAGGACAACTCTTACTGAAAAGGTTGCTGGTTTGAAGCTGGTGCTGGATGGAAAAATGGTGCTTTTGTTGGATGGTCCCAAAAAAGTGAAATGATGGAGCAGGACTGGTGAAGGGTCAAAAAAGAGAGTGAATAGAAACATTGAAGAATACAACATACCCTTGTGGAGAGAGTTAATTTTTTCGATCAAGCACTGAAATAAATTTCATATTCATCATTAATAGACTCCCTATTATACACATGTGATCTTACTATAATACAAAAATTACTTTTGTAATGCACCTCAACCTACAACGTTGTAGTCTTCTTCAAAACTTGGGGTTGCCTTCACACCATCTTTCCCACCTCCTCTACGTCTCCTTTCCCACTCTGATTCAGTGATGCAGGCAGAGGCTTGACCTAAAACCATGGGGTGATGAATGACTCCCATCTTGCTGATGCTTGCAGTCTGGAGCTTGTGTGTGTGTGTGTGTGTGTGTGTGTGTGTGTGTGTGTGTGTGTGTGTGTGTGAACCTCAGCTCCACCGGCTCTGCTGCTTCCTCTTACAGTCTTAAGCTTTAAAGATGCAGACGTATTACTCACTGTAAAACATCTGTGTTAACCTGAAAGCTACTTTTATATGAGATTATTTAAAGATGATTATTCCTTTAGTTGTGTAAAAGCATCTGGACTTGTATTAGTATGACCATTTTTATGGTACCCAAATCTAGAACTATGTTTCTATCAAAAATCTAATTTTAAAATGTATTTTTGTACAAATGTGGATCAATAACATCCTTTCAAATCATGAAACACAAAGAATAGAAGGAGTTATTTTAATGACCAATTTGCATGCACATTACTGGGGCATGCTGAGCTAAACTCCTCCTTTGATGGTGGATGCTGCGCTCCTTTGTCTCAAAGAAAAGTTCCACTGAAGGGAGCTGGGGGGCACCAAAGTCTTCTCTGCAGCCTCCCCACCAGTCTCCTCTAACTCCTCACTGTACTCCACAGCCTGCCTCTCCTCTGTCCCCCCTTTTGTGTTAGCTACCCGAATAAATTAGCAACCCAAGTCGTTGAGGGGAGGAGGAGGAGGAGAGTAGAGGGGGGGCTGGGCCTTGTGGCGGAGGAGTCGGCTTTCAGTCGTGGAGGTGCACAGTTCCCTGAAGCGGCTCTGTATCTGCACACATACACACACATACACACGCAGCGTATCTGAGTGACTGGATGCTGAGAGGGAGAAAAAGAGGAGAGAAGCGTTTAAGATCAACGAGAGAGGGAGCAGAGCACTGCAGGGTTAGAAACGACAGCTTTTACCCCCCAACAGACAGCTAAAGAACCGGAGAGCTTTCCAGCTGATTCAGGCGCGCCGCGCTCACCTGACACGGGGACGCCGAAATAGGACCCTTCACCAGAGGAGTACCGGATTCGAAAACTGGCGGAATTGACTCGACTGTCATTTAAGTGGATATTATGTAAAAAGAAAAAAAGAAGCTCTTTCCAACCAGCCAGCAAGGCTCCATTCAAGATTTTTGTCCCGGTGGATTGTCTGTCATTGAGGGGGAGAATTGAAAACCCGTTTGCATACTAATCAGTGTTGGAGGGGGAGATCCAGAGCGCACATCCAGAGCTGCAGAGTGGGTCAGATGAATGTAAGTGACAGCTTTTGTTTTTTTGTTGTTTCTCTCATCTTGTATGAAAACATGTAAAGAAATGAGCTCCTGCCGGGTAAGCGTCTGGTTCTCTCTAAAGATGGGTGCACCCTGCATCTGCACCTTGCATGCATGAGCCGGTTGCTTTTTGGGGATGTAGAAGACCATGAGAGAGGAACTACAATGCCATCACAAAATCAGTTACGCATGATGATGATGCAGTTTCTTCTATTGATTATTGATCACCATTCATGGCCATGGGTTAAAATGAGTAGAGTCTTTATTAAAGTATATGCAGAGACATTTGGGGGAGGTTAGGTAACAGATTTGAGTAGGCTCAGGATGTCTTATGGAAATATTTAATCGCAGTTAGTCAGTGGTTTCCTCCCCAGGATTTCCATTTTACAGGGAATACACTTTATTTTGGAGAGAGGACTAAACCACTTACTAGGAAACACCACGCTGTGTAGAAAGTGGGCCAGTATACTGTGGACTATTTCTTGGGTCGGTGGAAATTTTAAGCACTGTATGATGCCTTTGAGCAAGGCAGTAGCCACAACAGGGCCTGCTATTATGATGATGGTGTAGGATTTCTCTCCTGTAACTGATCACAAAAACAGAGCCAAAGGGACTATTTCCACAGATGATAATCTGTTGATCTTTCAAAAACAAGAACCCCAGGAGGACTTTTGGTGATTTTTATATCTGGAAAATAGATTTTGACACATTTCTTTCTTAGAGGAGATGTATTTTTAGTAGCCAGCTCTGCCTGTATAGCCTATGTTTACATGTCCCAAAGCTGAAAATGGGCACCCAGGGGCATATTTAAATACCTAACCACAACAGTTATTCCAGTCATATCTGGTGTCTGCAAGCATCCACAGCTTCTGGTTTTGTGTCGCTTTGCAGGATACGGATCTTTGCATTATTACACTATCCACTTACATGGTCCTGCGTGTTCCAGCTCTGCAGACGTCCAGTAAGGGTTTTCTCGTAGAGTGATGAGGCTTGCAGCAGGACGTTTTCTAACAGGAACCATATGGACACGGGTTGATACGGCTGCACCCGTGTACAGCTTAGGTTTATACAAACAACTTATAATTACAGACATCAGCTGCTTATTTGCAAGAAAATCCGATAACCTCCAGAGTTCACAGCTGTGGAAATTAAGACATTTCTTGAGAGATTAGGTTGACCAAAGTTGAATAGGATCTTGAAGTTGCTTATTTCAGTGTGTGAGGAAAGATGTCCAACTCCCTTGACCTTTGAATTAAATTGTTTTTTTTTTAATCCATTCTTGATCCATGATAATTGGTTATTATTCCCATGACAACCTGCATTGGAAGACTTCTTGTTGGCATGTCAAGGCAAAGAGGACTATTAATTCAGTCTAGTGTTGAGTCTCTTTGTAAGGCTTATCAACAAAGCAAACAGTGCTGTTTACTTTGCACTTCATGTGGTTGTCTGCAGCTGAATGGATAAGTGTGGTACTGAACCTCACAGGTCAGGGGCTTTCTTCTCGCTGAGGCTGTGCTCAAAATACACAACTTGGCCAACAGTAGCTAATTTCTTGATATTTCAGTCTTTGGTAAGAGACTACCCAAAAACCTCATCCACTCTGTTATTGACTGGATTGTTTTGGATGCATGTCAGCAGAAGCATTGCCTCTGGCCTAGCATGTCATCTTCTCCTTGTTCGGCTCTTTGAATCGTGAAATTTTTACACCAGACCCATGCTGCGAAACATTGCAAAATCTCAGCTGAAGCTTTAATCATCAGTCTTGCCTTCTCTCAAAATGAAATATAATACAACCAGAGAGTCTGCAGGGATGTCTTTGTTTATACTGACGGTATTACTTTAGGGAATGTCCAAGTTTGGGCTTTATTCTTCTACAAATCTCAAACAAGCCAGTGAGTTTACTTTAAAACTTGGAGATATACAGAGTAATTGAATAGCAAATTTGCCACCCACATTGACGCTGAAATCCTTCTTGTGTTGTTTACAGTCTTCTTTTTGTGGCTGCTATGAACCCCACATAAGATGTCAAATTCGTCTTTTCCAGTCAAGTTTCATCATATGCATGATTTTGTCCTTTGACCACTTTCTCACAGTCAGAAGTCCAGACTTCTCAGGGACACTTCACCTGATATATTTTGTTAAAAACTGCTGAGAGTGATGTCTTCACTGTAAAATCTATACCTCATCCACTCCAGTCACAGTGTGCTGCCAGAAAAGAAACAGGGAAAAACAGAAGGCTTCTTCCCACCCAAATGTTGCAGCACAAACTCAAATCTGCCTAATTGTGTCTCAGGACTGTTTTTTCCTGGGTTTTGTTTTGGGTTCAACATCTGAGCACAAATATCGGAAAGTGACTCAGAGACTCCCACTCCCCCTCTCTCTTTTGACTCCAATCCCCCCCCCCCCCCACACACACACACACACACACACTTCTCAGTAGGTCTAATCTTTCCTCACTCACTCAAGAACACTACAAACCCTGAGCTACTCCCTGACCCCAATCAAACCCCAATCAAATTGCCAAACTAGCAAAAAGCAGTATAACCATTTGTACCCCCACATGTATAGAAATTCAACAAACACTTCTTAATGTAAAATGGGTGGTAGATGACAGACAACACTCACAACAAACATAGCTTTTTATCTTTCTTTGCTCCACAAGTAGCAACTGGAAATATTTACCTTCCATCTTTCACTCACTGTCGATGCCCAGGGTTAGTGTTGGTGTTTTTATTTACCTCCCAGACCTCCGCCTGAGATGTAACATGCGCTGAAGGCTCAATATCGAGGGGATTTTATGTGATTTTGGTTGATGGGACAGCATGAGAACTGTTAAGCTGCAATATTGCGTGAGGGAGTAGCTTTTGGTTCCTGGAAAGCCACTTCTGTTTGCATCATCCATCCACAGGAAGGCCAGGCGGTTATTATTAGCTTTAGTAGTAGAGACGGAAAAATAAGATTCCCATTGATAAGGAATCCCCTTTGCTGATTGCTCCACATTTCATTAACTCAACCCTGAGGGAATCCTTGGTTGCCATGGTAGCTGCTATCACCAAATCTGCCATCTTGCTGTGATTATATTCGTGAAATTTAATTAAACGACTGTAAAATCTGAGTTTTGTATGTGCTGACATGCAGGAAAAGCTGTTCCCCAGGTCTTGGAGCTGCAAGTATATCGATGCATAAGTGGATTTTCTTTAATAAGAATAAAAAATAAACACTGATCAGTTCATCAAGTTGTAATTTCTTTGGTTTGTTTTTGCTGGCTACCCTTCAATATTGATTCCCAGTTTCTAACACCACCCTTGCTTGTTTCATTTGTCTGTGTTGCTTCTCCAATTTTAGGGGATAATGTTTGAATTATGAGTTTAAGACTTTGAAAATTTGAGATCTTTGTCAGTTTAAAGTATCAAAAACATCTGGCCAAATTAATAAAACCCAGACATATGATCAGCCTCAGTCTGAAGTCATTTTTCAACTTGGACTGAAGCGTATTTTCTGACAGTATGCTGCAGTCTTACCCCTGGGGAAATACAAATTTTACCTTTCTTCAAGCAGTACAAAGAGTGGTCTATCTGCTGCTCTGCCGAACGTATTACTCTGTGACAGACTCAGCCAATCAAAGGAAATGGCCAGAGTTTCCTGTCAGAAACAGAGTGATTGACTAACTGGAGTTTGGAGATGGTGTGCTTCCATTTTTGTTAGTTCTGAGGCCAACTTCTGAAGTAATTGCCTTCATAGTTATTTTTCATGGTCATTGTCCAGGCAGTAAGGATCCAGCTAGTGTAATGATGAGGTCAGCTCAATGGGAAAGACTTCAAAACAGGGACCAGAATTTAAAGAAGACATCTCACAGCCCTGACATTTGACAACAAATGTTCCAAACCAGCCTGCATGGCTTGGCCACTCCTTAGGGTGGCTTATTATCAGCCATGAGGATAATGACAGCTGGAAATGGCTTGTTAATATATTCCTGGAGGAAGCTGCAGATGGAAGTCCTCAAAAGTCTGGTGTTTTCTCGGGTTTCTCCTTCGTGGGTTGGATCTATGACACCAGCTCCCGAACGCCAAAGTGTGCAAGATCACTTGAAGTCTGTGTTTCTCGTTGCTGCAGTAGATGAAATAGAAGGAGTCACTGGTTTCTGTGCATGCGTGTGTACATGCTTTTCTGTATTCTTTACAAGAAAATATAGTTGGACACAAATTATTACTGTTGACTAATTCCATTATATTTCTCTGAGTAATGTGCCAACGATCAGGTGTGTAAAAATGTACAGAGGAGGTCAACAGTCAAACCTTAAGCCTGAAACCAACAAGATCTGTTCTTTGTGAGTTGTTTTCCAGCTGCTTTGCCTTTTGACGGTTGATTACCTTTGGATATTCTTTTGTGACTGTTTACTTAGGTTTAGTCAAATGAAGTCCTGTTGTGGTCAACACGGTCAGGGATAGCACATGGGGTTATTTTATGGATGACATAGCTGAAACAGAGCTGATATGTGCTGCAGTGCTTCCTCTATAACATGCAGTGTTGACTAGAACGGGTGCGTATTTGCCGCGTAATGCGCATCGCTTAAGGTTATATAATGAACACGCATCCTGTGAGTTTTAGGATTTGCGCTACTTGGAATCATAGCAAATCTACAAATTTTCAACCGGGGATGTCATGGTGCTTTACAAGATAGTTGAAAATCATTGCACATTTGGCAAAAATTGGCAAGATCAAAAATTTAATGTGAGTATCTTTCTTGAAACAGCAGAGGGTACTGCTTTTCTCCCACTTTCTTGTTGGACATAAATCCTACTCTTAGCCGTGGCAGTGAAAGATTTTGTCATCAAGGTTGCACTGCCAGTGTTTACCACACATAAGCCCATCAAGCCCATCTTGTTACACCCCTATCTTCCACAACTTGGTATTTTTGTGGGTCAAATATCTGTTCTTGATGGTCAATGCCATAGACTGTATATACAATGGACAACTTTGTTCCGCCTTCCACCAGTATACAGATTTGAAACCAAAAAGCTCTGTTATTCTGCGTTTTTTCTCCATTTCTTGAAACCACCACTTGCGCAGTAGCATTGTGCACATTTGGCAGGAGAGTTGCAGTGATGATGCTCCGCTCGAACAGTGTATCCCCAGGTGAGTTACGCAATCTTCGTACTCCTATAGGCTGTATCAGGTGTCAATCATAGAAAACATGAACCCCCTAATAACTTTTAAAAACTGAGCTTCACAGAAAAAAGAGGACTTGAGTACAGACTAGTCTTACAATAACTTCATGTCAACATCGCAACCAGAGGGGGAAAAAAATTATGTTCTCTGTAATTAGTTTCTAAAATTTGTCCACAGCCCCATAAGCTTTGCTGGTGGAGGCAGGATTTATGACCTATACTGCAGCCCGTCACCAGAGTGTGCTGTTCTCGGAGTGGCTTCATCCAGCGAGGAGGCAGACGCTGTCCATTCTATATACAGTCTATGGTCAATGCTCTGTCCCTCCTTATCATCTCTGACATCAGATACATTTCAGCTAAGAGCTTTATAAGAACTCTGTATGCAGCATATGCACATGTTTCAGCATGAACTGATGTGTTTTCATTAGTCACATGGAGAGATAAATATGGGAATTGCTCTGAGCAGAGATGAATGAAATATGGTAACTTCTGCCCGTCTGGGAGCTTGATGGATGGGAAGTGTCTGAGCTCTGAGGCGAGCGAGTCGAGCTGAGAGAGTCGAGAGGAAGAGAGAGAGCCGGTCTGTGTAGTGTCTCATGTGTTTTTAATGAAGTAAGTGAGATGATCTGAGCTCCCGGTAACTTCAAACACTCGCAGCGAGCTGTGAGCAGCATGTAGGGCATTGCAGCTCAGGTAGCGCAATGTGTTAGGCAAGGGAAGAGATTCAGAGAGTAGGCGTGTGGTGTGAGAAAAAGAGGTGGATGGAGGAAAAGTTGTGACTTTATAACTGAGATTGTTATTTGTGATAGATATTCTGTCAGAGAATCAAAGTGCTTTTGAAAAATCTTCAAGTAAATTTTTCATTTTGAGCTTCAAACCCATACATCACAACTCCTTTTTATCATTATTTTATTGGTTCTTTTTAAGTTGACGAGCGCTGATGTTTAACTCTCCAGAGCAAATTAAAACAAAGACAGGCAGACAGACTTAATTCCCAGGCTCACCACAAGAAATATAATGGAGTAACACGATACAAAGGCATTCTCTTAGAGAGCAGCTGTCGAAGTGCCAACTAACTCAACAGTTGATGGAGAATGAAATAACTAATAAGCCAAGTCACTGTCTCGAATTTTCAGCTTCAGATGAGTAATTATGCATTTTGATCGCACCCCAGATCTGTCAGCCAAAGAACCAAAATCCCTCGTCTTTCCCAGACAGTGACATCAAACGTCCTCTCAGGGACAACTCTGACCTCTTTTCACCCCAACAGAAAAAAGATATGTTAGCTGGCACCCAACATAACTTTTTATTACTTTGATTAGTGTTTACTGATACAATAGCCTGACCCGATAAGACCTTGTGCCAGGTTTGCAGTGAGGCGATACGCTGATTATTTCACCGGTTCAAATTTGTAAGTATGTGTGTTTTGGTTCCCCGATTGGTCCTTGGTTTCTTTTTCTGACCCTGTTTGGTCTATCAGCTGAGTGTTTTGTCTTTGAACTTATCGTTTGTTCCTTAGTTTTAGATTTCTTTGATATGATACTCTCTCTGTGTTTGTGTATCAGGGTATCATGGCAGTGTGGGGACTTGTCTACCTCAGGGGGACCCAGGTCAAGACCTGACAAAAGTTAGATATACAGATAAAGTTTAGGCGGAACCATAACAAGGTTGAGGACTCTATAAGTAATGTGTATGCTGTGTTGATGTTGGTGAACCCTTTGGATGAAATAGGAGTTTTTGATCACTAGTGCATTTAATACTTTCTTCTTTTGTTCAAGTTAACTCTTTGCAGGATTAGTTGATGGGGTGGTGAATTGATTTAGAATTAGTTACTCCAAAGACAAACTTTGCAAACTCTTCACAATGTCTTCAAGGTGAGGTTTAAAGCTCCTGTGAGGAACTTTTGCACGTCATGTGGACAAAACAGTCTTTGCTTATCTTGTCCTTTCAATACTTCAGCAGTGTCTTTTGACAGTCAAAATGTGTCAGTTATTGTGAATATTTTATGTGGAAATTGTAAACACAGGGCTTCTTTATGAGCTGCTTGGCTGACACCTACCCCCCTCACATTGGTTTGAGGTATTGAAAATTTCAGTGTACAAATTGTCAGTCTCGTCCTTGATGTTTTCGTTTGCTTTCGGATGTTATAAAAAAGCATAAATATGGGTTTAAGTCCATTTCATGAACACAAAAAACCCTCATAGGAGCTTTAATGTTGTGTTTACGGTTAGTAAAAACCCCCATGGAGATAATGTCTAAGACAGCACTCTTTCTTTAAGAGTGCATCTGTGTGCAGAAATTATGAATGTTCACAAACATGTAATTTTGTGAACAGTGCAATTAAAGCATTTTGTGGGAGGATCAAGTAAAGACCAATTAACGCTTATTTCTACTGAGTCACAAAAACATCTGAATTGAATGATGCTAAGGCAGAGCCACATAAAGCATACAACTTTACATCACTTACACTTACTCATATTGAAATACGCCAATACTTTCTTGCTAATACATGACCATAACTGTCTGACTGCGGTTTATCTAAAGCACAATGCACTGCCAAGTCAAGCCATTGAGTACTTGCTCAAGCATTTTAATCTCTACCACATTCACCATTAATAAGAGCATTTCCTGATGTTTAATTACTTCCAGTCATTGTTCTGATTTTCACTAAACTGGCCTGAATTGGTGTTTTCCCCCTAGATAAAAGTAAAATACCCTTAAATTTGAAACATTATCGGGGTATTTGTTTCAGTTTCACCACTGAGGTAATGATGTTTAACAGAGATTCCTGGATTTGGTTCGACTCGATATCATGGCCTTGTGAGATATTACACATGCTGTGATAGGGAGGGGTGATGAGTGATGGCGGCTGGCAGCCGCTGCCTTACCTTCACCATCTCACTATGCTTTTGATACTGCCGACCTTGTCATTTTTGATTTTCTTTTTAATCTCAGTCTCTTTTATTCACTGTCTCCATTCTCTCTCCTTCATCGTACACACACAAAAACTTCAGAGAAACAAACCTTGCTACACATCCACTCTGTTGTACAGCCTTGAAAGTTAGTGACTCACCTCCGGCTGTGTTTTCACTTGCTTTCCAGCTTCACTCACTGATCATCCAGAGGGTCCATTATTTAGTTGCGTGTGTTATGTTTCAGTTCCAGAAACCAAGTTAGACTTCTTTAACTCCTTCTGTTTCTGCCTTTGTCATTGCTGCCATGTTTTTCAGAAAAACCTCAAACTTTCCTTCAACATCTCCTGCTGCACTTCTGTCCTTATTTTTTTTCCATCTTTAACCATAGTTTTTCTTTCTCTTCCTGGTCTGTTGGGCAGTAAAATCTGGGACAGTTTCTCATAGGGGACCTGGTGTAGTTTGTAAGTGTGTGTATGCCAGCTTGACAGCCAGTAAGTGTGCGTGTGTGTGTAAATAAACAAATCTCAATCATCACACCAGGTTGGAATTGTTATGCTGGTGCTTAAGAGTATCAGTCTTTGCAGTTGTTTTTCCCCCCACTGATATCTCCATGGAGTCGAGTAACAAAACTTGAGTATAACACAACTTTTTGTTTAAGTAATAAAATTAATGTTGACTGATTTCATAACTTTAAAGATGGTGTTAAACTTCAGGACAAACGAGTCAACCATAGTCTCGAGTTTAACCATGACACATCTCACTCTTCTCTCAATCAGAGTTGAAATCTTTAGTCTTCTTCTTGGTGTGAACGTTCTTAAAAATAAAACAAAGAAAAATAAATACAGTGACTATTTTGTACTTAAGGCTATGACCAGGGTCACAGTAGGCTTCTGGCACACTTTTAAGTCTCTGTGATGACGTGGTCCCCTGCCTCCAGCCCCCCGCCTCCCCTCGCCCTCTGCTGCCTCACTGATGTCAGTGACATCAGCATTTATGTAGGAAATAGGCAATAAAATCAAACTCCAGAGGAACATTTCATGGAGGGAATGAAAACAAAAGGCTTTCACAGAGTTGAGGTAAACCAGAGAAAATGTTAGTTAGGTTTCACAGCACCAGACGTTGTTATCAATTATATTTCTGTTTGTATTTGAATAGAAAACTAAGAGTCTAAAAAATACAGAGATTAACCAAAACATGTATCCTATTAACAATCTTAAAACATCTTTTTTTATAAGGCAACATGATGAAAGTCTTAATCACATTTGCTGGCGTCCTGGTATTTCTGTGAGGCTGAATAAGCTGTCGCTATTTATTAGATCAACCAATTATGCTACAGTAGGATAGCCAAAGAGCTGGTCCTCACCACATCATAATTAATTTAAACTTACTAAGATTCAGGCAGCCTTCACGACCTGATAGGTTGGTTTACTCAGGGTGTGAGAGCTTTTATGGCTGCTAGCTTCCCTTGGGTGGAGGAACACAATTATGCTGCGTGGTCATGAACTCTCTTAGGGCATATAGTAGTATTAATATTGATTGTGGTTTGGTGCAGCACGTGCATGTATATTTTAGTGTGTAGGCATCCAGACAGTGGTCGTCTGGCTGTCTAAAGGGCTGATGCTTCCATACTTTTAATCAGTGGGAAAGGGTCGATCCTATTGTAATAGAGTTGGCTGTGGAAATAGATTAAAACTGATGTCCACTTTGAGAGTATAGCCTTGAATGGAGGTAAGAGTAAAAGTGGAACTGAGGGAATGTAGACATATAGCAGAAAAGGGGGCTTAAATGTACACACCCACCCACAGATGTATGTCCTCACAGTCCTGGTGACAGCTGGGGTTTGGAAACGGTACATCTATATCCAGAGATCCGGGGAAAGGCCACTCAAGGCGAGACAGGGGTCATAGTTGTCGTACTCCCAAACACACACACAAGCCAAACGACATGAAAACTGAGAAGTTAAAGCATACCACCATCCTCAACCCCCCTCCCTCGCTAGACTCCAAGCTTTCATTCTTGTCACAAAGCCTTTTACTGCTGCAGATGGCTGCAGCCTGTTCCACCACAACCAAGCCTAACCTTTCATTCTCAGTCATTTGAAGATTTGGTGTTTCTTTAGCCATCCTGTAATTGTACTCTTGCAGAAAAACGTAGTAAAAAGGACAATATTACATACTGGAACGGCGCCGAAATGACACTATATACAGCACGACATGCATGACATGATCTGCAAGGAGGAACATGGAGGACATAAAAAACCCTCCATAAATCCAAGTTTTATAGTTGAGGTTTTGAATTGAGAAGTGTGTCTCTCTGTCCGGCTTAGTTCTGTTTTTTTAAAGGCACAGTAAGGAGCTTTTCACCGATTTAGAAATAGACTCAGTCTTATTCAGATTTTCAGTGAAAAAGGTGATTATTTCTGTATACTGAGTTTGAATGATAGCGTTCAGGTTGGACATTTCTAACCCTAACACTTTGGCAACAGAGTGATGGTGCCACACACTGCAGATTTCATCGACAGAGGTCACCGGAATCAAACCAGCATGAAAGTTCCTCACAGTGCTATTAACTTGTGTATTTAATCTCGACAGCCTCTTTCTGTATCCCGTCCCCATCTGACTTTACTGTCAATCACAAATTGTGGCCAAAGTTTGTTTAGGGTGACGGAGAAACAGTTGACAGCCTGAATGAGAAGCTGCCAACCATCTCCAAGTAATGCCAGACCTCTCAACCACAGAGGAATGAGCTGAATGCAATTCTTTGCAGTTCCATCAAAACACACGAAACATGACTAAGATAGAAAAACTGACATTTTTCAGTTGGAACTTTCGTGACTTTAGGTCCTGTTTAGCTTGGCCTTATAATGCTATGGCGTGCCCAGCCTAGCCTGCTAAATCCATTAAAAAGGATGGACTCAGGGAAGGAGGAGGGACAGACAACAGAGGGATAGTGAGATACAGAGGCCTGTTAGGGCTTGGCGCTGCTTGAGGAAAAGTTACTTTTCACAACCGGGACAGTGTAAATACACAGACACACATCCTCATTCACATACTGTTCTGCTTAAAGTCATCCCATCCTATAGTAAAAACACTATGCTTTTTACATATTATATGGTTGCAGTACTTAGAAGCGGAGGCTCATGTTTGAGGCTTTGAGGCTAGAGCACAGCACAGGCAGATTATGGGGGTGCAATGCCAGATAATAATGTGGCTGAGACTGCACGGAGCCCGCCGGGTCTGCCTTGCCTGTCAGTGTGGTCGCACAGAAATGATGTCACTACTTGTTAGCACATGTGTTGTGCAGGCGTCAAAGTTAAAAACCCATGCAACCAGGCACACAGGTGGAAACTAGTTTTGGTGTATTTACTCGTGCTTGGTCTATTTTTTCAAGCATTTTTTTAAGACATAGACGTGCTCTAATTCACAATTACAGCTATAACCAGCATTTGTAACAGAATGGTATAAAGAGGGCCACTAGAGGGATTGAATCAGGTGGATGTATTTTACTGCGCTGACCATCTGTTTGAGCCAGTTTCCTTTCAGCATGAGCTATATTTTAGTTCTCCATTCCTCATCGGATTGTGTTATCCAGAGAAAACACAAGTGTATTACAGCACACGTCAAAAGGGAGATGAAGTCATGGACTGACTGCTCATTGACATTGACAGATTGCAGCAGTGAGGTCTGTTCATCAATATAACCTTTCACTGACACTCAGCCGAAGTAACGAGGGAGAGAGAGAGAAGACGTAGACAGACACACATACACACTCGCGTACTTCACAGTACACCCTTTCTGACTTTGTTTTCTAATCATATGTTTCATCTGTACCGCGCAGTGGTCCCCGAGGCCGCCAAGCCAAAGCAAACTGTAATCACTCCTCTGAGTGTAACTTTTTCTTTTGTGTCCTAGATGTACTTTTTTCCATCTCCCCTCTTTGTTCTCTTTTTTGTTGTTCTCCCTGGTGTTCCCGGTGGCTGCATTATGGCACAGCACTGTGGGTTTGTTTCGTCAGAGCGGGGTCTCCAAAGACTCTGACTCAGCAGTTGGGTCGTAGGGTTTCTTTTCATCATCACACCCTTAATTGTTCCTGTCAGACCTCTTCTTTCAACTGTTCCCATTTTTTTTTCCTTTTTGCTGTCTGCTCTTGTTTAAGACAGACAGTCCCACGGATACAAACACTCCCAACTTCTTTGACACAAAAACAAACACAACAAACGTTAAGGCGTGTATGCTGACTGTGTGCAGCTTTCGTCTCCTTTTTGCGTAGGACTGCAGCAACTGTCCCAGAGCAGCCGCCTGGACCACATGTAGAGGTCAGGGACCATACCAGAGGGGCCAGTATCAGTGTCCCAGTGGGGCTTTGGCTTTATTAATCTGTCCTCCTCCAAGGCCTCATAAACTACCGCAGGAGTTATGGGTCGTAGGAGCGGCTGGTGGACGAGATGACTGAAGGAACCAATTTTGAATCCCTTTTTACATCATCTAAACTTTGAATAATCTTAAAGAGCGTTTTGAAAAAAATAATACACAGAAAAAGCACTGATTTTAGTGTTTGGTGTTACCATTACAGAAAGAAAAAAGTTTTACCTAAGAAGTACTTTCCATACTTAAGCCGTGACAGGAAATGAAAAAGAAACAGAAAAATGAGCACAGCTTAAATACAGTATTTAAGGACCAAGTAGTTCTGTGTGTTATTATTAAAGGGACTGATTCAGTGTAACCTCAACCCAAAAAACTTTTATTGATTAAAGATGAAGCTATTTTTATCATCTCACTGTATAGAATAGAGGCTAGCCGATCGTCTAGCCAAAAAGCGGAATAGTTTATGGTCTTTTTTTGGCATATATGCGTGAATGCTCCAGTTAGATGTATGTATAAATACTACAGCTGACAGCAGGCTGGCTTTCTCTCCAGAGGTTAAAGACATTCCTGAAGTTAACTGTCCAGATTAAATTAGCACATGGGGAGTGATTGTCTGGGTGAATATGGCAGGCCAGCAAAGGACAACAACCTCCATTGACAACAAGCCTCTGTGTGTTAATAGCGCTTTGTCAGACTCACATATTTAAGGTTTGATATGTGTCCTTAATAGAGATAATATAACCCATATTGATGTCCTCTTTTTAAGGTCAGTGTTGTGATCAGTTTTTATGATGACCCGAGCTGCATCTGCTTGCCTCTGACTGTAATGGATGAGTTATGTCCGAGTGGGATGTCTTCCTCATTGCAGGATGTTTTGAAGAGCTCCACGCTCAATAAATCTCCCTCTATAAATACGTGCACAAACAACAGCTCTCATTTTGAACATTATCTAAATATTTATGGTCCTCATCAAGGGGTAAAACATGCCTCTATCTCGTGAGAGTTTTACAGGTTAGATATGCCAAAACCATTATGAGAGTTTTTCAAGGATTGTGCCGTACTGTGCGAAAGTATGTGTGTCAATCCTGGGTCAAATACCATTTGCGGATAATTATTGGTGTTTGTTTAACTTGCTTCAAGTACCAGATGTTGAGTTTGCTTCAGGATAATTTTGACTGTGTCAGGTGATTCTAGGATTGCTTTTTAAACTCTTGTGATTTCCTTCCCCGTGGTCAACGTGCCACCTGATGAGGCATGTCCATGCCTCTGGCACACAGGACAAGTTAAGCAAACACACAAGATTTATGGCACAAAGTGTTTGACCCTGAACTGATGCATGACTTTGTGGACAGTTTATATATCTGTTCATGATAAGATCCAGTCCTTGACTTATGAGATTGATTCAGCGTTAGCACAAGGAGGATATTATCTTTATGGATTTATGCATGATTTAAAGTACGGGGTACCGAAAGGCCAAGTCTACAGTCTTAAATGGCTGCTTTACCTCATAAATACCTTGCTAAAGCAGCTTTAGACTAACTTTCCCATGCATTCCATGTCTTTTAGAGTTGCTTATATGCGTGTAAGTGTTTGCTATCATGTAATAAAAATCTTTATGGATTTTGATGCTTATTTCAGTGTCTCAAATGTGTTTTCCCTTGGGATTCCACTTTGTGACTGCTCTGGACACTTTAAAATGTTCTCACTCAGAAAGTAAAGCTTGTTATCCTTTAGATAAATATAGTTTATGATTCTGTCCTTGGTATGATAGGAGCCAGTGTGGATCCTGGACAGACTTAGGCTTCAATTTTCATGCTCTTGCAATTCTTCACGATCCAGCTGAAGAGTTTCCCAAAATGTAATATGTAAGCCTCTATGGAAAAAAGCTGACATTCATCAGACAGCGTCTTTTATATAGGTTCTGAATTGTAAAAGTGTTAGCACATTGTCACACAAGGATTTAAGATACATATTGGTCTTTGAAAAAATGAAAAATTTCTTTTCATTTTGTACGAAGATAGTGAGTGATGTTTGAAAATGAATAAAAAGGCTGGTCAGATGCCCAATTCACATATAACATATGTCTGTACTTGCAGAAGTACATATTTTCTCTGGCTGATGTTTTTCTTTCTCTCTGTCTTCGCAGGTGTAGCAGAACCCAGCCATGCTGATAACAAGTATAGGGTCAAGGCGGAGGGCGTGGGTCAGCGGGCCGTGCGTGTGTTCAAGTGTCTGGCGAAGGAGGCCACTCTATTATTTTTGCATCGTCCTCGCCCTTCTTCAATCTAAAACTGTCCTTGGAGCACTTGAACTCCAGCTCGATGAGGAGCAACCAGCAGATACTATCGTTGGGGACATCAGTGCCGGGTTACCGCCAGGTGAAAGTGCAAGTCTTTACTTTATCTCGGACCATGAAGGCACGGGCGTTGGCAACGATCTCAACATTGATGAAACCACTGGAATCATAACCACTGCGCGCCGTCTGGACCGTGAGCAGAGGGACCACTATAGCTTTATTGCAGTAACCATGACAGGAACCACGATTGAGGTGTCAATCACCGTAAACGACATCAACGACCATGCACCTGTGTTCCCCAAAAAGAAAGCTGTTCTCAAGATCCCAGAGCACACAGCAGTCGGGACAAGGTTTTCGCTTGAGCCTGCTACAGATGCAGACAAAGACCAGCTGACCACCCAGGGCTACGCTATTCGAGAGGGAAATGTAGGCCAGGCATTCAAACTGGAGACTAAGAGAGCCGCCAACAAGGTGCTGTACCTAGACCTTGTTGTCAGTGGGCTGCTGGACAGGGAAAAACGTTCATCTTACACCCTAGTCCTGGAGGCCTTTGATGGAGGCTCACCTAGAAGGATGGGATCCATGACCCTGGAGGTGACTGTGACCGACATCAATGATCACGCACCGGTCTTCAATCAGAGCAGATACCATGCTATCATCTCTGAAAGTCTCCCCCAAGGAAGTAGCATCCTTCAGGTCAGCTTGAGTCCTGTCTATAACCAGAAAGGGACTCTTAATAAAACAAAAAAATCTAGATTTTGTAAATCAGGATTCTTGAGTTGATGTTAACTTCAGTGTTTGACCCTCTGATCTTTGCAGGTGTTTGCAGCAGATGAAGATGAAGGTGATAACGGTCTTGTCCTCTATGAGATCAACCGGCGCCAGAGTGACCCTGACCGCTACTTTGTCATGGATGTCAAGTCTGGGATCATCACTCTGAACAGGCCCCTGGATTATGAACTGAAGAGAGTTCATGAACTGGTGGTCCAAGCCAGAGATAATGCCAGCCACCCTGAGGTACGACCATCATTACATAAGACAATGTATGCTTTTGCTGTGTGCCTAAAATTACAAGTAACACTGTTTACTGATCATTTTCACAGGTGACCAATGCATTTGTGACCATTCATGTCCGAGACTACAATGACAACCAGCCCACCATGACCATCATTTTCCTCAGTGAAGACGGCTCACCAAGGATCTCTGAAGGGGCCCAACCAGGTCAGTACGTAGCTCGGATATCTGTCACAGACCCAGACTATGGGGAGTATGCCAATGTGAATGTGTCCCTCGAGGGAGGTGATGGGAAGTTTGCGCTCAAGACCAAGGACAGCATCATCTACCTGATATATGTGGACCAAGTCTTGGACAGAGAGGAGCGGGATTCATACGACCTCAGGGTGATGGCTACAGACTCCGGCACACCTCCTCTCAGAGCAGAGTCATCTTTCACCATTCAGGTGACTGATGTCAATGACAACCCCCCTCTGTTCGACCAGCAGGCCTACAGACAGACCATTCCCGAGGTTGTCTATCCTGGCTCCTTTGTTCTACAGGTCACTGCCAGAGACAAGGACCAGGGCCCCAATGGAGACGTCATATACAGCCTCCTCAAGGGCAAAAACTCACACTCTGATTGGTTTTCCATTGACCCAGTCACGGGAATCATTACCACGGCAATGGCTCTGGATTTCGAATCAGAGCCGGCTCCAAGTGTGACTGTGGTTGCGACGGATAGTGGCAGACCGCCGCTGTCTTCCACAGCAAAGGTGGACATAGTCCTGCAGGATGTTAATGACAACACACCGGTGTTCTCCAGCAACTTCTACAACGCATCCATCAAGGAAAACACCCCAGCTGGGACCTGCTTCTTAGAGGTAAGAGAAACCCAAGCAAAGTTTTCTCGACAGGCTACTTTTCCTCTAATATCCTTTATCTTGTAGTGAGCTGCTGTTTTTAATACTCATGGTGCTCACTCTTGCAGTGTGTTGGACACAACAATGTTGTCCTACTTATGCAGCCAAAACCTAGTATTCACTGTCTCCCCAGTACTCCCACCCCTTTCTTCTTCACTCTCCTCTCTCTTACACTCTCACTGTAAGCCCTCCCTGATTACTCCCCTGGCAAAAGCATGATAGATGCATTAACAGAGAGGAGTTGGGAAATCAAAGTCATGTCTAAAATGAAAGGCCAATTCAGAATCCTTCTGCTTTTGGAAAAAAAAGGATGGTGCACTTGGAAAAACTGATGCATTGTGATATGATTAATAAAAAAGTGTGCTTTGAGAGAAGCCATTCAGTGTGTTCATCTAGAAGGGGATTTATAAACATATGAGAAAATGAAACGGGGGAGGGGGGGTTCACCTGCATTCCTAAAGCTACTGTGAGGAGATTTATTCTTTGCTGCTATGTCCTCTCTCTCACCTCGTAATGGTCGTCATGGTAACCAAGCCATCAGCACTGGGTGAGGCCTTGGTATCGCCGCACTATCTCATGGCAGCACAGCTGTCTCACTTTTATCTGGATCTGGACAGTAGAAGAAGGAAAGAGGCAAGAGTAAATATCCAAGTGGTAAAAAATTAAAATGTACAAGAAGAGATTAGTCAAAGTTGCAGTGTGTGGTTGTTGGCAATGTTTAACCAGTGAGAAATAGAAAATAACAATTGTAAGTTTAAATTAGTGTATAATTACCTGGATATGAAAAACTGTTTTGTTTTTCTCAACCAGAAATGAACCCTTTATATCCACATGGACGTCTGCTTTCTACAGAGACTCGTATGTTTCTACTGCAGCTCTGAATGGATAAATGAATGACATATGTGCACTGGTTGTGTGCAAAACAATTGTATTGATTGATGTTTTTGATAGTAAAAACTTGACAAATGGAGGATCACATTTATGCATCTTTTCCTCAGAGGGAATCATTGCTTCACCAACTGGTGGTTGGAGAAAAGGCGTGTTTGAATCTACAATGTGACATAGATGTTTCTACTACTCTGTGTATCTTTAAGTTGTGGAAAAACTTGGAAAAGGAAAGACAAGTTGTGGATAAATATAGCCATTCCTGGGCTGTCTTTACAATCACAGATACAGCCTGTCCATTTGTGAATTATTGAACCCTGTAATTTGCTCCTAATTAAACTGCTCTGTCCAATTATTATAAGCCTCAACCAACTCAATCAACCCCCTGGACCTCCATTCCAGTGGTTGCAACTGTTGTAATCAACTGTTGTCGTCTTTCTAATCCTAGCCGGCAGTTATTCTGGCACTAGGTGCAAGCTAGTAATCCCATGCCAGACATCACGGGTGGTTTTTCCAGTATGCTAGAGTGAGTGAATAAGGCCTGATTTGCTCATTCCGGCACGTTCCTCAAGGCTCGCTCGAAACGAGCCAAGATTCTCAGAGCGAGAGTCTCCCCACAGGGACTGTGATTTGCAGGATAATTGTAGTTGGAGTAAACTTTTTCTCTCTGGACTATGGAATATGTGGCCACTCAGATAGGACACACACACACACACACAGTAATGAAGTTAGACCTGACATCATAGCCCATTAATGGGTGTCGTAGGAGATTTTTCTCTGTTTTCTGCATTTGCTTGCCAACCAACTGTCGAGATTATGGAGTATTAGGTATTTACTCTGTCAAGATAGTGACAAAGTGAGAAGTAGGGTCAGCTGGTCCACTGGGCCCATTGCACATTTTTATGTGATGTTTTTTGGCATGAAATTCAAGTTCCATGGTTTTGCCATGTTCCCAACAGGGTTAGACGAAGGCAGAATGTTCTCAGTATTGTACCAATATTTACAGTAGATAACAATCACCACTTGGCTTAGGAATTATTACGCTGGCCTGACTGGCGCGGTTTGAATTTTGGATTCTTTGTGTAAAAATAGGGCACAATTTAAAAACAGCTAATATCTAAATAAGGAAATAAAATACCAGAGGAAGTGTTTGAAGCAAGATGACACGAGCACAGAAGGTAAGGAGTGTTGCCTCTCTTTGCTTCCAAAATTGATCTTTGTAGAAGTTCAGTTTTTCTGTTTTAATATTTTTGTTTTTTTTTATCTCATTCTTATTTCAATTTCCTTCTTTTCTGTCGTCTTTTGTCACTTTTTTTTTTGTAATGTCTCCTTTGCACACACACGCACATACGGCGACACTGTGTAGGAAGTTTCTTATCAGCTTTGCTACTGTAGTAATCTGTAATGTACTGCACTGTTTATGCAGCAGCAACACAAAGGAGTTATTTATTTCTTGGTTTTCCTGCTTTCCTCTACCTCCGCTTCCTTAAAGTGTTTCCCAGGCTGGAGAGGTTATGGTGCATTTTGAGTGCGTGTGTTGTGTGTGTTGTGTGTGTTGTGTGTTGTGTGTGTGTGTGTGTGTGTGTGTGTGTGTGTGTGTGTGTGTGTGTGTGTGTGTGTGTGTGTGCCTGTACATCCATTTGATTCAGGTTCATATCCTGTGAAGGTGGGGATCATGAGAACTGTGTGAACTCTGACCTGTGACGAAGAGTGGAGAACATATTTAGACATATTTTACGGTTTAAAAACGTTTATTTGTATTTTAAAGTTGTTGAAATCACTTGATTCCAGGGAGCTTGTTGGATTAAGTTGATGCGCTTTCTTAAATATTATTCTTGTTTTTTTATTTGAGTGTCTAAGCATATTTTCCCTCCTGTGTGGGTCGTACCCAGAAGAGTATCTTTCACATCCAATGACGTGCTCAACTCGGGCATGACCTAGTCACAGGGAGGTCATTTCAAATCTCACAAGCTGTGAAGACTTATACGCAGGACCACTTTACTGATGAGTTACTGGATAGAAAACTTTTGATTCAATTAACAACAATTCAGAATAATGTGTATGAATAATTTGAATTAAATGAAACATTCTACCCAAAAAGATGGGAAATTAGATGTTTAAGACAGCTGGGAAGAAGACAGTGAAACGCTTTTTTTTCATGTGTGGGTATGTGTGCGTGCCAGTGTCATCCATCTGTGTATGTGTACTTGTGTACACGATTGAAGCCATGAAACTAGCTTTCAGCAGGTGATGAATCTCCCTTGTGATGTTCAGCATGTGGTTTCTTGGTCAAGCCTGTTAAACAACAGTCAATCATCTTGGCAGACACACAGATGTGCTCACCTGGGAGTTGTACAGAGACACGGCGAACAGCTTGGCATGGCAGCTCAACAGTACAATGGTACTGCACTGCATGTTAGTTTCATATCATGCTTTAAAGATGAATAATTTGAGGAAAAGAGGAATATCTTGATGATTCAGGATCTAAACTTAGATACTTTATTGTTAAAAGAGTTGCCTTTCAAAAGGGTAGGCATAGAGTATAGATGTGTAAGCCAAGATAGTATTTCATAGTCATTTAGGTCTTTTAACGCTTGTTTTAATGATAACTCCTGTAAATACCAATAATCATTAGGCTAAGGCGGATTTAAAGTAAGGGATTAAATCAGTATTGTACTTGGGGATTTTTCTTTATGTTATTTTTATTTTATTTTGGATTAATAGACCATTGCAGACTAGTTCAACTGAAAGTACAGTCATCCAATCACACCTACAATTACCTTTTGCAGCTCTTAACAGCTCTGAAGTGGAGAACAACAAAGACTTAAACACTTCATGTTGTCAATAATGTAATTGGCAGTCTGTTTCTACAGTTTGTAATGCGTTGGTTTAACAGCTTTTAAATATGTTACATCCTCTGTCTGGTGAGGGTTACCATATTAGAACCTGACACCAGTCAAAATCAGCAGATAAAATGTAAGGTTGAGGAAATAGTTGCATAGCTTTTCATAGTTTTATAGACGACTGACTATTTTAAAATTGAAAATCATTGAAAAACCGAAACATTATCTCAAGAGAGTGTGAGAGAACTAGTGTTGCTGATATTCTTACATGACTCAGAAATAAAGCTGACCAGGGCACCAGTGCAGTTAATTTGATGAAGTGGGTGCTCCATGTGCAAAGTTTAATAGTTTTCAGTTTACCATTTGCGACAGCCTTACGAATTATGTTTACGACTGCTGCGCTTCAATGGCATTTGCACAATTTTCTTTTATGTTGTTTGACAGGACTGACACATTATGTGTTTGTAATGTGGATGGGTCTATTTGGATATAAGGAGGAAAACCTCCTTTTTTAAAAGTACCTCCCTGTTTGTGGACTTGGCCGAACAAGCCAGATGAGACTTCCCTTGCACTAATGCTTATTGTTTGATAGACAGATGGACTGTGCTGCTCACTGAGAGGCTTTTTGGTATTCAGGTTGAGAAAAAAAAAATGGAGGAAAGACTCCCAAAAAAAACATATGAGGGTGGTGTGAAGGTGACTGAAATAGAGCAAAAACATGCGGGAGACAGGTTTCTTTTGACAGGTGGAGTTAGTCCTCCTGAACTTCCCACAAAACCGCTTGAATAAACACAGCCCCTCTGCCTGTCAGAGCAATCAGCTCTTTTTGGTTTGAAGTCCTAAGTCTGGGCCACAGTGGGTAAACTATATGAGGCTCCATAAGGAAAGAGACTGATCATATTTAAAAACAAACACACACACACAAAGGCACACTGAGACTAATCGAATTCGATAAACCAATAGAAAGAGAGACATAAGGTGACTCAATGAAAACAGGAAGGTGTTCCGCTTAAGCTTTCAGTAATACCTGACCTGAGCCTCAGCTGGTGTCGCTGTGAATTTTGCAGCCTTCGAAACCGGAGCTTCATCCAGCCATAGCCTTCTTTCTGAGGTTGCATGCTCTCCCTCAACCCAGACACACAACACAGACACACTGTTGTTTTATTAAGCTTGAAATTGTGTGGGGGGGAATTAAATTTACTGTCTGCTTGATGTCTTTCCCCCTGCTTATTCTCTTACAGTGGCAGCTGGGCTTTGATACGGCCCTGCTCTGTTGAAACTTAATCTTGTGTGTTTTAATTAGTCTGTCAGTGTGTTTAATTTGCTACAATCAATAAAAGAGAAGAGAAAGGCTGCAAATTGGAACGGTCACCGTCACCGCTTGAGCCTCGGGAGCGCCAAACAGGTGATCGTCAACGACAAATGGTTGGGTTCACACACAAACAGTCACCAGAGAGATTGAAAATTCGGTGAGTCGTTTCATGCTGTTAACAGCTGGACTCTGTTCTGACACGCTCACTCTCTCTCAGGTTCTGTATTTCGCTTTCTTGCTCGCTCCCTGGCCCTCTTGTTGAATCACACACGTCTCAGCTGCCAGGGATGTTGACAGGACGAGCGTGAAGAGGGATCAGGATGGTGTGTCTGCTATGCAAGCTATTCTCATAACATCCATCAACACTCACTTCGAATTCATCACCTGTTTGCCACTGGGGGCTCAGATACCATGAATGAAAAATTCATCTTGGTCTTATGATCACGCTCTGAAGCTTTTTTCATAATGAGGTGAAGTCTGGTTGTTAGCTTCTAATTTTGTTTCTTTCTTTTAGTGTCTTTCTTGAGGTGGTTATCAATATTTTTAACATGTGCTCCTGCTTTGTTAGCGTCATGTAGTGACCAGTTCAGTTCGGGTGACCATACGTCCTCTTTTACCCAGACATGTCCTCTTTTTAGGGGGCTGTCCAGCCTTGTCAGGCTTTGTCCAGGAAAGTTTATAAAATCCTTCAAATGTCCGGGGTTTTGTATAGAAGTTTTGAGTTTGTGTCACATGGACTTAGAAGCGCACAAAAGCAACAACAGCAACGCGATTGAGTTTGAGACAGTGAAAATACATATGTTGTATCTTAGTAGGTTAGCTTATGAGCTAAAGTTACGTAGCACAGATGAAAGTTAAAACAAAGACGTTTAGCAAACTGTTAAAGCACACAAACCATCATCATATGAGAGATCTGACACTATGACTCTCCACAAGTTGTCCTTTAGGTCGTTATCTTTGTAATATTTGTGTTTTTTATCAAAAAGCACTCTGTTCTCCGACACGTAAACAATCAGTTGGTCAGCCATGTTGGATATACCGGTGAATCGCAACAACATGAAATCTCATTGGTCAGAAGTGGACACACAGTATGCAAAACTTAAGAAAATTCAACCGTGATACGAAAAAATACTATATACTTTACTATACTATACTAATGCTGATTAAATTGGAGCTTTTGGTTCTGAATAGGTTTAGAAAACTAGCAGTTTCCTCCACAACCAAGTGTCTCAATCTCTGGCAAGGTTGAAACTATGTAGTCTGTCTATCAGATTAGTAGAAACCCTCTGAGTTTTCAGTCCAGATTCTCCACAATCTTTTTTCTGTCTGAGTATTTTTTCGGTTGAAATCAGCGTCTAAAGGCTAATCAGGCAGACTTCTTTTTTCCTAAGCATTTTTCTGCTCTTTGGTAGGTGTTGGGTCCTGGCCCAGGTTAGGTAAATTATTCCTATTCCTTTCGTCTCTCCCTAAGAAGCAGTAGTTTGGTTCCATATCACTAGATACTGGCATATGCTGTGTTTGAAACCTATCACAGTGTTCATTCATGTGTGATCTGACTGGGCAATGCCTCTGTGGAGAGGATGGCCTTACGCCTCATTAAGCCCAATACTCTGTACCATATGGCAGTGAAGGGTTTTCTTCTCTCACTCTCTTCTAAAGGGTTTTCTATTCCATTTCTTCACCTCATCTGTTAGTCAGTATCATGCTTTCCATTGTTTTTTTTTTCGGGGTTGAACGTCTCGCCTCATGGGCTTAACATTTAAGGCTCCTTACTGACCTCAACTTAGAGTTTTTTCCTTCTTTATTTTTAAGGAATCGACCTCCAATCAGATTTTAGGACCAGTATGGAAAGTATTTCTCTATTTTCTCAGTTTTGGTTACTCATAAGTATGAAGATGAGAGCCATCATGGTGCAATGATGTGTTCACAGTCCCAAAAATCAATTTTTTTAAACAGCTAATTTTGTCCTACCTTTTATAGGACCTCATCCTGTCACAGTCTCACAAAAGCCAAGTTATCAAAAATTTTTAGTGCACAAATAAATAAAAAAAAGACAAATTTTTTTATTTTATTCAAGTCTTACAAAACAGCACACTGGAGCCATTTTTGGTCAACGAATGTTTATACAACTAATTATCAAAATTGTTGCAGATTAGTCCTTAACAAGTCAATTAATCATCATATTGTTACAGCATTTTCCAAATAAACCCAACCGTGCAACACCACTGGCTGAGCTCGAACCAATTCCTGGATTTCAGGATATTAAACTAAACAAGAACAGATTTGAGTGTTTTGTAAAGTGGTTTGTGATTTGCAAATACTTGTTCCTTGCAAAGTGGACCCATTCACCTCGAGCACGGCCAGAGCTGAGATACGGCTTCGCTCTGCTGTCCAACACAGATATCAAACATCTGCAGGCACAGGATCTTTCATACACAACACAGACTGAGTTTAAGCACACAAACATGCACAGGTTTTCTGTCTCTGTCCCTGTCCTATCTCACTATCCCAGCTCTTCTGTTCAGCTTCTGCATTGTGTTTCTTTTCAAACTTATCTGCCGCCCAGACGCCCTCTCTTTCTCCGTCTGGGGCCTCCATTTTGTCACAGTTTCATCCCCTGTTGCTTGACTCGTCCCCCTTCTTTTCACAGCGGAGTTTGAGGTGAGAAACCCACATGCATGCACACATACACACTGCCATGCGTTGAAAATGAATGTGCCGGAAGAGTTGCACACACCCGACACATGCGAGCGGCAGGTGATCCCGGGGCTCTCTGCAGTTCATTTGGTCACACTAATCCAATTTAGTGACACACCGAGTTAAGTTGGTGTAAATTAGTATGCTTCCTGTGTTTCTCTAGATTGTATTTGCTTTGGGAGGGGTGCTGCAGTTTGGGACAGCAGGTGGTCAATAAGTTAGGGGTGAAGGGCAGTGAAAGCGCTGGTTTCCCAGTGTATCAGATTCTGTCATTACTGCTTTACAGAACGATAGATGTTAGATTTGAAGTCACTGCTGAGTGTGACCAGACATTTCTCTTGAATAGCTGAGTGAAATTGATCTGAAATATGTGCGTAATTCATGCAGTTGCAGTCATTGCCCTTTGTTGTGTTCTTGCACCACTCTGAGGCATGTTTCAGATGTCGTTTGTGTATTTGTGTGATTAACGGTTGCAGCAGCAGCGGCAGCCTTGGAGCTGTTATCAGGCTGACTCTACACCTCCGGTGTTGTGCCTGTCCCAGCTCTCTCCACACCATTTATTTTTCCTCTTAAGGGTCAAAGACTGAGCGGACCCAACTGATATTTGTTTTCTCAAACGAGTCAACCATTTAATCATCTCACTTGTCCTTGTCCTCTTCCTTCTCATCTTAGGAAGTCAAACCTGGAGCTTAACAGGGAAAGCGTGGTGGGAAACATTGGTATTCCAGACCAAGTGTTGCATTTATGGTGCCAAAAGACACATTATTAAACAATACGGCTGATCTTGCCTGGTCTATATGAGATCACAGTAGAGGCACCGACTTACAAAGAGGATTTTATATTTAATATGGTCCACATCACGTCTCTCACTCTCTTTACATCTCCCAGATGCATTTCTGTCATGCGTGCACCTCATATTGTCTTTTCTTTAGACTTGAGCTTTTATAAGGATAGTTCTCACCATGAGATGTCTTTTAAAGGTTAGAGCAACACCAGAGAGAGGGGGAAAGAGTTTCCACTCTCCCACAATGGAATATTTTAAGAGAATTTCTTACTACTTCCCACCTGCTGAATAAAACCCTTGGTATTCCCCCTTTTGCCCTCTCTTTTGCTTTGCTCTCTACTGGTTAAGATGAGATTAAACATTAGGGTCATAGTATTCTAGACTGGTCCTGGTGCTGAGACAGGTTTCTGAAGGCATTGGTCTCACATTGAACCAGAAAAAGTTATCTACGAAGATATCTGACGAAAAGTAGTCAAGACCTCATTTCTGAGGATATCACTTTATGTGCGCTGCATTTTTTTCATTTCCATAATTTCTTGACAGTTGCTTCAAAATCAGCCTCATACTTTGTCTATTTATCTATTTGTGATTAAATTTATTGTTATGTTGCAGTAGGTTTATTAAGCATTTCTGATTAGTTCAAGAAGAGACAACATTTTTTCAATCCTGAGCTTGTTATTTGACTGCTACTGGCCTTGTCTTTGGAAGGACTCAGTCTTTCCCTGCTTTGGTCTTGATCCTGACTTAGTCTCAGTTCCTCAGTTCCCCGTTTGAATTAGCACAAAGAATCACAGGATATGTTGGATATTCAGAGTAGCCCTGTAAAAGTAACCTGCATTTGAAGGACACTTTAAAGTGGAATTACCTTCAACACACCACTGAGATACAATCAATCTTGGATTGGGTCACGGCTTTGGTCTTGGTCAGGTGACGATTTTCCCCATGTTCGATTGTGTACCTCATATACAGAGACTATAGTCCTTGTTTGGCTGTAATTTTGGCTCTTTTTTGTATGTCATCTCCCACTTTCTTCCCTGAACATTTTAGCGTTAGTCTTAAATGGGGGACATAATGGCCCAATGACTTGGTCTTGGTTTATCTGGTCTTGATAATAGTTTAAGTGAACAGCATTAAAAGGTAAAACAACATCAAAACAGCTCTACGTGTAGATGTGTAGATTAAATTAAATAGGTATAAAAGAGACAAACTGAGAGGTACAATACTGTTGCACTGACTTTTAGGATAAGAAAGAACCACAGAGAAGTTAGACTTATTTCCACTGTGGGTCTCTGTGCATGTGAGTGTACATGAGTGTTTGTGGTTGCTGGCTGTGGTCTGTCAGACGGCGCTGGAAGGACTACAGGAGTGGAAATAACTTCACTATTTGCCTGGGCGACTGCTGTGATTTATTTCGATGAGCTGGACAAATCTCGGGCTGCTGTGGGACAAGGATGAAGAAAAGAGTGATGACAACAATAGGAGGGGCGATCAGAAAGGAGATGAAAATACTGGAACGGCAAAATTAATTGACCAAAGAAAAACGATTATCAACTTATTCTTCATCACAAGCCTCTGTCATTTCCTGTCAGCAAAGTCAATCATATCTTCGAACATGCTCTTTGGATTCTCTGCGCCGTGGTGCTCTGGACTCAGTGAACCTATCCATGCAGAGCAAACAGGATATTAATTTAATAAACAGCTGTAAACCTCAGCGTCTATTTCTTGTCAAACTGACAACCACGTCAGTGGGTTGGATGATTTTGGAGTGACCACCGTGCATATTGCTGTCTTGTCTAGCCTTTTATTGGGCCAAGGTCTAAGAAATCAATCATTTTAGCGCAAATGACCAATAATATTCTCTTGAATTAAGGTCCACTAACATTAAGACTAATAGAAACCTATAAATACATGTGCCCAAGCTTTCCATTCATCAATAACGGTTTGATTATTTCTCTAAGCTCATGGGTTTAAACATCCTTGACAGCTTTGGTCAATCAAAATTGTGCTCCGAGCTACTTTCCGCCGCTTCAGGGTGGTCTGACTTTTTCTGACCAGTCTCCCTGTAACTCATTATTAGGGAAAAGGGATTCTTCATCCTGCCTGTCACTCTTTCTTTCATTATTCCCAGTCTGGGATTGGTGAAAACACTTTTAAGGACTACTGCACAACTGAGATTTCTGTTATGAGAGAATGTCTTGCAGTAAGATCATTCATAACCTGTTTGTGTTGGAGATGTGAAAGGAATCCTGGATGAATCCTTCTGACATGAAACAGTAGTAGCTTTGTTGTTTTTTTAACCTCACACTGAGTACATTTACAGGCATTTGGCCCAGGCAATAGGTGTTGGCCGAGGTTAGGTAAATCATATGTTTTGGCCTGTCTTCTATCCCTCTGTTGTAAGTGATTTAACTTTTATGGTAAGGATGTGTCAGATTTAATGTCAATTTAGGAGAACCAACATTTTCGGTGTATGTGGGCCATATTCAGCTCTGTGGTTTTGGATCAGTTTTACTGCAGCCTAACACACTCTGGTGCGAGGGCAGGGTTAAGGAAGTTCCTTATACCACTTGGAATAAATCCCTTGGTTTGGAAATAACATCTTCATCTTGCAACTTTAGCAGTCGAAGATTGACTGGATGACACTCCTAAGTCAAAGTACATATTACCAAGCAGCAGAATGAATGTATTTAACTGTATGCACATGAAACCTATTACTATCACACGTCTAAGACCACTTAACACTTCGCCCTCTTTAATTTGATCATGTCCAATTTATGGGATCAAACAGCAGCCTTCTTTAAATGTTGACATCCAGTGTCCTAGATGCTGTCACTCATTGCAGCTTAATGCTTTCAAATCATGATTTCAACACTGCGTCACTTTTGGGCTAAGAGATAGTTTTGAAAAGGAAAAGGAAATCTTTTTTTATTAGATTTGATGTCTCACTCATGTTTTTCACTCAAAGAGGAAGGGGAAATACTTGTGGTTCTTGATTTCCAAGTATGCTTTTTTTCTTGATATATCTAGAGTTTTATCATTGTCAATGTCACTATGTCTTTTACAGGCGGTAATTTGTCTCTTGGTCTTAGTACTTTTGTCTAAATTAAAGCTGGAGCATATCTTGGATGTTGACAAGAGGTCTTCCTGAAGCACTCTTATTATACACGTACAGAGCTGGACATACATTCCTGTCTATGTAAACATGCTTCCCCACAAAGATTCTGACTCGTGCACTTTGGTAAACACCCACACCACAGGCAGACTGTTGGGAGTTATTTGTACTTTGCTCCGGGGGACAATTATAGAGGAGCTGCTTGATTGCAAGAATCTTAGAGTGCCAGATCTGCAGCTCCTATACCGGATACAAAAGCCTAATGTAAATCCATGGAAGGATACTTTCTCCGCTCGAGCCTTTGTTTCTTATCTAAAGAACGGTTCTTTTAAGTCGGCCAGATGGAGAAACTGAGATCAGAGGAAGTGCAGAACAGATGATTCTGCTTACTTTGAGGATAACATGCAACACAAACTACACCACACACTGTGTGTTGTAAGAAAGCATGCAGTGAATTTTATAAGTTAATGTAGTCTGATCTTGAATGATCAAAGTCAGGGTTTTAGAGTTGTAGCTTTGTATTAACTGCATGTAGAATTAGCAAACAGAGGTTTTATAACGGTGCATGAACATTTAATAACTTCACATTTACAATATTTTCAAGTATGAGAAAATGATTTCATGCAGTTTTTGATTCATGTTGATCTATTCCCTTTTAATTTACTCACTCACCTACTTTCTCACTGGAGTGTTGCATGCTGAAAACTAACAAGGAGCTTGTCTGAAATCTGAATATTTCAACATTGAGGTTGTAAGGAGCTGAATACATGGTTGATTGATATTGAAGAGCTCTGGAGGGAGTGGCAGCAGGCACATTTTGAAAAGTGAGCAGGGATGTGATGGGCAGAGAAGAGGGAGGGATGGAAAGGATGCAGCAGCATGTGGTGTGAAAGCATGAATGCGGGATGCAGCAGAGGTGCTGGTGGTTACCATGACAATGAAAGACGTAGAAGGAGGTCAGAGGAGGTGGGGCCAAGCTAATTCATCACAGCTTACTCGCGTGTGTGTGGAAGTATGTGTGTGTTTGTGTGACTTCACCTCTATATTTCTAGGTATGCCCTTGAAGCAGACAGTGTCTCTTCCATGTACACCATTTACACACATATTACTTGAATGCTGTGCAGCGCAGGAGGGGATTGGATGTGGAGCAGACTGGTAGGCTGACCAGACATGCAGGTCATACAACAGGGTTTCCTGTTAAAGAGGGTGAGAGAGGACACAAATACTTCTCCTTTTTTTTTTGCTCTTGTGTTGCCTGTCACACTCTCCATTGTAACATGGCTTTATCTTCTACAACATGCTGGCTGACAACTGTATCGCAACATGCCACAATGCTGCAACAGAAAGGAATGAAAAGGGCTGGAAGGACTGCAGACTTTTCTTTCTTCTCAAATTAAAGCAACCAGATGAGAATGAGTGCAATTTGAAATGTGCATGTACTTGTGTGTGTGTGTTCATGCATGTGTGTGCAGAGGTGGGATCTTCCTTTCCTTTCAAAGGTATTTTTCATGGCTATCAGGGGAGGCGTAGGGGTCATGTTATTGCAACTGGGCAAAGAGACGAGCTGGCAGACCCATTGTGTGAACACTCACCATGTGAAGGATGATCCCCATTACTTCATACCATAGACTGTAGTATAGCATGCATGTGCATTTTTGTATGGGTGTGTTTGTGTGTGCGTATGTGTATAAAGGGGGGTGGCAGGGTGGGTTTTCAAAGGGGTTGGAGCCAATGTGCAGTGGTAACCATGGTAACAGGACTCTCAGGACCACAGGGAAGGAGTACAACAGAGGAGGAGGCGGAGGAGGTGGAGGGGGGGACATGGGGAGACAGAAGGAATTATTGGGGAGAGGGGTTGGCGTCTGTATCTGATGATAAGCAATGAGGTAAAATGGAACACACTCTATTTTTTGGGGTCCACTTTAGAAATATAACCAGCTGCAAAATATGGCAGGGCCACATTAATGACCAGTAAAAATAATGTCTTTCACTCTGGTAGGATTAGTCTTTATATTTTTCTGCATAAAAAAATCTTAAACTGTGCCTTTACACATGTGATAACACCTTTTTCTCAGCTCCCAGAGTTGCCTAGTAAGACTTTAAATTTCAGTATTGGCGAGTATTGGCCCATCTGCAAATAATGTGCCACACTCTGCTGTTTGGCCATATCTAGTTCCTATTAATATCTTCATCTTAATAATTAAATGGTGGCAACCTAATACAACTAAATGTGAATTCAGAGAAGAGAGCTTTTATTGTGCAGAGGAAAGTCACCACTTGGATAAGCTTAGATTTTCTTTTATGGTTAAATTTGACAGAAAATGTTCACAGTGTGGGAGTATAACACCATCTCTGAGATATATCAGCAGCATGCGGTTTTTAAGATGTGTACCAGTGACAGTTTAAGTGGAGGGAGAACTAAAAAAACAACACTGACTTACATCAAATTTCATAGCTCAATGAAAAACAGACAGAAAGGAGAAAAAGAACATTAAATAAAACATCTTTTTCTGAATTGGATAGTAGCTTATTTTTTCACATTTAACTTTGGTTTCAGCTACAGTTTTGGCATCAATGTTAGTATTTGCAATCAGCATTGGTATTGGTCTTAATAACAGTATCGGTATCAGTCTCGCTTGTCACAATAGACCCATTTGTGCATTTGTATGCGCTCAGCTTGGTTTCCCATCATCTAAAGTCAAGCTTAATGTGAGGTTAACCATGTTCTTCCATCTGCAAAGAAACAACATGTGCGGGATTTTATTGGCATCACCTTTAAACCCCATGTGGTCTGCGGCTGCTTTGAGGTAAACTGAGGTAATGTTGCTTTCCAAAACTGTAAATACTCCGAGCATGAGCCAGATCGACTGGCACAGCAGTAGGTTCGACCTGGTGGTTTGAATTAGCAGAAAGGTAAATTCACATTCATTATATTCCTGTCTGTTTTTACTCACTGCGTCATTTATTTTCTTGCTTATCAGAACTGAAGGTTGGTGTTTTTCTTCTGCTTTACTTCCTCTCATGTCTCTTTGAGTTTCAGTACCAAACCCTGACAAGCGCCACATAGACACACACCATTTACACAGCCTCCAACTGTGGCTCTAAAAGGAGTCCTTTGTTTTCTTAATTGTTAATGAAACATGTCACTCTCTTTGAATGGGACACTCATGTGCCAGCTGCCGGCTATCCCAACTGAGAAATGGAGTCCTTATTCATTTAATTTAAGGCACGAGCCCCTTCCCCCCATTTGAAAGACCGATTTAAACATGCTTGAAAGATCCCCCTCTCGCACACACATATGTGCATGCACAGACACACAATGAGAAGAGGATGAGGAAAAGTGGGTTCAATCTTTTGTCTGTCACAGAGTGAGGCTGGATGGATGACCCCCCCTCTTCTTCTTCATCTGGTAACAATCACCTCACAGGCTGCCTTAGCCTCTCTGCTTGTGTGTGTGTGTTTAAGCACGTGTGACGCTCACAAGCATGTAGACATTAGGACAAGCATGTGTGTGTGCGTTCATGTGTGTGTTTCTAATCCCAGAGTGCCACTAGGAAGCCCCATCCATCCCAGTGCTGTCCGTAAAATATGAAGAAGGAGGAGAAAGAGGAGGAGGAGGAGAGGGAGGGAAAATGGAAAACTACAACATGGAATGGATCGGGCGCTTTCATTCTTTCCTTTTTTTCTTGTGGGTGATTATTCTTTTATATTTATTTGCCCAGCAGACGTCCAATAACACATCCTCCATTTTGCACATTAGTCTGGCCTCTCTTCCAGCTGCCTTTCCCTCTCAGTGTGGAGTGGATGTGAACCCCAGTGCGTGGTCCAGGCTGCCCACAGCTCCACACAATGCCCACCTTTATTTCACACCCCAGGGGCAAATTCTACCGCTTGTTCCTTGATTAATGCAGCAAGATGTTTTGTTGAGGAGGGTTCATTTAGCTTCATTAATGTCCTCCCGCTGCACAGCCTTGAAGACACATAATTAAGTCTCCAAATTCAGAGCTGTTTTTATTAAGTTAGGACTGTAGAGAGCGAGGGTTTGAACCCTGACTCAAAGTCCAATCACTGGTTTGTTTGGCATTTCTGTAGCAGGTGTTAGATCTCATTGATAGAGATTAGATCTCTTTGCAGGGTGTTACAAAAATCTTTACTTAAAATGAAACAAATAGGGGACAAAATCTGGGCAGGGTCACTTTTCAAAATGACTGATTTCAAAGAGGTGTTTTTTTGAGGTGATTCATACAAGACCTTCACCAAATACTCTAACCTCACTCTTTCTAAAGATCACTATCAAACCCAACGGCCAGGAAAGTTAAAAAAATTACAGAACAAACACAAATGCACTTCCTTTTATGAAAATTTTCATCTTATATTTGTCAACTCACACAGCTGATCTGACACGTTGGACTGTGCATAAAAACATATTACTAGAAAGGGCTGTTTATATCAAAATGAAGTGGTGAAAATATCCCATAATATATTATATCAATTTATTTAGGACTCTTTAGTAGCTGAACTATTTGTTTTGGTTGACCTTATCTTTGGCATTTTCCAACTTGTATGTTGGAGCCAAGTGACAACAACTAAGTGTTCAAAAACTAAGCCAGTGTGTAAATATGAAAAACTGCAATTCTTTGAGTGTCCACTAGAGGCTGGTCCCAAAAGCTCAGGAATACCCATTGACACCCACATTGAAGTGTCTATTTTAAAGCAGAAATAAACATGGTACAAAACAAGTGTTAATCTGAGTAGCCACTTTTTTTTACATACCGTATAAGGGGGGGATTAGTTTTTAGCATATTAAAGATAATTAGTTTTTGTAGCACGGCTAAACTAGTTGACAGGTGGTCTCATTGTAGCTATTAGCCAAGAGGTTGAAGGTCTGCTTGTAGACTCTATAAAACATGGTAGTCTCAGTGAAATACTGTGTTTTTCCATGGAAAGACACAAAATTGGAAATGTAGACTCAAGACTGCTGTTGGTCAAGCTAGTGAGAGGCAGAGACGTGGAGTTAGGCAAGCCCTTGGACTCCTGGCTATCAGATATTACGCCTGCCTCCTAACTCCTAATTACACAAAACTCTTCACCTTAATGACCACCATTGTTCTGCTTCAAAACACAGCTTCACAAACCAGCATGTTGCATGTTTTGTACAGTATCTGGCGGTAAACTACTGCTGGCTTCTCTCAACAGGAATTTAAGCGACTGTTATCACCTCTTCATAGTTCATTTACTTGTGATATGCACCCCATTCGACCCCACTTTAGAAACCAGAACTTTCCCTATAAACCGCATCCCTCCGTAAGATTTACATTTACACTGAAGACAAAACAGGTTGCCCTATATTTAGAAGAAACTTGTCTATTTCCAAACCACCCATCTTCACATCATCTCATTTTGGTTTCAGTCATGGCTCCAGCTCTGTGCACCGTGTAATAAAGTAATCTAACTTCTTCTTCCTCCAGCCAGCTCATCCCAGTGATTTAGAGGACTCTAGTCAGGTCCACATTTTCACAAGGTTAGGTTTGATGAATAAGACCTCTTCTGGCACGGCTCTCTAGGCGTCCCGGAGTATAAGTGTGTCTCTCTCCTTTTTCGCCTTACATCAGTGAGTCATGATATACACCAGAGAGCATTTGGCTGGAATCCTAAATGAGATACACTGGGTCGCTAGGGTGACAGATGAAATTATGCACTCGTTTCTTCAGGATGAGTGCAAAGAGAAAAAAAAAAGATGGATCAAAGCTGAAGTCCTGGTTTGCTCCGAGAAGAAAATTGAACTTTGAGGATTTAAAATATTCAACTAAAATAGAAAGAGTTCAACTGCGCACACACAAAGAAATAGAAGAGGAGAGCGGAGAGATGAAAATTAGATGGACAGGCGTGCAGGTGAACTGGCAAACAGGCTACACACTCGATTTCATGCTTTTTCTGTCTCAATATCTTGGTATAGGAGGTTAAGGCGTTGCTGGTGGTCTGTGCGGAGTTGGCGTGCTGAGTGTTCCATTAATCCCACTATGTTGCACAATGCCCACACACACACACTAATGAACACAACCATGCATACATGCACATACACACACGAACACACTAACTGAACATCAAGCGGAGATCGACAGCCAAGATAGAGGGGAGCTGTGGCAATTATACACCTAATAAATCAGTCATTCACTCATTTTTGTATGTATGCACTCACTGTGTTCCCTCGCCCCTCCCCTGACGCTGATGACCTCTACACCCACATTCATACGCTATATAGACACACATATTCATGCAAGAGCACCAATAATAAGGCTTGTATAATCACGTTCATTGAGGGGTCACCTTTGCTGGTACATATTAAAGCACACGCACTTATTTCATTGCTGACAGCTGGTTTATGGATTGACCTCAGCTCGGTTCCATGAAAAACAACATATTTTAGATCTAAAGACAGCCTTCTGTAGATTCTTCACTTGGGTGGAGTGATAGAGGAGTGGGTATCTAAGATCTGGATTAAGGGCGTAAACATGCTGGCCTGGTTAAGCCATCGGTCTCCCAATTTTTTTTTTAACGTACCATAGAAGAAAGACGGGTGGGGTTCTCCCTGTCCTACACTAAGCCAGAGGCTGGGCTCAGCTTGGCAAAAACAGGATGACTGTGTCAGATGTCCCGAGTTCCTCAGGTGTGAAAGACAAAGGGACATTTACGTCCTGACACGTGTGGCAGAATTATAGCTGACAGCTTCATCCTTTAGGCTTTGCCGCAACTTCCACTGAAATTCAAATTCATGCGAGACGGAAATAGAAATCTGTGAAAGAATATAAAGTCTCAGCTGACATGCAGGAGCAGCTCAGCGTAGTGTCAACCCAAGTCAGTACAGAACCAAACCTTTGACTTACATTTAACAAAAGTAAATCCATCTATGTCATTGTCAGATAAACAGCAAAATGTGAGCAGCAGCTGAGGTAAACATTGTAAAAAGACAAAGATGAGATGATATAATACATGATATGATAGAACTATCATCTGATAAGTATAAGAAAAGGACAGAAGGATTCACTCATGTAACTACTCGTACATGATTTTAATGTAAATCAGACCAGACGGTTTGATTTTTGATGCCATGATTATTTCTTAATCTGCCGGGGTTGTTTCAAAGTGATTTTGGCCCCACATAGAAGAAGAACCCCTCAGAGACTTCTCAAGTGGCCTTTCTAGATGTCTAGACCCTAGTTTGGGAACCCCTGCTGTAGCCTTAACACCACCTTGGAGAGACAAAGGAGCTGGAAGTCAGGTTTGGTTAGCCGACAGACCACAGAGCCACGACAGGGGTAATGTGAGACACAGGCTGTAGCAGACCTATGGAAACGGAGAGACGTTCGTTTATAGTCCAGCTATAGAGATTTAATCTGTGCTATTAAGCTGGCCGGCGGCGTCCCTCTGCTGGTCCTCTCTTATGGGAATTTTCAAAGGGAACTATTACTCTGATTTACTACGGACAGGTTTCGAATAGTCTGTGCTCTCTCTTCTGGTTTCTGAGTCTTCCTTTTACTCTTATCTGTTTTATCATGGACTTGTTTGCCAAACCAGACATGTACATGCATGAACCCACCCTATACGGTACAGTTTGGGTTGTGTTTATACATGCAGTAAACCTCAGGGGGCTCCATGTACACACATGGGTCTGGGTAACATTTCCCAGCAGGGTCCCTGAGGTTAAGGTCAGAATCTCATGTAACCCACTCCTCCCTGTTTTTTTGACTCCAGTGCCGCCCTCAAACGCTAGTCCAACGTCTTGATCAATTACAGCCAATATAATCACATGAGACCCCACCCTTCCTTCTCCTGCCCCCTATGCCTTCTCCTTTGAGCATGTTGGTCGTGGTAAAGTTGGCATCGCTGCACAGCTGCTTGTCCAATTTCACTATGATGACTATTTCCATTCACAAAATCAACTTTTCCTCTTGTTACAATCTCAATAACTCATTTTCTTCATCTGCATAATTGGTTTATTTTTTTAAAGAAGGAAATTACCTTTTAAGTAAAAATTAATCTGTGATAAGTAGCTGAATATTTCTCCCATCTTTGCCCGATTTTCTCTTTCATTTGAAACACTTGGAAGTAATCACACACAGCCATCTGAACACTCCCACATGTTCCATCACTCAGTGTTACTGTTCGAGTATTGAATGGTGGGAAAAAGTGAATTATCAACAATGATCTCAGCACCGTAGCGCTGTATTCTCCATCTGGCATAGAGTTTAGCACTGACCACCTCTAGGGTGAGTCAGTTGTGAGGAAATTAGTTTAATTACTGGTCAATCTACAGTGAGGAGAGGGGACCGAGAGAGGAGACATGAGGACTTTTATCTGATTTGGGGATCGTATAAAACTTGATTGTGTTCGTGCCTTCCAATGAATATTTTCCTGGTTTCTTTTGGTCTTGGTTTGTTCCGCCAGTCATGTCAATCTATTTTTCTGTCCGTCTCATCCTCTTGATCCTTTTTCCCCTTAGGAATAGCTTTAGCAGATGTATGTAAATACACACATGTGTGTGTCTGGTTTATCCATCCCTCTGATTGGGTTAAGGCCTGGAGCCTAGGGTAGAGACAAGGGTGAGAGCTGGGTCTGAGGCCCACTACTCACGCAAGGTGGTGAGTTTGGACCCCAAGCCATCTGTCAGCCCCCAGTCTTACTCACATAATGTACGGACTCAGAGGGAAAGTGAGGGCGACTCAACACTTTGGACAAAAAAAACAGTCTTGTTACATAACGCTGCAGTTTACTGGAATAAAGTCTGAAGTTCCAGGTCACTCTTTTTCTTGGATTGAAACTTCACACAGTAATTTATGTGCTGTTTAAGTTTCATGGCCATAACGCTAGTACAAACTTTGCTGGTTTAGGGTGAAGTGCAGAGGCATCGATGAAGTTTTACTGTCACATGCCCAAATACTGACCTTTATTTGACTCTGTATTGACTTCATATTGAAAATTGGTAGCAAGCTGGGATGAACAGCATGTGTCACGATGATGATTCTTGTGCCTCACTTCCTTTTCCATTTATTAAAACTTATTAATCATTCCTGCAGTCATATTTCATTTGGATAATAAATCTGGCCGATCTATCCTCTCTGATGGCTTCCTTTTCCTACCATGGCAGACTTTCTGGAAGAAGTGTCAAATGCTATCCTAACCAGCGGGAGATTACACTCATGTTTTCATAAAACTGAACTTTTCCCAAAGAAGTAAATTTGTTATCCTCCTCTTCATCATTTTCATCTGCCGTCTAGAGTTGAAATCTCCCTCCTTGGTCATAAACAAGTAGCTTATCATGTTACGCCGTCATAAAGTTTGCTTCACATTCAGGCCAAACTTCCTGTCACTCATACCCAGCTGTCATTCAACACTGATCGTGATCCTAGGTCAGCTCTGCTTTCACACAACTGTTTCATTTAAACTGACCGGGAGTATGCATGTTTGCGTGCCGTGCATATAGTAGGTGTTTTAGTCTCCGTTCGTTTGTGTATAAATATTAGTAAATCATGTGGAGCCTGGGCGAAGTGGATTAAGTGTGCAGGGTGGTTAAAGCAGTCCTTTCCTGTCATCAGTTGCTAAATGGGAAGCCAGAGTTTGAGCTATGGAGTAGTTTATATATAAACAACTTATACATTATCTATTTAAATCTCTTACGCCTCCGTATATCTTTGTGTACACTCTTCCTCGGTTAGTTAACTTTGCTGTATTTTCCTCTGACAGTCGCAAGTATTATAAATGAGATGCTGACAAAGCAAAACAGTTGACTCTTTTATTAGATAATCAACTGCTTACCAACTTAAATTAATGTAAGCTATTGGGAAATAGTTTCAAGCTAAATTGCTTTAACATTTACAATCTCCCCCCTGTCTCTCTATACTTGGTGTCTCCATACAAACACTGGTGTAGAGTGACTGATAGTGCAGTTTATAATGCTGACTGGCTCTCTAGTGCTAATTGAATACAGTCTCTCCCTCACCCTGCCAGGTCATGTTTCACTCTGTCATTTCAATATTTAATGCCCCTTGTAGCTGCCAGTGCAAAAACATTTACAGACCTATAGATCATGTGAGGGCAGTTTAGGAGAACACCCTCTCGACCTGGGATATCAAAGCATTTACGCCGGATGGTTACACGATGTTGACGCTTGCTGTAGCATCTGATCGTGCTATTAAGTGTGTTTTTATGCAGCTTTAACCTTGGCATGGAAGTACCAGAATAACTCCTAACGTCTCTGAACCTAACCACTCTGGAAACCATTACCCAGAATTGCCCTTGCTTCAAAGACTTATCTTGCGCCCTGAGCCCTGATGACGAAACCACTCTCTCACTTTGACTGCATTTTTATAAATTGGGCTGATAGGAAGAGAAAAACTTTTAGTGTTTGAGGAGAATGTTTTCTGTCAGAAAAAAAGTTAAGCATCTTTTTTTTGCCTTGAGAGTTTGAAGGCAGAGCTTATCGGTACCTTGGCAGGATTGTTTGCTCTGAAATTCATGAAATCAAAGTTCAGATTCGTCTCTGTTTGGTCTCATTTGGTGAGGCCATAGGAATTTAAAGTTTATAAAGTTCTAAGATTGGTCCTCAAACAGAAGTCCAATGGAAATCCTTTTTGTACTTTAGACATCAAGAGTAATCTAATGACTTCCTAAAGAAATTGCACAGGCTTGCAGATCTACTATACTTAATCTAGGATAACAAGACCAGGTGGCTATAACAATGTCTGTAGTGATAAGTAAAAAGGCCTTAAATAGAATCTATATTTTATTTCTGTCTATAAATACAGCAAATTCGACAACAAATTCGACAAGAAATACCAAAGTTCTAATTATTGATTAAACCCATGCTCTGCTCAAGGATTAAAACAACTGTAACAGGTAATAGGATACATGCTGACATTTTCTGACCCAGTTCTCTCACATCGCTCATATGACTGCGGTTGTCTCTCTGTGTAACTCTGACGTTGCCATAGCAACAAACGAGGAGACAGCCACATCAGGGGGGGGGCTTTCATAATCTGAAGCTTGACTTTCACCAGAACTGAAGCATCAATTTTAACACAATTAGCCTCATTAGTCTGAATGTAACTGTAGCCGCACATAAAAGCGCCGCACACAAACACTCGCGCTGACATGAATTAACCTCGTAGTCTCCTTCTGAACCAGGCGGTATGAGTAATCCAGATGTGTCCTGTGAATCGACTCCCATTATGAACCCATGAAAGACCTTTTTTTTTCATCTCAGCGTCTGTCTGAAAAGCTTTTCTGCTTTATTATTACTTCACACAGTTTCAGTCAAGCCTGGTACAGATTGGCTTTCATACCTTTTTACCCAACACCCTGTGCCGTCTAGAGAGCTCCCTTGTATAAATATCCCTTTACATTTGCACACCCAGTTTGTCTGTTGCTATTAGTACCATGCAAAAATCCTGTTTAATCATGTTCTTGTTGACAAGCATCCCTTTTGTCCTTGCTCATAATGAGGTTTGCCTTGTGGAGAGAAATGATGAGGGAAAGCCGAAGAGAAGGATGCACAAAGAGAGAATGCTCCATGCAGCAAAACATTAACTTGCTTGAAGCCATTTGAAGGCTCCATCCTGCACGCTGGTTATATTTTCTACATGCCTGTCTCTGCATATGTGTGAGGGAATTCTGTATGTTGATAGCTTAGATGTGGAAATCAATGCTATGCAACATGGAAGTTGAATGAGAGAGGGAAAAAAGGTGTCTGTCACCAATCTTTTTATGTGTGTAACAGGAGGGAGAAGAGAGGGATGAGGAGGGGTGTTTGAAGAGCAGAGCGGAGGGACGTGTGTACGTGTTTCTCCTGGGGTCTTACTGTAAAAAGGTTTAATTGAATCCAAGCAGGAGAGGTGTGAAATATGTGTCAGCAGAGTGTGGCGATTGTTGAGTCATACTAGAATAAGTGTCGGGTCGTCATCTTAAATCTGGAGGAAAAAAAGTGATTTATAGGAATTTTTTGCAAGTGGCTCAAGAAATACTGCACGGTTTGTGAAGGAAGAGAGCCAGTTTGCCTATGGATTTGGTTGTCACCTTTTCATGACAGGATTTATGTCCTTAAGGGCTAAGCTACATTTGTACCCCCATTGGCTAAAATTAGAAAGGGACAAACCGTTCACACGCAGTTTATCAAATCAGTCTGTCACAAACAGTCTTGTACCCCTGCTAGATGAACGTGTGTCAAAAAATATTTGCAAAAGAAGGATCTGTTCACATGCTAAATTGTTAGGCTAACAGCATCATGACTATTTCTGATGTTATATTGGGACCTGCAATCTTGGCCACAGGAGCAGAGCTACTGATCTCAACAAACTAACTGGGGATAAAAGTGTTAAAAGTTATAAAGTTTGCCTCATTTAAAGGTGTTGCACTTTTCATAGATGCTTTATTTCTCAGCAAAACAATCACAGATTTTTATGCATACCATAATTTTAATGTATAACTTATAACTTGTACTTTTTTCCTATTCTTTTATTTTTTACTATACACTGAATGATTTCATTTTTTTGTATACAAATAAGAAATGAATTCTGATGAATTCAACCCTTGTACAAAGCAAGATAAACATTAATCAATGGCTATTTAACTACTATCTTTTTAAGATACATTTATCAGCCATAACATTATAATCACCTTTATGATATTGTTTTGGTTGCTCACTCTTTAGTTCTGGGCCAAAAAGCCTTAAATTGATGAGATGTGGAGTCCACTCCAAACCCATCTCCAAGAGCCAAGGTTACATCCTTACACTCGCCCATAATTTCCTGTCTCAAACACGTCAACTTTGATAGCAAAATGTTTACTAGCTGTCTCAGATATTCTACCTGCTGATAGGCGACACTGTAAAGAGTTGATTTGTGTTACCCACTTCACCTGCCAGAGGTTGTAACGTTTATATTTGCTCATGCAGAAGCAAGTACAGACTTTGTAAATGTGTATGCAGAGGCAGAAAATGAAGTAATGGTCCTGAGAGGAAATTATATTAGAGTTTGAATCACCAATAGTGTTGCATTCTTTTGAAAGAGAGTGTGTAGCAGAGGTGTGTGTTTGTGTGTTTGTGTGTGTGTGCTTTCTTGTGATATCTGCGCAGAGGTCCAGTTCCTGAGCATATCGTTTCAAGCAGAACTTCCGCTTTTTTGGTCCTAACAATAGTGGCCACTTCCTGGTTTTATCGCATCATTTCCTGTCTTGGGTCTAATAGCATGTCACACCACAGCATCCGGTCCAAGAGGGTGGAAATCCACCCCCAGCCCACCAAGAAATCAAGGACAGGGTAAAAGTTGAAGAACCAGGCAAAACTAAATCACTGATAAATTGAATTAAGTCATTGTTTGCACCATTAATCACGTTGTGTGCTCTCTCTATCCACTATAAGGAAACATTCATCCCCAACATGATCTGGTGGACATCATGCAATTAGTGGACCATTAAATTCAAATGTTACACTTGTTCTGCAGCAGTTCCTCTTGACCCTGTTGCTTCAAATGGCATGTAGTGACATTTAATCACATTATGAACTGTCTATATTTGGCTGTTTGGAGTTTAACTCATTGTATTACCAAATTAAATAGTATATTAGCTTTAGTCATGTACTCAAGGTCAGGATCAAAGTCTACACGCAGCAACACTGACTTTGAGCTAAAACAGTGATTCATGAGGTCACATGACCAGTAAGGCTGCCGTTTTAACAGATTTTATCAGCTGTTGTCAACCATTCTTATCTTTTTTTAGGACCAAGGCTGCAGTCTCGGTGGTCTGCTCTAAAAGAAGGCCCATGAATTCTTATCTCTCCCATTCTCCCTTGATATTTCTGTTACTATGTGAAGCAAGCATTCAGGAAATCTAGAAAAACTCGGCAATGACAGAACAATGATACCTAGTTTCTATCTAACATTGCTTCATCCCTGTTAAATGAACTCATGCCTGCGAGGCTGAGCCCGTCTGCAGAATTTAAATGGAGTCATCTGATATACCTGGCTTACAGCCTTGTTTAAAGCTGCTGCAGAGTGTGATGGAAGCTGTTATGACTAGCATTGTGCTATGGGACATAATGCAGACGGATCAGAGGAGGAGAAGCTTAACTAAGACACTGCTGACAAGTTAATCTAGTCCCACTCTTCATCCAACACTCGCTGTCATGCCAGGTTAATTGAATACTGAAGTAAAGATGAGGACTTTCATGTTAGGCTTTATGTTCTGCTGTTCTGCCTCAAACTCTCTCCCTGTCTTACATCACATCTTTCCTGGGGGCATGGTTTAATGAAAATGTTACAGTGCTGATGTGGCCATGATTCACTGATTTTAATCTTCCTGGCTGATTTTCACATGTAATCATGAATTCTGACGTAATGTAAATGTGAAATAACTTAACAGTATTTAGAACATTTGGCTGAAAGCTCATCAAATCTTGGTGCAAATATAAAAACTGGTCATATTGTAGGATGATGAAAATGTAAATTTAATCAAATTGAATCTTGCTTTTTCTTTGATACTGTAGGATATGTTTTATTATTGAGGCAAAATATCATCCGTATCACATGTTTTGTTGCTTCACACACTTGAATCATTGTGCATTCATCAAAACTTGAACCTGGAGAAATTTTTAATCCTATTCAAAGTAATAGATTTGGATCGACCACAAGCAGCAAACTTGGTCAGCTAATGATATTTGCTGCTACTTTGATTAGATTTACCTCTCTTTTGTAACAGCAAAGTTGAGTGACATAACCTACAACAACTATAAATAACATGAATACAGCTTTAATACAGTACTTCATTTGTGAGAATGTTTTCAGCCACTCTTACCAAGTAGAAAAACAAATTTTAAAATGGTTTGCTACTTAAGAATGGCAAAAAGTAAAACCTTTTTAATTATTTTGACCAAGAAACCTTATCTGCCGGAGTCATGCAGTGTGTGCTTATAATAGAAAAGACGGATGGTGTGATTACGCTCCAAAATATTAAGGATCCACTACTGACTGGCAGTAGAATGGGTCCCAAAGTCTGCCTCCATGTTAACAGGTGGGACATGGGTCAAACTTTAAAACCACAGTACACATCTAATAAATTCTACTCTGTCATAATTTCTGCCATTGTAGTTAGTGCTTATCATGATGATTAATGCCAATCTGTTTACTTGACTGAAATTTTGAGCTTTGATTACTTATTTAAGAGAAAGTAAGTGACTGGCAGCCTCATTGACAAAGATGCCCATGCACCACATCAGCAGAGCAGTCGAGGGAACTGTAAGACAGTACTGTGCAATTACATCTGTGTGCGTGTCCACTCAGCTTTTCGTCATTCTTGGTTTTCTGAACCTGACACTGCTCAGTCCTGCCAAAACACTGATGGAGGGAAACCCAGTATCCACCAACAGAGCCAGTCCTCTAATGGAAAGCGCTCTCAGTTGGCGATCTGCTGCTGTAAGCCAAAATATGAGTCGTCAATATGCATTATGCTGATGGAAAGATCAGTTTTAACTTTATTGTTTAGCACAGAAATTGCTCTGATATGTTGAGTGCTCCTCAGAAGTCTGCGCAAGTCTTTGTGTTGGTATTTACTCTGCTACTGTACACACTGCGGCCTGCTATCTGTTTGTATCTTTATCCTTTGTTCACAGCATTGTGTGTGTGCACAACTTGTGCAGCTCTGTCTGCCAGTATGTGCCACAGAGAGTGTTTGAGATTAGTGAGATTATCAAAGCATCGAATCAGAGGAGCCGTGTTTCTAGTATACTGCCTCGGTTTACTGCCCCCTTGCCTTCTGTCATCAGCCACACCTAGTGGAGAACAAAGGATGTGGTGGCTGGCACTGACTGGAGCAAATGAGGGAGGAGGAGAGTGGGAAGCAAAAGACAAAAGAGGAAAAACAAAGATTAAAAACCTCTGGATAAATCGACCTGGCAGGGAAAGAAGTGAGAAAGGAATGAAGGCTTAACAGGGTTTTTCCTGCTTTAAAAGGGTTTTTCTGGCTCTTCTCGGTCAGATGGGGCCAGATGATGTCACAGGAAAATGTTCATATTAGTAATGGCACTGGCTGTGCCCGTGTTAGATTGTGTGCTTCATAAAGGTAAATCTAAGACATTCACAACCCCGTTAATGTCACATACATTAAATTTAAAGAGGAATGTCAACATTAAAAAGAAATACAAGCTTTTAATCTTTGGCCCTGAGCAATTTAATGACTGTAATACTTAAACTCCAGCAGAATATTCATCAATAAAGAAAACAAAATAAAGCTGGAAAATCCCAAACAAAGCCAAACATTTCCATCTGTTTATCACTAACATCTATTCTTCACAGCCTGTATGTGTGGTTTATATTTGCTATAAGTGTTGTTTTCTGATTTTAAACAGCAGGAGTTGGAGTCTTTTTTTGGTCTGCAGCCCATTTACAAACCACATCCCTATCCAGTATTCGCTTTTGGAGCTGTCTACACTCAGATACAAAACACACACATTTTTGTTGGATTAAAGAACATAGTGCACAGAACTAAAATGGTGCTCATGTTTATATTTTCCTCTCAGAATAATGACTGAAGATTAACCATCTAATTGTCCATACATTTTAGATGCTCGTCCAGCGTTGCGGTGCCGCCACTGCTGACTGAATGCACAGCAGAGGAAACGCAGCGTACCCCAACATAACAGAAATAAAATCAAAATCAACCAGAAATATTTTGGGGTTTTCTTGCCCGGTCAAAACCAAAATGACAGTGGACCGTGGCGAAAACATCCAGAAATGAATGCGACACACCCTCCTGGTATAGTAATGGACAGTAAACTGTAACCAAAATTGAAAACAGAAAAATGCTCATCAAAAACATGTTTTTATAACCGAAACCCAGATGCATGAATGGAGAGGGAGTTGGACGGAAGACGAAGTGTCCTCTAACCCAATATAAAGGGAGAAGAAAGAGGTCAAATCATTGCATTTAGGCTTTTAGATTTTATCCTACTAAAAATATTGCACAAGTGACCTTATGACTTCAATCCAGTGAGGACAAATTATCAATAAAGTCGGCCGAACAAAGACAATTAAACAGAAAATGAGGATGAGATTAAGGTGAGAAGGTTTTAAAAAGAAGGAAGCTCAAAAGTGAGCTTTTTTTAAGGGCTTTAAAGAGCAATACTCTCTCAGTGAAAAGATGAGCCAACAAGAGGGAACTTGGGGAAAGTTTTGGTTGGCCCCCACACACAAGGAGTCATTGTGTGCCTTTAGTGGTTGCTAACTGAGTTTGACAAGCCTGTTTTGACTGGATCCTCAGGGAGCTGTGTTTGAAATAGAAATTTACAGAAGCATTTTGTTTCTATTCTATCTAAGAAGCTACTTCTAAAAAAAAGAGGGGACACGTACCTCTGTGTCTCATGGAGGCAAAACTTTGCACGCTGGTTTGCAATTATCCGTTGTGATTGCAATTTTAAATCGATTTAAGAGAGCTAAATCACTGCTCTGTTTGGTGTCAAAATAGGCAAAGGCTGTGCAAGCATGAACTCGCTCTGTATCCTCCATCATGCTTCATACTACCCTTTAATCTCAGCGTACGTTAGGGTCAAGGCAGTATGGTTAACCCACAGGAGGCATGTAGTGTGCCGAGTCAACACACTGTCAGTAATGAAAGAGAAAACCAATAAGACTTTAAAGACAGAAGGGACCTCCCTCTCCTCCCCCTCACTTAAACGTTGTGTTCCCTTTATCTCTCTGTTATTTGCCATCGTATCTTATTCCACGTCTTCTTTTTGCAGTTGTATCAGTTGTCCCTCTTTTTTTAGTGCTGTGCTGAGCTGAATGTGACTCCCGTGATGGGGGGGATCTCTGCTGGCTAAGGTGCAAGGCTGCCATCTGAGCTGATGTAGGGGGGCCGAATTTAGGGGTGAGAAAAACACAATCATGTGGATGCCGCATGGAGGTCAAGTAAATACATTATAGGGTAAGCAAACAGAGGGGGAGTGAGGGCAGAAGCTGTTTTTGGCAGCAGTGCATCAAAATTGGGGGAGGGTGAGTTATGAGGGAAGCAGGATGCAAATCTGTCATAGCAGGTGCATGCTGGAGAAATGAAAGTAACAAGCTCTGATGTTGAGAAATGAAATGAACGTGATAAAGACAAAAGTTGCAGTTCCTTATCCTCTTAAAACATCAGAACCCATGTGTCCATTTTCAGAGCAGTTACAAAAACAAATTTGGTCTCTCTCATGTCTGTCTTATAACAATTTATAATGGGGTTGGGTTCTTGATAACTTGATAACTGGTTTTGATGAAATTAAGGTCATGAGTTTCACAAAATTGGGCGTGTTTGGGTGCATGGTTCATTTGACTATCCGACAGGCTCATGAAAGCTATTTTGCAGTCAGGTTATGACCTGAAAGCACCTGTCTGCAGGTTTCTATCTCAGGTGAAGTTAGTTAGAGTTAGCTTGAACAGAATTGCAAGCGCTGTCTTAAGGGTTCATTATCATGGACGGTATAAAACATGGATATAATCTCAGCTGTGCCATCGATTGGTGTCTAAAGCTGAGTTTTGATGCCAAAAAGTGTTGATTGACAGTGGAAACATGGATTTGGTCTAACTTTTGATCAGCCTAGCAACAAACAAAGACTCAACAGTTGTATAATAGAGAGGTGGGCTTTTCTGACCAAAATTATGCTTAAAGCATGTTTAATTTTACCATGAAGATTTGCATTTAACAAGATTTTTGACATTTGGAGCCGGTGCAAGTGAACACTCTGCAGTTCATTTTTTAGATCCCTTGTCACCGCTTGTAGGTGTTATTTCTTAAGAAATGACTGGATGACATCTCTGAGACTACTTGGGCTGTAATCAACCAAAGAAAATTCTTGGATCGACTAAAACCCCAAAATTTTCAACCAAAAATCATCCTTCTGCACTGGGGGGATGACGTGGCTTGGTGGAGCACGGCTCGGCGGCATGAAAATATGCTGATTTCAGCACAAGAAGGCAATTAAACACAAGGCAATTTAGGGAAAATTATCTTTGTTAAACACACGCTCTTCAATCTTCCTGTCTCCAGTCGGTTTTCAGTGGGTTGGGCGAATCCAAAATGGTGAAAACAAGGGGGGTATTCTGAGACAGGCTGTGAAACAGGGGTCCTCTGAAAACACCCCCATTAGCACCTGGTATATTCCTCCCGATGAAATTAACCATAGGCTGTAAATTGACGTGGGAAAAAAATAGAGTCGACCAATCAGAATTTTAGTCGACTCAGCACGCATCGACCAATAAGTCAACCAGTTGACTAGGACTTTACAGCCCTAGAGACTACACCCAAATTTTTCAAAATAAAGTCAATGGGGAAATCTATCCATAAAGGTTCCATAAACTGGTACCTTTTTTTGGTCTCCCTAAATAGATTACTAGTTTTACTCAAACCAGTGAAAACAGCATCCAGATGCATGAGTGCAAATGATGTACAAGAGTGGATTTCACTGTGTGTATTGACTGATTTGAGTAAAATCTGTATGCAAGGGGAGTATACAGCTAAAGAATTGCAGTGCAGCAAAGCAGAGGCTGTGGCTTATAGCCCAATGCATCGTGATGCATGCAGGCATCACTCATGCCCATGTTCCTGGTCAGTGTACCACATAATGAGGAATTGATTCCTTCAATTGACTTCATTTACCATCCACACTAACTGGACATACACATGAAACCTGCTGAAAAATTCTCTTCAATAATACATGTTAATGGTGTGAGGGCAATTAGAAACAAGATTTGGATGATGATGTGAGGCTAATTGAACCTCTTTGATATACAGTTTACTGTCTCTTTAGATCTCCACCCTCTCTTCATCCAATACTCGGCCCCTGCTCTCCCCTTTCCCTTCCTGCATGTTAAATCTACTCAAATCGAGCTTTGATCTGAGTCATAATCTAAGCCAACCCAGTCCACCCTGCTCCCTCTCCCTGGCAGCCTTCCTTGGTGTGACCAGCCATGTGATAGCTGGGACCCCATCATTTCCCATTACTGCGTGGCTTACTGCATCTTAGTCTTGGCCTCCTACCTTGAACCCCTTGGCTCAGTGTGTTGGAGGTCTGTTTACCCCGTGACTTGAAGCTAATCTCCTCGCTAACTCCCCATTAAATCTCACAGCCTTCATAGCCTGTCCTCGCCTCATTCCGAGGTGAAATTTACTCCCAAACTGAAACCGTTTTCTGCATAGAAAATCCACAAAAATACTGTTTTTAAAGAAAACCACGAGTTCTTTCTCTGTTCTGTTATGGTATTTATTAGGCAGGGTTGTAATTCTCTTATATTCTGTTAACTTTCTGTCGATCCCCTCTTCTTTGTCTCCCTAACCCCTCTGTGCCATATCTCCAAAACACCACATTAGCTCAGCTCTTGCTCTTCCTCCCATGCTATCCACCTTTCCTCACGCACACTTCTTATCCAGATTATTTCCACTCCTCTCAGGCCAGAATGGATGCACCACCCTTAAGTGCACATCACCACCTCATCTCTCAGAATCAAACCCATTAGTATGATCACTCTTTCTTCACTTCCAGGCCTCACTTCTGTTTACACCTCCTTCTCTCTGCTGTCTCTCTGGGACACCAACAACAGGCGCTGATGACCGTGTCTGAGGAAATGTGGACGGTCTTGTGTAATGCGTTCACACTAATTTTCTGTCTGCTGCTTTGACACTATAAGTAAGATTAAAGCTTTTGTACAAGAATATGAAAGCAGTTTTTCTCCTGTGCTGTCATGATGTCAGAGATGCGGATGTCATGATTCAGCACATTGAATTAAAGCAGGAGATACAGATTGAGAAAAGATGGAATGATGATGCCAGAAAAAAAAGCCCCCCAATTAATCGGAGACGCTCGGGACTCATTAGTTTATTCTTTGAAGCTTAAATCTCTCTATATGGAGTCTATTTAGTTTTAAATTAATCTTCATTCCTGCTTATCTATGCTTCTCTGCCTCTGCTGAAGCAATTAAGATTCCCACTTTCCCAACATTCAGATAAAGTGACTGTCTGTCTAAACATTCAACATTCCTCTGAATACCTGTGGCGCGCTTCCTTAGCTCTTTATTGGAGACAATGGAGTAATCTGTGGCTCCGGCCCTGTCTGCCCAGCTCACGTCTACAGTGTTTGTGTATGAAGCTACTACTGTGCTGCAGAGAGCATGCAGCGGGTCTTTGTGTTGAGAAGTCATTTCCCAGGGAGTTGACTGATGAAGTGCCGACGTGCAGCTGATTTAAGACTTCTTTCCACACATCTATAGGTGTGCAATGCCTAACCCTCCTCTCCCTCCTCTTTACTATTTTTTCTCTCACTCACTCACACACTCTCTCTCCCCTTTTTCAACATCCATGCCTGATTCGCTCACTGCAGGAGTTGGCCGTGTCTCTGACCCCAGGGCTGCATCATGCCTAGCCAACCTGTTTTTCTTGGAAATTCCTGTTGGCTGAGCTAGCTGTGGAGGATGGGGAGATAGTAGGGGGAGAAGAGCGCGCACATATGCGCTGGCAACCGCTCTCCTCATGAATGTGTCTTTAATGAATGCTCTATATGGATGACACCCCAGTTTACAAAGCCAGTTTTGCTTTCATTCACCCTCTGTTGCTTGCTTTAATCTAATTGTTTCCCTGCTGTTTGGCTGTCCACATGGACTGCCTTTTTTCTTCTTTGTGTGAAAATCAGGACTGAGAAAAAAAAAAAAAAGAGAGAGAGAGAAAGGTGTCGACCCCAAAGGAACAATTTTCTGTGACCCTTTCTCAGGGAACGAGGGATGAAAAGCATAAAGATCAGAAATGGGAAAAAAGCAACAGAGACAGACGAAGATGAAATAATCAGCTAAATCAGCTTTGGACAGAACATTCTGTCCCGAGAATAACTTGGCTTCTACTTCTAAGCACAGTCAAAAAAAATCAAGCAAAATACGATTTAACAGGTGCTGCAGGAATCAGGAGGGCCTTTCTCACCACTTCCTCGTAGTCACCTCACATGTGCAGAGTCAGGAAATTAATGTAACAAGAATAAGCTAGTCTCACACCACCTCAGGCTGTGTATGAATATGTAATCCAAGTGGCGAATATCCCTCCTTAACACACAAATACACAGAGGTTTTTGTGTCTCTGCATGTCAACTAAGAAGAACTTAAGAGTTCATAAGAGTTCAGCTCCTGAACCTTCAGCAGAATAAAGTAAATCAATAAAATTCATTAAGATGTAATTGCTTTGACGTCAAGCTGGCCATTCAGCAGTTTCTGTGTCAAGTAGAGTGCAAAGTGAGCAGGAGAGTAAGTGTGGGGATGAATGCTTTAACAGTAGTCATCAGTGTGTAAATGATCAGCCCACACGGTGTGTAGCGACAGTTCATGACCTCCAGGGTTCTACATCCAACTCAGGTTGTTTGACCTCCCAACATAAAATTCGCTAACTATGTTTAGCTTCATCTCTTATTCCACCCTGATGCTAATGAGCATTAGCGCAAACAGGGGAACTCCTTGTATGTTCGTCTCCACCGTCGACCAAGAGGCTGACCCATCCCTGACTCTGGCTGTAGTTCAGGCGCGGGTCAACAAGAGACTAATCCAGTTATCATAGCCGCCCTATTACTCCTAACTGCAACGTGGCTCCATCTATTGTGAGGTCCAAAATGACCTTTATCATGCACATGACTACAGGACAGGGGTGAGACCATGTACAGTTGTAGCCTAAACAGAATCAGATTGCATGAGTCCACATGACTAGAAGTCACAGAGTATAACAGTAGTGGAAGTCCCCTACACATGTCTGCAAGCACTCAGTTATTGAAACACCTCGCAATGAAACTAAAGGATTAGGCAGAGGGGAATGATGGGAAGTGAGACAGACCTTCTGGCCTTCAGGTGGGCATGTTAGGATGGCTTAATCTGACATCTCCAGACAAACCAATCAGGCAACCTGGAAAACATGTCTAGGAGTTATGATGCTATCAGTGTATCTCATGTTGTGGAATTTTGCTGTGGTTACGCTTGGACATTCAAAACTGTGACATTGTATGTTTGTATTATAGTATGGGTCTGTGTAATAGGTGTCTTTTCAGTGATTTTGCATTATAGATAATATGAAAGCTTACGTTGCTAAACTAGGAGTGGTAAGCTCTTTATGCGCAACTGATTTGAGTGTCTTATTTTTATATCCCATATTTAATTAATATCTGCTTGTTGAGGCCTCTTCATTTATAGGAGGTTCCCATTTGGGTTAAAAATAGCAGTTACATGTGTTGAATTGTGTGCACATGTGTGTTTGGATGACACGCTATATTTAAAACCTAAAGTGTGATTTGATTTAAGGATAAATGGATTGGATTAGCTAAAATCAACAATTGAAGGCTGTTTGACTTAATTCAAGGAAATCTTAAGTGGCCTACCTTATTAAAAGTTTATATTATACTGAGATCCCTGTGTGTATAGTTTGTTGTCTTGAACCTTGACCCCAATTTGGTGTTAAGGACCTTTGAGTTAATTCTTTTGAGTAATCATGTATCCCCTACGGTGAGACTTTTTGACCTCAATTTAACATCTCTGCTCGGTACATGTCCCGACTTATCTTGAGACATCTTATCAAGTAAATATTAATTAACTCAAGTGGCAGCCCAATCTGTTCATTTCAATAAAGGAGTTCTCTTTTTTTTAAGTGAAATACACAACCCAGAGACTGAGCTACTACAACAGCTTTCAAACATAGGCCTGTTAGTGGTTTACTTTTTTATCCTGGCCTGGATTTCCCCATCGCTCAAGACTGTTCTTTTCATTGTGATATACACGGTATGAAATCTTTCTGGACGTGCAGCCACTTTGATTCACAGACACTATCAACTTACAGACTCGAGCATATTGTTTGAAGTGTGCAGAGCTGATATAAAACGGCACAAACACGCAAGAAACACACATAAGGAAGATCTTGTTTTGGGCTGCTGTGCCTCCCTGCTGTCAACAACTATCAGAGAAACCCAACACTACATGTAAGCCTAAAGCTCAGGGGGTGCTGCTGGTATCTGTTACTGTTGTCACTTCCCGGAGGTGGAGGTCGGTAACTGCCTGACCTGTGGCACAAAGAATTAGAAATGGATCAACATTGAGATATCACAGAAAGAAAAAAGTTTAAAGCATAAAAAAGAGGCAAAGAAGCAAGAAAGAACTCATGAGGTGATCTGATAATGTCAGGAATTAAAAAAATAAATAAAATCAAACTGACAGAAATTAAACCTGATAAACCCCGGAGAGTCACATTGTGCAGGATTTTGAGGCTGTCACTCTTATTCTTATTTTACACAACTTGAACATCAATCAATCAGTATTTATTTATATAGTAGTTTTTATACACAACCATGTGGTACAAAGTGCTTTACACAGAAAAAGGAATAAAAGAAATAAAGAATACCCAAATCTACCCCACCCAACCCCTTATTCCCACCCCACAATCTGAACACAACAGAAACAGTATAAAAATGCATAAACTTAAAAAGGGCTTGATTTCGTGGAAACAGGAATGTGTGCACTCAAGAAACTCCATTTTAAAACTCAAGATAAGAAAAAATGGAGGTTTAGGTTAAAATCTAAAGGCAAAGTAACATATAAGGAAATTTAAGAAACGACAAATAAAATGAAATAAAAACAACAGTAATAGATACTAAAATAAGAGCACCAAAATAGCTCAATTAAAGACCATCCTGTCATCAAAACTAGAAAGAGGTAAATGCTAAAACACTTAAAGTCAATGATATAAAATTTAGTTAAAAGCAAGACTAAAAAGGTACGTTTTGAGTTTGGTTTGAAGATCATTAAGATTTGGTGCAGTCTTCAGGTCTTCAGGCAAGCTGTTCCATAGCTGTTAACATAGCTTACTCCACACACATACTCAAACTTGTCTCAATGGATGGAGAAGCTCAACTTGAAGTTTGGCAGACCTCTGACCTGAAAGACTCAAATTATTTGATCACACAGATTCACACACACATAGACAGACATAGACTTTTTAATGAGCATAATTGATGCTGATAGTGTCAGATGAGTGCTTGTTATTTGTAAAGCCACTTCGAAAAGAGAAAAAATAACGTCAAAGTCCGTCCATATTAAAGCCCAGCTCACTTACAATGATAAACACTCTCCATCCTATTAGCCTGAACCTCCCACATCGCAGCGTGTTGGTTTATAGATTGAGGAATAAAATGACACTGAAACATAAATGTTTATGTGGTGAAAATCAGGCTCCAAGTAGCCTGGAAGTTTGTGTGCATTAAGAAACGCCTGCTGCTCCACAGAGGGGGGACTTGGTTTCATTGAGATTTACTTTATAAACCAGTGATTTAGTTTGGATTGGAAACATGTCAGTGCAGAATCCTTTAACTCAACTTTGGCTAGATTTATTGTATTCTTAGCCCCACAGGCTCAGATAGTAATAGATAAATAATGTAATAAGTCTTTGAGTTAAAGGCTTCCATCTGGCAACTTGTGTGACAATGCCCAAACCGCTCTAGTGTAGTAGGCAGAAGATGCATGGAGGCATTGTGGCAGTGACTGATGAGTTTTCAGAGTCTGTGTTTTTAAGAGGTCAGCCATTTTTACTCGCCCTGTTTTGAGTATATGACAGCGAGTGTCAAAAGAAAGTAGAAGTATGAGTGCGGCTTCCTGGTGAGTAATGTTCGGGTTCTCTATCAAAATAAGTTCTCCTCCTGAGAAAAAAGCAGAAAAATAGAGCTGGGGCCTCTTTCACTCAGTATTTTTAACATGTCTCGCCAATTTTTCTGGTGTTTTCCAAATTCTTGTCATCATTTTTTTCTGCTAGTGACTCTTTTAATAAATTGAGAGTAATATTAAAAGATGTCTTCCTGTTGTAGACCAATATTTTTGGAAGCACACTCACTGTACCATGACTCCTTTCTGCAGATTGATTAAATATATGTGGCCTTTGTGATCAGTATTCCCTTTGCTAATCACGATCAATAAACAGTGTTCTGGGGTTTTGACCAATCAGAACAAGCATTAACACAGCTGGGGTGATTAGTAAGAAAGCCAGGTAGTAATTGATGATACTGAACTATGGCTAAGCCCCATACAAGGTAACTAATGATGTTGCTCTAAGTACCTGTCACAGCGTTTAGCATTACTTAGCAGCAGTCTGGTGTTAATAAATTAACATCCATTGTCTTTTCTGTCAAAGCACATGATGACATAGTGACCGATGAGGCCTCCATGAAACTGTCCCGTGGTCCCAGAGATCACATACAGGATGCATGACTAAATGGGTGGAGGGCTGCAGAGGCTTAGAGGCACTATTGTAGTTTAGCAGAGCAAAAACCGTGCAGTCAACAGGGATTAACCTGAACCTTTCTGGATTGTGTAAAGGAGGTATTGTGTGTATTTGATTATGTGTCCACTTTGGCCGTGTTACTAAGAGGGCATTAGTTTAACACTGACGCTTGATTGGAAAGCTTAGACCTTTGTTAATCTTTGTCAAAGTGATGTAATTAATTTGTTAGACACCATCTGTCAAGATTTTTAAAAAATCTCACTCTACTAATTTTTGAGTATATTTTACACCTCTGGGGGAAGCTCACGTCGACTTTCCTTTTCTCCAGCAGCTGTTTTCCTAACTGATTTTTTGAATCACGCCTATTGATTTCCTCTTTTGTTTGCCTTCTGCTCTCACAGATGGACTAATCAATACGTATAATCAGAATTGTTCACTGTGTCTGCCCACACACGGTACATTGAGTGTTACAACACAACATTTTCCAATTTGCAAAGCCAACAAACTAAAACATGTCTAACAGAGTAGATTACGGAGCATCAGTATTTCCCAGCCTCACATCCACTTCCCATCTCCCCCCCTCCACGACACAAACAGACATGCTCTTCAAGTTAAACACAAATTAGAAACAATAACCATCAATGAGATGCGTACCCTCAAATTCCACGTACCCACTCCCAATGATATAGTTTGAAGAGTGGTCACAAAGTCACAGACTCCTCAAAGAGAGAATAAAATCCTGTGGTGTCCCATTGTAGGCCCAAAAAGCGAGGCAGATTCCACGCTCTATCCATCTCTTTGTCATGTTTGTATTGGTTAAACCACCAAAATACCCCATAATTTATGTAAACACACGCATGTCTGCTCTCATCTTGGTAGAAATGCTGCAGCAGAAACAGAAATACATCCCCCTAAACAGATTTGGCTGATTTAGCGAGTTAAAGGATTTAAAATTACCCCGAGTGGTGTCCCCCACGGCAACCGTGGGCCACACTCACTCCCATTATTTGTTCTCTTCAATGTTCGCAAACCAAACAGCTCAGACAGTCTCCGACAGCAGACCCTGTTTGAGGTTCAACCCCAGTCTGCTTTTGTGCTCTCTCTTCTCTTTAATTGATGTTTTCTCTTCATCTCTGGAGCAAAATTACATCTGCAGCGCAATAAGTGATAATCAGCGCTCATTTTATTTGACAGGAAGATGATGCTCTGGAGAAATCTTTTCTTTCAAGTGTTTTTTCTCTCTTTGTTTAGCAGCTTTCACTTCACTTTTCAGTATTTTGACGACATTAAACAGATCAGTTGCACAGCTCAGAAACAATGTAGCAGCGTTGAGCCTCATTAAATTCACAAATGTCCGACTTTGATTGCTGACCAAGGATCATTTACGAGGGCGTAATGTTAATTCCCCTAATTATGCTCCAAAAGAACACTCTGTCTCTCAGCTGATGCTGGTCGGTCTTGAAAATGGGAATCCATATTACCTCAGTCATATCTGATTCCCGAAACCGTGAGCACATAGCGATGGTTGTCTTTGTGGGTGGTGAACTCGCAAACTGGCCCTTAGACTTTGAACCTTGACCCTAAACTCTTCATTAGTCTCCTTGTTGGCAGATCATGACAGTATAATCCCCGGTATTTCACAGATCTCCAAAGCTGTTTCTGACTTGCTGGGGCCTCTGTGGCAGACAAAGACACAGGGTTTAAACAGCTATAAATATTCAACAGTAAGTAAAAAATAGGGCTGATTTTTGCCCCGATTACACCAGCTGTCAGTCAAAGCCCAAAGGATTGACTTTGAAAAAATCCTTTTTGGGAGGGGAGGGCACGGAGGAACAAACATACAGTAGACGTGCACAAGCACAACTCCATACCCAGAGGTTAAGTGTTGCCACATTGCAAGGCTTAAAATGAGATAACATCACCACCACCTAAATCCCCCAGCATTTCTTATCACTCCTCAGAGTCCAGGGAGGTGATGTCATCCCTCATCGTACACCTCTATCCTTCTGTCCATCCCTGTATGAACTTTTTTTCCTCCACTGACAACACTTTTTACCATCTTTCAATGCTGATTTTTTCTCCGTTCTTCCTCTGTTTATTCTCAGAGAACAGACAACTGTCTACAGTCGCAGAGTGTAGACAGAGTGGTGTAACTGCTGGGCTGTAGTGGTGTATATATCTTGATTTAGAACAGATTGCACCTGTAATCATTGGCTAATCCAGTTTCTCATATTAGTTAAATGAATATTTTAAATGAGGGATGTAAGACAGTCATTTTTTACCATATTGAGCTAATATAGCCTAGCGGTTAAGTTGTGTTCCCCATACACATCGGCTACAGTCTTCTGGCAGCGGTCGCTGGTTCAACTTCTGGCCACAACCCTTTGCTGCATGTTTTCCCCCCACAATTCCTGTCTCCCATCAGCTGTCCTATCCAATTAAGACAAAAATGCTGGCCCCTCACTCGCTACCCAAGGAACATGGACTGTGCATGCATGTTTACGTTCTACAGTCACGCACAGATACACTCAGCATGCACAGTGGTCACTATCTTAATGTTGGGCTGCTTTTAAGTTATTTCTCAGAGATATGAGTGGTACATTAATCCTGGACAACAAGGAGTGGTGGCAGCATGGCATGGTTTGGGTTATTTGACTGACATTGAAGTTATGACGTTAAATATATGTTGTTCAGCCCTGTCATAAGATGATACATGGCCATTTCAGAAGTCAAGAATATATGAGTTGAAACACATTTGGGACAAATTTTAAATGGGCCTTAACAATGGCTCCTGTGTCCTTTCACATGAGATGCAACCTAAAGATACTCTTCCAAACCTCCACCACATGTTTATATGCTAAACCCCCTCAGGCTTAAGCAATGACTTCATAGTATACTTCCATCTTCTACAATTATATCTTCTGTGTGTGTGTGTGTGTGTGTTTTGGTGTAGAAGCATGCATATTTGTTATTACAAAGAAACAGAAAGAAGCAGAGAAACTTTTCAGTGGCCTTCACCCCTTATTATGTTCATTAATATTATTAGCATTCTTTCTTCCAAATATAGAAGTCAATCTCTGGCGCTCTGTCTCTTTCACCTCCCTCCCCTTCTCTTCCCTTCACTGGTTTGATGTTCCTAATCATTTCCAGCCGTGAAATCCACATGAAAGACGAAGAGCACTTGCCGTAATAGGGTGCTGAAAGAACGAGCAAGGGAGAGGATACCAAGAGGGGAGACTCTGAAAAATAGAAAGAAAGGGGAGGTCAAGGGAGGAATGGAGATTGAAGGTAAAACGGGATGAAGCCTCGCTCCTATTTCAAGGTCTCATGTTATCATTAGCCCTGCCTTTTGTTCCTCTGCCAAACTATTTCCTGATCCCCATCCTCCTCCCACCATTCCCTCCCCTTTTTTCTACCCAGTAGTATATCTTAATTGTACCCACAGTGCCTCAACTCATCTGCAATAGAGAGGCAGAATTGATTTGGAGATGTAAGAATGTCTGAAATGAGGAATGCAGCCCACTGGAGAGTAAAAGGAATGTATAAGTAGAAGAAGGAGCAACAAAGTTAAATGAATGTTTTAGCTCTTTGTGACACTCCAAAATGGTTATACCCCCTCCAGTTAAAAGTCTTATTCCAGTTTGTAGTAAATAACTTCAGCTGGTGTGCTGTGACCCAAGAATGAAGCAATCCATTCGTACGCTCAGGGTCTCTTTGTTTTTATGCTCACTGCTTCACCTTTAAAGGATAATTCAGAGTTTTTAGAGCTTGGTTTTCTTCTCCATTTTAAAGTTATACCAACATTCATAAAGGTGTGCTCCTCAAGTGAAGAATGCCAGACTTTGAAATACAGGGACATCCCTTAAAGTGAGATGGAAAGAAAGAGATGACAAGCGTTGTTATGAGAGTTACAAATAACACTACCAATGAGGTTAATGATGACAATACCAATACTGATAATGATACCAGTACCAAAAAACTTAACACAACAATGTACTAATGACAGTCTTCCAATAGTGATACCAATAGCTATAACAATAACAATGATCATTTTAATAGTGATGATAATAAACTAAGTGATCTAAGTTCTTAATCTAAGTACTGCTATACAGGGCTGGGTGATATGGCCTCAAATCAATATCACAATATTTTGAGTAGTTCACCTTGATGACGATAAATGGACAATAACTACTCCACAAGCTGCTTCAGCCGCTACAACTTTTGAACCGTCCTCCATCTCCTCACCTGTCTTTCCCTCTTTGTTACGAGTCACGTCTCCGACATAGGACAGCATCTTAAAGGGACATGAGATCATAGTCTACCAACACACATCCAAAACCAACTTTGATTCATTTATTTATTTATTTTACACAGACCATATTGACATGGGCAATGTGATGTCGGTTATTGTCGTAAATTTCAGTGTTGGTAAATTTTCGGTTTATCACCCAGCCCTACTGCTACTTATATTGGTTATATCTGTAACAATACCTTTAACTAAAACAAAAAAGCTATTCTTGGACAATCTGAAGTACAATTCTGATAACAAAATAGATAACAAAACTAATACAGTCAATTGGATTTGACAGAGTATACCTGACAATGCATATCAGATGACCACATCTGTCAAAAACACTAAAACTAACTAGTTTCATGTTGATTATTTCATCACAATAACAAGCTACAATAATGTGGAGCTAATATACAGTGTAATGTTGGTAGAAGCATGCTAAAAGTTTTGTTTCATTACTAGGAAAGAAAAACTGGTATCAAAACCTCTTTGCAGAAACCAACAATTAGATTTCAAACAAACTCCTAAGTTCGATAAAGTTAGAACAACCAATGAGGGCTAACAGCAAGGAAATCAGGTCAAAAATGACAAAACTCTCAGATTTGGAGGGATAAGCTTTACAAGTAATATGTAACTAAGGCCAACAATCAGTGCAAGTTCTCCACCAGCGAAGAATAAGGTCACAAACTTGAGGTCAACATTTAAAACAACAAGCCTCAACCTCTCGGCCTGTTTGACCTGGAGATAATCATACCCTCTGAAACACCTGGCATCAATCAAGGGAAGAGTAGATTAGGGACATATCTTTGTGTTTTACAGGTTTACTAAGAAATCCCAAAGAATATATATTCCCCCTCTTTCATGAGGAGCTGTAAAAGTCCAGGGCCGCAGCAGAACTGCAGCTGCATCTGAAAAGCCATGCGCAGAAGGCTCCCTCTGACACTAACTGATGTTTTACAGAGACAAACTGCAGAGAACAGCAGGATCCACCTGGACCAGAGCCCACATCTGGTAAATGATGAGGATATAGGAGAGGAAGAAGAGGAAAGAAAGGAGATGTAGAAGAAGAAAAGGAAGAAAGTCATGAGTATGACGGAAGAGATGGATGGGATGAAGGACAACTCAACAAAGACCTGAACTTACCACAAAGTCTAAGACCGAGAAGATGTCAGATGATGCCTTAAGTGTCATTTTTGAGCTGAAGCCAGTTTAGCTTTATCACTGACTACTTCTTGTTAACCTGAACCACAGCCCTGACATAAGACTGCGGTGGATATGTGTGAGCATCAAGTTTCAAGTAAGATAGTAGTAGCAGTGGGAGCAGATGAAAGAGAGTGATAAGTAGAAAGGTAGAGACGTAGGGAGAGAGAGTGTTTGTGAAAAAGAAAGAGTCGCAAATGAGTAATGAGGTCTGGATCTTTGTGCTAATGCGCCAGTCAGCATTGGCTCCCAAAGCCGGGGATGAATGGCTCTCTATGGACAAAAAAGCTCCAGGCCGAAGTCTTGGCTGAATCTGATCCTCGGCACGCTCTTCCTGACTGTTTTTCACATAGTTCTTACCAGGCTGACGGGTGCTGTGTGAGCCTGAGGCCGAGTGTTTTGACAGATATATTTTAGCTGGGCAACAAACTAAACGATAAGTAAATCTAAGTGCTGGACGAAAACCTGAGAGCATGCTGGATTGAATTCATGTTTCATGTCTTACAAGTTCAGCTGGTTGGCAGATGCTAAAGCAAGGCGGCTGTATGTTTGTTTGTTTCTTGATGATTTTCCCACTGATATATGCTCTGAGGGCCAAAGGAAACTACACAGCTGGTATGTCAGATAATGCGCATTACAAGTGATTATCATCTCTAAGAACTTGGCTCGCTGGTCAGTTGTCACTGGCATTGAGACAAATATGTTTGAGTCACGGTCCTGTCATTGAAAGGATCAAAAATAGGCTCACATTTTCATGACTGAAACCTAAAAATCTAACATAGTTTTGTTTTTCTTTATTAAGGAGTTAAAAATTGATCGCACAAAAGAGGTGGCAATAAACATTTCCGATAGCAGATGGTTCTATCGGAGTGTATTTTGAATTTTTGCAACGTTCATCTGCAAGTTTCTTTTAAATCTTGTTGTCTCGGCCCTCAGCCATTGAGTCTTTTCCTGCTGTGCAAGTTTACCAAATGTTGTCTCCACACAGCTGCTTTTCTTGACACCAGGTAGGAAATAGGAGCTCTCACAGGAAAGAACCGCATTGGTGGTTTTTGCACTTTTAAGCCCATTAAGTTCAAATTGTGTGTGCTTAACATTACTGCGGGCCATTTTCCAAAGTGAACCACACTCCAGGCATTCACCACCTTCCAAGCAGCCATTAGCTTCAGTTGTTCATGCCAATATTGTATGATACTCTACTTACAAAACCACCATTATAGTGCTTTAATATAATACTAGCCACTATGGGATGGGAAAGGTTTTTCTAGCTGCAGCTTGTTTTTGCAAATGCAGCATCATCCAAAATCATTCATGATCAGTGATGACACTCTGAAGAGTCTGAATGCTTCACTTCAGATTATTTCAAAAACATGGGGACCAAACTTTTGGACTTCAAGTTAAAAAACAGGCCTTCCAGCAAGAAGACCACCCTGCCACCGGCAGCACACGCGTCCAAAAATCTTGTTAATATGGAAGTTCCATACGCTCTTATAATATCACAGAGGCAGGCTTTGCGCAAGTGTATACTGAAGCGCAAGAGAGACTTAGTTGTTGAAAGGTGTGGGCTTCTGTCTGTGAATATGTTGCTATGTTGCTGTATGTTTATCACAGCTGGGGATCTCTGGAGTATAAGATGAGGAATAGGTGTGCGTAGCTGAGCCAGGCTAGTTGGCTGGCTTGTTATGGATCAGTGAACAAGATCTCTGATGTGGGAGGAACTCATCGCTGGCAAGCACTCTCATCTGGCCTGCTGGATCTCTTGATTTAAGACGACATGTCAAGGATGTGTAGTTGCTAGACTATCTTATTGGCACCAAAGCTAGGTTTCTTTTCCAGGCAGGATTAGCACTGTACAAGCGTCAGGGAAGGAGTTTTATGTAATGAACGAACGCGTCGGTTTAGTCCAGCCCCCCTGGCCTGGATTTAAGATACTACTGCAAGTGACCCAGTTGATCAGCTTTAGAGAGGATTTTTCAAAGCTTGAATTTTGTTTTACTGTTTGGTGAAAGTGGCTCTTATTTTGACAGGACTCTAGTGAGTGAGACTCAAGTACTTCATTGATACTAGTGCAAAGACATAGAAATATTAAAGGCCAGGGAGTTAGACCTTGTAAGTTTTCGTAACTTAGGGAATGCAAGATCACTTTTTTGCACTGTAACTTTTAGATAAGTATTTGTTCAATAAGACTAATCACTACTGATAACTAGCAGTGTATTAAAATATAATAAGATAGTTATTTGGTGTGTCTTGTAAATCAGTTGTTATGTTGGTTCAGGGTTTCAAACATATCTTCAAACCATCATTTTGGGTCAGGTTTTTGGAGAGATATTCTCCATGCACATTGGTGCCGTGCTGTCAGATGGATTGACAGGAAGGGGATGTTCTTGTGACAGATTTGATCCTTACAGGTTTCTGTATTTCTCAGCAGGTTTTCTACAGTTTTCCTCTGTTACGCGTGTCAAACTTGTGCACACTGACAAAACTGTCTAACTCCAGTTTTGTGCTTCTCTATTTTTCCAATTTTCTAGTTTGGCATTTTTAGTCTTTTACTGCATAATACTGCACTATATAAAGAAAGTTTACATAGAAAAAAGTAAAATTATTGTGTTATTATTTTTTAGCTCCCAATTTTCTATCGATTTTTACACGTGTGTGCATTTTATGAACGTAACCCTATGTTTGTTTAGCATATGTTACAGCATGAGGAATCCATACAGAACTGCTGAGGGGTTTACAATTTATAGTGTGTGGAGAATCAATGTCCTGCTTCTCTCCTTGTTCCCAGCATTTATACAAGTCCTATCCAGTCCAGACTGCCTTTCAAGAACAATCTTCAATAGATTTATGTTTACTGCATAACCCTTTATATTATACAAGCCTCACAAATCCACCTATGTCTTCTGCACTTCCCAATTCAGGGTAGAAAACCTTTTCCCCTATTTTTTTGTGATGTCCAGACTTTTTTAAAGCAAAGATGGAGGTGACGATGAAGTCACTCTATAACCAGGTGGGCGGTCATGGGTGTTTAAGCCCCTTTAATTAGATTTGGTGCAAAGAATGGGGTCATTATATATATTAGTGTCTGTGTTAGCATGTACACGTTCCACCAGCTCTCATCACCACAGGTGGCTAATCCATCACAGACCGCCAGGAAGATATGAGCCATAGCCAGACATGAGGCCAGATCCCAAAGATAGTGTTAGTCTCAACACTGAACTCTCTAGGAAATCCCACCAATGATCTCAAATCCCCAACCGTAAACACGGACTAGAGGAGGACGTACAGTATGACCTGCTGAAAGCCATAACTGTCTGGCCATTTTAATGCATTGACTACAAACCCTGAAGCAGTACTTTCAATATCCCTGTGTTTTAATATCCTGTAGGAGCAGCAGTATGGGTCAAGGTGGTGGTGTTTTAGTCTGTCTGTAGCCTGTAGGTATGAGTGATGGTGAAGACATGTGTAGGTGTGTAAGTGGGATAGGAGAGGGTTGTCTGCTGCGGTGGTCCTGGTCCTGTATTCTGGGAAATGAGATTCAAGTACAATGATAAGCAAATCCATTCTGGCCTTAGACAGAATTTGGATATGCATGTTGAACTGTGAGAGAATATAACAACATGATGTTGGTAATTTTTAAAAAGATAAACATCTATGGTAACACTTTACAATAACCATAACTTATAAATGGTAAATAGACCATTTATAAATGGTAAGCAGATAGTTTATTTATGTTAAATCATCATTTATAAATAGCATATAGACCATTAATAAGTTTTACATTTTACAATTTTAAAAACCTAACCCTATCTTTACAATAACCATCTAAGTAATGTTTATGGTTTATAAACCACTTATTAATCATTTACGAAGTGCTACTGACACACATTTTAATCTAAATGTTTTACAACCAATATTTTAACCTTATATAAACCATTGATAAATAGTCTTTTAATAATTAATAAAAATTATTAATCACAATTTCATTGCTTGTTAATGGTAAACTAAGTATTAACTTACATTAATAAACTATCCATTTGCCATTTATAATTGGTCTATATTTAAATCATGATTATTGTAAAGTGTTACCAAATCTATAAAACATTTACAGTAATGGTAGTTGTGTAGAACAGTCATCATATTAAAAAAGGTCAAATTGTGCTGAAAGTCGAGTTTTTGAGCTGTGAGACTGAACAAGTGAATGTTGTTTACCGCCAATTTAATCCTTATTCCTTCACCAACTTTTAATAATAGTATTATTGTATAAAGTATTGCGTATTTTTCAGTTGGGCACAACAGGAAACCCCTGACCTCATCAGATGATTTTACAGGATTCGCACAAATGGAAATTATCAAGAACATCAGAATTTCTAGGAAATCAAACACTCCCGATATTGTCGCCTTATGAGACCGATATTGTTTCTATGGAGTGTGACGGAGACGACGTGATGCCATAAAGCCCCCGGGTCTTGGCGGGCCTTCAAGGCTTCCAGATCTGAGGGTGAATGCTCTTTTAAACAAGCACCATAAACGCTGCTGAACAATGCCGGGCCTCAGTAAAAAACTTCAGACGGAGAAACAACCCCACGCACTGAGGACATTTCCCATTTGTGTTTTGTGAGGAAACCTTTGTTGTATTATGAAATTTCTGAGTGATTTAATAGATTTCCTCACAGCGTACAATGTTTATTTGTGTGTGTGCGCCTGTGTGTGTGAGTGTGGAGGGGGTAGAGGAATGATGTTAAGTAGATGGGACAAATGAGTTCAAAGGTCAGGTCAAGACCTCTGTCTGCTGTGCGTCCCTGTGTAAGTAGTTTGGAGGTTTTTGTTGGATTGAGGATTAACGTCTGAGATGTGTGTTCAAGTGGTCTAAGTCAGAATGTGTGCTCTTGAAATTTCACCTTTAAATTTTTCACAGTGTATAGGATAGCCCCCTGAACCTCACTACAACCTGTCAGAGACCCTTCCCACTCCCTCCTCTCTTACTAAAGGTTACCTGTCAGTTCCTCACCTCCTAATCCATGGTTACACCACACCACCTGTCCCTTCGCCGGTTTTTCAAACACACCACAGGGGAGATCTTTCCTTATTTTCCACACGCAGTAAATGTAGGATCCATAAACATGAATTGGTCTCACAGATGCTGGGTTTTTACAGTACTCTGGAAATCATAACAAGTAGTGCTATGGTGTGTGATATTTGGACAAGTGCAGATGTATGGACCTGTGAGGTGACTATATTATGGGACATAACTGTCATAACAGAAAGGCCCTTAGCTCGTATATAATAAATATGACACATGTATGTTTTTCTTTTACGCAGATTTGAGGATCCTGCTGGTTTTGTTGATGTGATGCATTCTGAAATCCTCGTGTCTCACGGGCTGTTTGACACAGTCCGACCGTCTATGTCTCACCACATTCTTCTTTTCCCTCAGGTGTCGGCCGCAGACCAGGATCGTGGTTCCTTTGGTGCTATATCCTACACCCTGGGCTCTGGGTCTGGAAGTGCAGTACCAACGCAATTTACCATAGACAAGGAGACAGGCCAGCTTTGCACCAGTACGGCTCTGGACCGGGATGAGGGATTGGAGAAGTTTGATCTGACCGTCACTGCAACAGATGGCGTAAGGACCTTCTTACTATGAAACTCTGAGGAATAGCAATTCGTAGTTGAAATCTGTGTTTTAGTTTCTTTTTTTCACAACAAATCACTTAATTTGGCAAAGAGTGGTCTCTTTGGAAATTTGTTTCCTGACTTTTCTTGCCGAAAGTTAATATTAAGAACCAATACCGTACATCTTGTATATAAAATCTAATTTTGATGTTAGCATACTGGCATGCTAGGGGGGAACAGATTGCCTTGGATAGGCTGAACTGAAACAGCCTCTTGTGAAAATGAAATAGGATGTCATTTTTCTTAAATTTTACTTGGCTGGGTTTATTTGTTCAAGCTTTTATCTTAAGCTGAGCTAACTGGCAGCAAGTGGTGGCTCCATATTCAATTCACAGACAAAGAGTGGTTTCAAACTTCTCCTTTTATTCATGGCAAAAAAGCATATAACCCTATTTCCATCAAAAGTGACTTTTTTTGAACATGGTTGCAACCTTTATGCAATCAAAGGCCAGTTTTTCTGAGCATGAAATGGACTTCAAAAAAGATCAGAAAGTCACAGAGGACTGAGCACCAGCTCTGTTTGCTGCTCCATGACCGAACGCTTTCCCTGCTGAGGGTGTACTGCTCCTTATGATCAAAGTTCCTAGCTGACGGCAAATTAAAGATGTGTACAGCTGCTTTTGAATAAATCTCGGAGAGACACTCGGACATGTTTTGAAGAAGACAGCATCCTGTCTCTTGCAATCCGTCTTCAAAAAATCAAGGGGAACCGCGACAGCATGGCAAAGCAATCAGAACAAACACAGAGGGAAGACGGAGGCTGAGAAGTAAGAAAACAGATCCTTTGAAACGCACAGTTTCACTGAGCTCTTACAGTAGGATACCATTGACTGAAAATACCTAATGTACCGTAATGCTTCACTTGACAATATTCAAACTCTTTGTTTCGGGTAGCAGTCAGTCACATTAGATGCATCCAAATAGGTGTTAATGGTGGATTCAATCATTGATTTTTAAGTTTATAATGAAAGAGTAGAGAAATATAATACACGTCCATGTATTGTTGTGTATCATAGCAGCTGTGGCAGTGTTAATAGTTTTTATTTACCACAGCTCAGGTAAAAATTTAATTCAGGTCTGTAATTTACCAACCACACTCCCTCATGCATCCTCTCTCCCAGCTCATTCCCAGCTAAATTCAGCTGGTGTCTCTTCCATCTCCTTCAGACATCCCTGTTTTTAATGGCCTCGTAAAACTAAGCCCGCAGATACAGTTTAATGAGGGCAAACTCTTTTCCTTGCTGACAAATGCATACAACGCTTGATTGGCTCCATATTTCAGAGATCTTCAGCAGAGAAGTCATCTCAGTGTGTCCTTTTACAGCTGCATCCTCTTTACAGTTCGACATAAATCTGTTGTCACAGTTTCATGACATGAAAGTCCTGCGCTTTTCGCTACGGGATGGAAAACAAATCAAATATTGTGTTTCAAATCAGGAAGGGAGGGAGGATGTGGGTAAATAAACTTGCTCCTATTTTGATTTACTCTGAAATCCCTTTTGTCTAAACCCTTAAAAATAGGTGAGGTATCTCCACCAGTGAAACCAAAATAACCTGCAAGGGTTGTTAGCATATTGCACTAATGAAGTCTTTGGAGTCTGAGTCAGCAGAACAAGGTTTAGCTAATGGAGCCATGCTATTGACATCCTGCACTTTCAGCTAACCAAAATTTGCATTTAACTGACTTATACTGCAGTTGGTACAGTCTACTGCATACAATTGTCGGGTGCATGTTTAAAAGGGGCTTTACGGTAGTTTAAGGTTCTCTTTGTGGTGCTGTTACTCTGCGAATTCAGTGCATGCAGCACCACAGGAGCCCCTTTTGTCAACAAAGCTGTCAATCATGGTGTAATAAAATTTAATTTCTCGGAAAAAGATATTGAGCTACAAATTAATATCTTGATTGTTATAATTACCAGAAAAAAACTGATTTTTGGAGTTTTACAGAGGCAGGTTTAATGCCCAGCAGGGGACCATCAACCTTTTTTTTCCCAATATTTAGGAGCTGTCATGTCCTCCATTTTCAAACAGTCCATATCAAGTAGTCGGTTAAAATCCATATCATTGTTAGACCATTGTCAGTGTCTATCTCAAGAATATTTGGCTGCAGCCTTGAGCCTCCAGCCTCATGTCTGCTTGGCCACATTACCCGAACTTCTAATTTTCAAAATAAAAGCCTCTGTAAGTCCTTTACTAACTGCAGTCTTGTTACTGAATGTTCAAAACGAGATTTCTTCATTCTGCATAAGTTAGTATGGAGTTAGTATGTTCGTTGTGACTTTAAGCCATACATATTGTTTGTAGATTTCTAGTGGTCGGCATTGATTTGGCTCAGAGTTAACTTACTTGAATGTAGGTGTAAAAATCTGAAGTGAAATCTAATCCAGAGATGTTTTTATTTGAAGGGGGGTCTGAGCTCAGTAGCCCGTGTGCGAGTCACTGTGGTGGACATCAATGACAACAGGCCCGCCTTCTACCCAGTACTCTACACGGTCAGCCTCAGCACCCACAGTGCCCCAGGAACCTCTGTTGTCAAGGTGACGGCAAATGACCCAGATGCTGGAGAAAATGGGAGGGTGACTTACCGAACGATACCTGGAGGGGGCTCTGCTTTCTTCACCCTCAACAAGGACACAGGTATGTGTCTGCACAGTACAAATTTTAAACATTAAAACTAAGTTTATGAAGTATTCAGTTTTATTTACTTATCTTTCTTCCTATACAGGTGTAATCTCTCTCTCTCGCTCACTCCACGGTAAAGCCAATACCGTGATTTCCATGGTGATATCAGCTGAAGATGGTGGTGGCTTAACGGCGCCAGTCAATGCCAGAGTCAATGTGAGTGTGGTGGGAGGCTCTGTGGCGTCTCCGGTGTTTGAACAGGCCCAGTATTTCTTCACCGTGTCTGAGGACGTTCTAAGAGGGACATCGGTGGGAGTCGTGCGTGCTGCCTCCAAGACAGGTAAGAGCGAATGTTCTTTGAAATCCTTTAAAGTCCCACTCCAATTGTTTTTATTTTTTTACTACTAAAAGTGTTATCTGTGGTCTTTTAATTGTGATTATTGAGTTTTTAGCCAAAATCATATTACCTGAGTCATTTTCCAGGGCTTTTCTTCCGCAGAGCTCCAGTAGCTCATTAGCAATTCGCCTCTGAGTCGTGGATGGAGACAGCACTGCTCCACACACTCCTCTTCGCGTTAGCTTGTAGCGTAACATTGCCAGTGTAGTCAAAGTGGCAGGTAACATAGGAACTATTCATCTCTAGTACACTAATGTCTTTAGGGTCATGATGGAAGTTAATATCATAATTAGCTTTCTTAGGAGCATTGCAATCCACTAATGCAGACACTTGTTCCACGATCATCCTCACTATTTCTCCGAGCCTGGCTAGCATTGCAGGGCTCCAAGAGCGGAGCTTGGATTTGCTACCTAAGAAATCTCACTGTATCTGACCCTGCCATTTGGGTCTGCCAGAGATTCACAGTGATTTGAATTGCGAAATACTCAGAAATGCAATTTCACACTTATTTTTTTCATGATTTGCCCTGTAGCATCAGAAAAATGCTATAAGAACATGTAAAAAACAGGAAAAACATGATTTCCATCGCAGTGGGTCTTTAATTAAGTGATCTGCTTGATGTTTTCATACCGTTGATGGTTTTATGTAGTGAGTGAAAAAAAGCTGCAATGGGACATTTTACAAAAAGACTAGACTGTACTGTTTGTTTTGGTGTTCAGCGATGTAACATTAATCTACCATGAGCATGAACTTGGCCACAACGGCAGGAAAACACGTCCTCCTAAAAGGCAGAAACCTCCAGACTAATTAATGAACAGCCATCTGTTACAATTAGATGCCTTCTTTTTAAATGCACTCCATATGATTTGCCAGTGGGAACCTTTTTTTACGCGACCTACCTGGTTTCATCTTTCTAACAAGCACTTGTACAAAAATGCACTTACGGGCAGCAGAGTGTATGACTTACCTCTTAGTCTCAGTACTTGTCCAAATAGCAACAAGAGCATTAAAAACGCTCATCCGTCACACAACGTGGGCTGTAATGGATATTTTTTTCACCCTGGCTAGACAGTATTAATGACAGAGGTTAAGATTTGGTTTGGGCTGTAAGTCTGAGTGGGAGTGTGGATGAAATGTTTTCAGTTGTGAGGTGGACAGAAAAACCATTAGCTCTGTGTTAGCTGTACTAGCCTGTTAGTAATTCTATCTCTATGCCTACTTTGAGTGTCCAAAACCTTTATTAACACTGAAATAAAGAACAAAAACACCACATCTGAGTCTGTACCGAGTGGATATGGACCTGTACCGGTATTTATGTTATGTTAAGTATGTATTCATCATTTTGAATATAACGTGCAGCCTGTATTTCTTCAACTAGTTCATTTTTTATTCACGTAGTCAGAGAAAATCTAGTCGCCTCAACCTCTAAAATTCGAACATTTGACTTCCATGCAGGTGGTGCTAAGGATATCTTCTACTCCATTTCTTCCGGTGACCCAGATGGTTACTTTACAGTGGACAGTGCCTCTGGTACCATCCGCACTGCCCTCCCACTGGACCATGAAACCTGCTCCAGTCTTGATCTAGAGATCCAGGCACGCTCTGGCTCTCCACCGGCGTATGGTACAAGCCGCGTACGAATAACCATTTCAGACATCAACGACAACTCTCCAACCTTCTTCCCTTCTTCATCTGAGTCCCTCCTTCTACCCGAGATCACCAAGATGGGGACTGTTATCTACACCATCCAAGCCACGGACAAGGACTCAGGTCATAACGGTCAGCTCAGCTTTGATCTGGTCTCCGCTGGGGTTGCAGGCAGCAGCGGTCAGAGGACGTTCGGTGTTGACCGAGGTAGTGGAGAGGTACGCCTGATTGGGAGTCTGTCATATGAGAGTGTCCCACGCTATGATCTCCAGGTGGTGGCCAAGGATGGTGGAGCCCCTCAGCTCAGCTCCACCTTCACCCTCGTGGTGCACATTCAAGCACAAGATGCACAAGGCCCCAACTTTGACACCCTGACATACCGAGTGGAGCTACGAGAAAACACCCCGCTCAACACGCGTTTCCTTCAGGTTCGAGCTCTGAACAGAGAGGCCTCTGGAAATGGTGGAAGCTCCTCCTCATCCTCCTCTTCCTCTATTTCTTACCGCCTCAGGCCAGACGGAGACGCCGCAGGTTTTGGCATCATGCCTGATAGTGGTTGGCTGTTTGTTCGAAGCTCTCTGGACAGAGAGGTTAAAGACATGTACCTGCTGACCGTTCTGGCTACTTCAGGCCCTGGCGGGATGGGAAGAACTGGAAGCGCGGCAGTCAGGGTGACTGTGACAGATGAGAACGATAATTCTCCGAGACTGAGCCAGGAGAGGGTCTTCCTGGCTGTTAGAGAGAACTTACTGGCAGGAACAGGCTTCGGCAGGGTGTCTGCAACAGACAGAGATGCTGGACTAAACTCAAGACTCACCTACAGGCTCCTGCACACTGACAGACACTTTCAGATTAACTCACAAACAGGTAAAAATGGACAACCTAATCCCCTTTTCTGTTTATTGAAACTAAAGACATTTCTACACTTGTAGCAGATTGTTGTAATCATGTAGCACTTCCAGGATCGTAGTTACTTCATAAACAAAACAACACCAGCATGATTTCCCTTGAGGAATTAATAATTTGTTATTTGTCAGTTCAAATTAACATGGTAATGACTCCCTAACTATTGCAAGTATCGCAGTCTGAAGCCTTTCCTTTTTACCCTTTTTTATGAAGGCGAGATCAGTACTCGCCTCGCTCTGGACAGGGAGCTGCAGTCCAGCTACCAGCTCATTGTGGTCGTCCAGGATGGGGGGACGCCTCCTCGCAGCGCCACTGGGACTGCTCACATCACTGTGTTGGATGAAAACGACCACGCGCCCAGTTTCGCCCATGCCAGACCTGACAGAGAGCTTCTGCTCCAGGTGAGAATGAGGACGAATTGAGACTACTTCATATAGACGAGTATGCAAGCATAGAAGGAATTTGCAGCTGTATGTTTTATTACCTTTATTCTCAGTGTAGGACTTTGGTTACTGTATTATTTTCCCATCCAGCTTTCGAAAATAACGGCTTTCTGTGCTGACTGTTCACCTTAAAGGACTTTTTGTCCTCTTTTGAGTTTTCTTGCACGTCATGACAGAACAATTCTTGGAAAAAAAAAAAAAAAGATAATGAAAAGGTATAAACAAAGATAAAATTCTGTATCTACTTAAAAAGGGATGTTATTTTGAGAAGATATGAGCTTGACAACAATCTTTTTCTATCGTAGGTCATGGAAGGTCTTCCATCTGGGACAGTTATCGGGACCATTACAGCCAAAGACCCTGATGAGGGAGAGAATGGGACTGTGTACTACTCTTTGTCCGGTGAGCTCTTAAAGTCTCTTTAATCCCGTATTATCTTGTTTCCAGTCATCTCATTTGTCTAACCAGTGTTTGCATGTGTGAAATCAATACGTTAACTTTATATATAATCCTGTTATGTCTCCTAAAGGCTCCAGAGCAGAGCGTTTCTCCTTCAGCCCGACCAGTGGTGAGCTAAGAACTGCTTCCCCTCTGAGATGGGCGGAGCGGTCAGAGTATGCCTTCACTGTGACTGCTGCTGACCACGGCACCCCAGGCCTCAGCTCCTCCTGCCAGCTACGAATCCAAGTAAACACTATCTTCATTTATTTGATATCAATACACTTTCCCAGATTTACGACGACAAATTCTTTCTCTTCTTCAAAATATTTTAGAAAGCCGCAGCCAGCTGGAAACAAAGATTTACTCTTATGAGCTAACCCAAAAACGCCACATCCACTCATTACCTCAGTCCCTTTACATTCCTCGCCGCGAGTAATTTCCTCAAGCTGTGCACAAATGAACAGTATAACTGTCACAGGAATTAGAAAAGGAGGTAAATATGAGATGGAGAGAAGCTGAACCTGTGCCTGAACAAACAAAAGCATCTCTCCAATCTACTGCATGTTTCCTGCTCCAAAGGTTAGTGGGGTAACTGAAACCCAAGGTGAGAAACCCAGAGCTGCAGAAGGGAGTGGGTCTGGACTGAGTTATGGTCCTGAACTTTCTTTAGGAGGGTCAATCCCGCATATCAGCATGCAGTATCAAGAATGCAACAGTGGAAAAAAAAAAAATGCGGGAAAGCAATGGTGGGGGTTTTGAAGGTGTTGTTTTTATGTGATGTGATTTCAGAAAGGAAAAGGATGTTAATTAGAGCAGGAGAGCTTGCCCAAGATTTCGCCTGCTCTCTTGTGTAACTCGGAGATTAGACAGAGGGGAAACAGGTACCTTGGAATCAAATGCTCCCAGATGAGATTTGATGAGAGCCAGCTGTATCGAGTAACACAGAGACAAAGAGAGAAAGAGAGAGAGAGCAGGTATAAATACGCAAGTGCATGGTAGCTAGTTGGGATACACGTGCTCAGAGTAATGACACATTCAAACACTTTCATGAAGTAACGTTTGCCTATAATGGTTTTTAGATAACATTTCACTGAGCTGGGGGTAAAATCTGTCACTGTATACACCCAGAGTTTTTTCAGACACACACCACCTGCCAGCTCCATAAGGAAATTTGATCATTGCTCAGAAAAATATATTTTTTTAGATGAAGAATACTCACACAAACACCAGCTAAAAGAGAGAAGATGAGAGTGAGAGGAGAAACGTTTACGTTCTTCACACTAACATCTGTGTCTCTTAAAGTTTCCTCTACACGGACATTTGTTTGGAGTAAATATGTTGATCTGCAGATAACATCCAATCTGAACTGTGACGGTTGATCTGGATTGGAGCTAGTTAAACTTTTATTTTCTGCCTTGAGCTCTTTGATCAGTCCAAAAAAACATGGAGAGGCCTGAGGCTGTTGCAAAATGCGGCTAAAGCCCCCCTCGGCACTAGACTGCGGCATGAGGATGCATCACTTATTGCTCTGCTGAAATATTTACTTCCCATTACACTCTTCATTATTTGGTCACAGGTCACAAACCCAGACTCTCATTTGGAAGGAAGAATGCCAGAAGGAGTGTACATAATTTCTTCATGCACAATGAGAATGCCTATGAGGGTTATTATAGGAAAAACAACAAAGCAGGAGCAGACTACAGCCCAAGGCCATGGGATGGGCTGGGTTAGCGTATGTAGCTTCATTGTCTGCAAAAGAAATCAGACATGCGCAGGAAAACATTCCTCTTGGCATTTTGATGCTTTGACAGGGGCGTGTGAGTCGATAAATTTCATCCAGACTATCAGGATTTGTTACTGCAGGTAGCTTTTGTGACATTCAGGGGTTCAAACCAAAGCGATAGTCCCTCTGGCTTTTTGAGACATCTGCTTTTTTAAGTCTTTGAAGGATGAAGCATTGAGGATGTATGTGTTGTCATGTTGATAATAAAAAAACACAAGTGCGGTAATGCAACAGCTGTGTGATACCTTAAAGTGACAAGTGAAGAAGAGGTTAGAAAATAAAGCTAATACGTATGAATACAAGGTACTTTCCGCAAACCCTGTCCAAAAGCTCCCGGATACGCCCCTGTGCTCGAAAATAAGGACTCTGTATATCTTAAAGTTACGGTTTGTTTGACTTAATTTGGGAATGATTGGATTTGTTTAGAAAGTTTATTTATTAATGATTGTTATCAAATGTTATCTTGATACTTTTGATTCAGTTAAGACAACAAATAAATAAGCCTGTTTGACCTTTGATTTCCTTCCTTCAGGTCCTCAGCTCCTCCAAGTCCAACCCCAAGCCCAACATGCTTGAAATGACCCTGAACACGGTGGAAGGAGCCGCTCCAGGCTCCATTATTGGCTCTGTACGCTCACATGACCAGCATGAGTCTGCTCTACTGGAAGGTCAGGTGACCTACCTGATAGTAGGAGGGACAGACCGAGATGGGACATTCATGGTCGACCGTTTAAAGGGGGATGTGATCCTGGTACGAGAACTGGACTTTGAGAAGGGGTCGAGGTACACGCTGCAGATTGAGGTGTCCGACTTCTCCCAGGCGTTTCCCAGCAGCCATTTGGTGCAGCTGGATATTAATGTACAGGACAGCAATGACCACTCTCCCATGTTTACTGAGGACCCTGTCACCATAGTGATCCCAGAGAACATCGAGCCGGGGGCTTCTATCTACACCTTCCAGGCTTTAGATCAGGTAAGAATCTGAATTCATGGTCTATAGCAAATACTTTCTCTATTTTAAATGATGGCTCTTATTTTTATATAAGATTATTTAATGTATGTAATGTACATTAAAAATGTCAGAAAAAAAAGAGGACAGGGCTTACTCCTGTCGACCCCAGTATAAGGAATAGTGAAATATAGCAAAAATGAAAGCTTACGATTTTATCATTTTAGAAAGTGGAATCTATTTTTTCGGCTTCAAATGTTGAAAATCTACAATCTTCTAATATTTGTGGTAGAGGGTGTTGAATCAATTTATTAACCAATTACTTTTGCACAATCACCCAAAGCTGGATACAATTGTGAGTTTAATAATCCCGCAAACTCATTCTTCTCTAGTTGAATATTATCTCAGCAAAAAATAAACACATTTCAATCAGGAAAGCTATACGATAGATTGAAAAGCTCGGGAAAAACAAATCAAAAACATGGATTTCAAATCAAAGAGTTAACTCTCACTTGTCTACATTGGCTACTTGTCTGTTTTCTAACAGGATGGCAGTGGACCCAACAGTGAGCTACTTTACTCCATCGAGCATTACTGGCCGAACACGCCTGATCTTCTCACCCTCGACCCCGCCAGTGGAGTCCTCACCCTCGGCCAGAAGTTAGATCGTGAGTCGACGCCATCTCTCTACCTCGTGGTCCGGGCCACAGACCAAGCGGTCGATCCTTCTCAGAGACGTTGGGGATCAGTCACAGCACGAGTGTTTGTGACGGATGAAAACGACAATCATCCAAAGTTCAGCTCGCCGTCTGCAGTCAGCGTCATGGAGGATCAACCTGTAGGGTGAGTGTTATATCTACACACGTGGACAAAATTGTTGGTACCCCTCAGTTAAAGAAGGAAAAACCCACAATTCTCACTGAAATCACTTGAAACCTACAAAAGTAACAATAAATAAAAATTTATTGAAAATTAAATAATCAAAATCAGCCATTACGTTTGAAATGTTGATTAACATAATTATTTAAAAAAAACAAACTAATGAAATAGGGCTGGACAAAAATGATGGTACCTCTATAAAAGATTGAAAACTATTTGACCAGAGTGACATGATTAACTCAGGTGTGTCCTTTAATTGACATCACAGGTGTTTCCAAACTCATAATCAGTCAGTCTGCCTATTTAAAGGGAGACAAGTAGTCACTCTGCTGTTTGGTGAAAAGGTGTGTACCACACTGAACATGGACAACAGAAAGCGAAGGAGAGAATTGTCCCAGGACATCCGAAAAAAAATTATAGACAAACATCTTAAAGGTGCAGGCTATAAGACCATCTCTAAACAGCTTGAAGTTCCTGTGACAACAGTGGCTCATATTATTCAGAAGTTCAAGACCCACGGGACAGTAGCCAACCTCCCTGGACGTGGCCGCAAGAGGAAAATTGATGACAGATTGAAGAGACAGATCGTCGAATTGTATCCAAAGAGCCCAGGACAACCTCCAAAGAAATTAAAGGTGAACTCCAAGGCCAAGGTACATCAGTGTCAGATCGCACCATTCGTCGTTGTTTGAGCCAAAGTGGACTTCATGGGAGACGACCAAGGAGGACACCACTGCTGAAAAAAAATCATAAAAAAGCGAGACTGGAATTTGCAAAAATGCATGTTGACAAGCCACAAAGCTTCTGGGAGAATGTCCTTTGGACAGATGAGACCAAACTGGAGCTTTTTGGTAAGGCACATCAACTCTATGTTCATAGACTCAAAAACCAAGCATACGAAGAAAAGAACACTGTCCCTACGGTGAAACATGGAGGAGGCTCAGCAATGTTTTGGGGCTGCTTTGCTGCATCTGGCACAGGGTGTCTTGAATGTGTGCAAGGTAAAATGAAATCTGACGACTATCAAGGCATTCTGGAGAGAAATGTGCTGCCTAGTGTCAGAAAGCTTGGTCTCAGTCGCAGGTCATGGGTCTTCCAACAGGACAACGATCCAAAACACACGGCTAAAAACACCCAAGAATGGCTGAGAGAAAAGCGTTGGACTATTCTAAAGTGGCCTTCCATGAGCCCAGATCTGAATCCCATTGAACATCTGTGGAAGGAGCTGAAACATGCCATTTGGAGAAGACACCCATCAAACCTGAGACAACTGGAGCAGTTTGCTCATGAGGAGTGGGCCAAAATACCTGTTGACAGCTGCAGAACGCTCATTGACAAATACAGAAATCGTTTAATTGCAGTGATTGCCTCAAAAGGTTGTGCAACAAAATATTAAGTTATGGGTACCATCATTTTTGTCCAGCCCTATTTCATTAGTTTGTTTTTTTTTAATAATTATGTTAATCAACAATTCAAAAGTAATGGCTGATTTTGATTATTTAATTTTCAATAAATTTTTATTTATTGTTACTTTTGTAGGTTTCAAGTGATTTCAGTGAGAATTGTGGGTTTTTCCTTCTTTAACTGAGGGGTACCAACAATTTTGTCCACGTGTGTATCTACAATATATCTATATGGTATATCTATTGGATGTGGTTCCTTTTTTTTTGTTATAAACCAAATTTTTTCCGTCAACAGGTTTGTGATTTTGTATGTGATGGCTCGGGATGAAGATGAGGGAGAAAACGGCAGAGTGTCCTACAGAATCCAGGGAGGCAACAGTGCTGGTCGCTTCAGTCTGAACCCCAACACTGGTGAGCAGATTTTTAAGGGTATTACACGGCGTTTATAAAATCTTGATGTTAAAGTAATCTTACAAGGTTTGTGCTGACGAGGAATTTTCCCATACTGTATTAACACTCCATCAAAGTAATGGTCTTCGCCCTTTTCTTTAGGGTTTTATGATTAGTATATAATCAACATCCCACCCATTAAAGCCCCCCTGGATGATCACGACTTTCCAGGTCGTAATCATCCACTGAAGTGCTGCTAAAACGCTCATAACCCTCTTTATTGGGCGATCTCTCAACTCCTCAAAGTGTAACACTTCTCTTGAATAATGCTACGGGTTTCCATCACTTGACAGATTTGTTCATGGGAACTGATTTAGGATTTAGACCTGGCCTTTGATATCTTATATATGTGTATGTGTAATCTCTTCATCAGTGCAGCTTGGTGACGGTAGCGTGCTTGGATCAAGCTGAGATGGGATTAAGAACCAGGAGATAGACACTTAATGCAGTTTCCAGATGGAAGAAAGTCTTTATGTCATTACTGTCAAGTGTCAGCTGTAGTAACAGAGGCTTAATTTCACTTCTGGTTTGTCTCTCAGTCTGTGTGTGTTGTTACACTCGTGGTTAATAATAGCTGTAATAGTAGATTAGAATTGCATTGAGAGACATTTAACAACTGCCTGGCTAATGTGTGTGTGTGTGGGGGGGGGTATCATTAGCCTGATTATTGCTTATAAATTATATATCTGCCCCTGCCAACGTGAACTTTTGCTATTTGTGTTATTACCCGCATGAAAGCTGACACTCCTGAAGTGTGCCTACATTAAGCTTTAGAGTATTCAGTGTAAAATATGATGTTCATGGTGTTTGAAAGCTTTCTCCAGCATAGAAACTGTACTTCCAGTCATGACACAGAAACAGTCAAACTATAGATACATCCATTTTTGGGTTTAGTGTTTCCTTTTTGTGTGGAAAATTTGCTTTTGAAATTTATAACCTCTGTGAGGAGCTTTTGATTGGTTATTTATCAGGCTGAAATAAACAGTTATGATGAGTAAACGAGACCATCAATGATAAGATTGGATACTTCTGTAATATACATTTTAATGCCTGGAACTGCTGTGAAAGGATAGGTACTCAGAAAGAGTATAATTTGTTACTTTTTCTACACCAAATATCCATAATGAGCAAATAATTTCACTGTAAAATGACGACTGGAATACGTCCACTTGCGTAATTGACTGGCATAATTTTTTTGGTTATGAAGAAGTTTGTTCCCACTGTGCAGACACCCCTTGTGGCATCCCTATATATCATGTTCACACCAGATAAGAATAGATATTTCTACTTGCTTAATTTGTACTTATTCGAATGCCTCAGTGTTGTTAACTTGTTTAATTAGCAGGAATGACTCACTCTATTTGCGTGCATGTATTGGGAGATTGCCCAAACACAAGAGAAACTCCCAAGATAGGAGGGGTTCCTATATGTCATTTTAAGCGAGCGATACTCATGGTTCCTCATTTGTATCCCGTGGCGGGTACTTACATCTCTACTTTGATTTTACATGTAATTTACACATGGAAGGGATTTCTATTTACGCTTGGTGTGAACATGACATTATCCCTTTCTTGATTTTGTCCAGACTGTTTATAGAGGTTTTTTTTTTTTTCTATCTTGTCCTTTCATATTTAAAATCTATCACTCACTAAAAATCTGTCTGATTTGGCAGTTTGCAACTTCCTTCATCACCTTCCCTGTGGCGGTGGTTTCACTCATCAAAAATAACTATGTTTAGAACAGATGGTCATGTCACTTTAGGTTGTATTTGGCTTTTGGTTTCATGTAATTTGTGCAAAGCAGGCAAGCTTATTTATGATACATTTGATCCAGTTTCAAAATTATTGAACTTGTTATGGAGAAAGATGATGAAATTGTAAATATTCTGCATCTGTGTGTGTTTGGCTGAAACTTTGGAAATAGCAAAATCTCACAAAAACATCAGAGCTTTAGCCTCAAGCTTCTTACACCAAGTATGCATTTGGCTTGCTGCTCTGCATCTATAAATTGCGCGTCTCAAGGGCAGAGCATACCAGCTTAACACACTCAAAAACACTCTCATGTTTCCTTTTTCTTTGGCTCAGCCTCCTAAATATAGGCAATGACAGAGTTTGGTGGGTTTCTATATAAAAGGTGGGAGAGTACTTAAAATCTGAGGAGTAGAGATGTGATTTATGTTGTTATCTCTGAAACAGACTCAAGAGGAAAACAGAAGATCTTGTCCAGTTACATTGCTCTATAAGGAGATGTAGTCTGGATAGTCTGTGTTTGTTTTTACATGCTGTAGGCACTGCACTTTTCACATTTAAATATGGGTCCAAATTGCCTAAATGAAATAGCAGGCATGAAGTAACTGTGGTCTCTCATTTACTGTGGAAAGTCTTGTAAAGTAGGGCTGTAAGGGATTAGTTTTTACTGGTCCTAAAGGCATGCAACAAGTACTGCTTCTTTCAGGTACACAAAATTACATGTTCACAAGTTTACAGCAAACACACTCTCAGATACCCAACACGAAAAAAAAACTACATATTTACAGACCAAAAGGTTCTGCATGAGATTACAAGTTTCCATCAATATTTCACTGTTTCCTTTTTCTCTCTTGTAGGCTCTCTGTCCATCCTGAAGGCCTTGGACCGAGAGGAACATGAAGTGTTCAATCTCACCATCATAGCAGAGGATCACGGAGTGCCTCAGCTGTCTACCTCTCAGGTGCTGTGTGTGCAGGTGATTGACGTGAACGATGAAGCCCCGGTGTTCCAGCGGGCAGAGTTTGAGACCCAAGTGATGGAAAACCAAGGACCGGGAACTACAGTGTTGAAAGTGGTCGCCACCGACAGAGACCAAGGTTGGTTTAAGCGTAAAAAAATATTGCTAGTGAGCATAAGTGGGGGTCTCTTTTGGGTAGCATGAGACCCTGTGAAAATATACTGTTATTTAAACCCTTAAACTCCAGAAGTTATTTTGAAATGGGAGCAAACAGGCGATAGGAAATAAAAACTGCACATATTTTCTAAGATTTTCTGCTTTTCTCCACAAAATGTCAAAGTATTTGCTGAAGATCCCTTATGAGACTGAGAACATATATTTTCTTAGCCACAAAGACTTAAGTAGAGTGATGACAAGAACAGATTAAGCTTTAGGAAAACATGAAATGAGAGCATTTAGCGGGAGAAATATTGCAAAAGTCACTGCTGGAAAAATGAATTAAAGGACACATGTGATACACATACATATTAGTGAAGTAGGAAAGTCGGAGAACGAAACAATAGAAACACACAAGTAGTGTTGAGTAACAAAATGTCTGTAAACTGAACCACATGCTAATGAAAAGAGTGGTTACAATCATCCAGAGCCTTGTAATTCTGTGCCTTTCATTAGGACTCGCTCCCGGCTCCAAACAGCTTTGTGTTCGTTCATGTCTCTGCTTTATTACTTTGAATGTCGCCCATTTTCTTTATCACTTGTTTTGTAGTGTGTCAGAGTGATTAATTTTATTTGTTTGTGTGGCATTACAACACAGGATCCAATGGCCAAGTGACATATGGAGGAGTGACGGAGGAAGGCTTCATCATTAACCCCGTGACAGGAGTCATCACCACCACGAGGGAGCTCGACGCAGAGCTGCAGAGCCACTACACGCTCACAGGTACTACCAAGTATTCCACCTAGAGCTCTCCATATTAAAAGTTTGTTCGTTTTCATTCATCAGTTTAACAATTCGCCTCTACTTTCAGTCTACGCCAGGGACGGAGGGCTGCCTCCTAACTTTGCCAAAGCTGTAGTCCGTGTGGAGGTGCAAGATGTGAATGACAACACACCAGTTTTTGCAAAGTCATGGTATGGACTGGAGGTGCCGGAGAACCAGGCCCCTGTAGAGCTTTTCATTCTGAAGGCCACAGACCCTGACTCAGGTCCTGGGGGAGAGCTGGAATACAGGATCACTGGTAAGATTCAATGTCCAAGTGTTAGTTTTCAAGGTTGATTTAGTGCAGCAAAACTACCAGAATTGCCATTTCAGGGTGCGTCCAAGGTGAAAAAAAAATCTGTTTACTTTTCATTTTGGATGTTTTTTCAACCTTAAACAGGTCTAGTTTGAAGGCTTTCAGATGCATATGTTAGCTATTTTTTGGTGACATGTGAAGTTGATGTAAATGCATGTAGGTATAGAGTTGGTTTTACCTTGTAAGTTGAGAATATGAGCTGCAATTTGACTGATGTAAGGCTTTTGACAGGAGCCTATTCCCTCTAGATGAAAACTCAGCTAGCTAACATTCACATTCTTATAACTTTTTTATTTTTTCAAGCCTGTCTGGAGAATATTCAGACTTTGACTTAAGTGCAGATTTGGCTCAGATGTTCCCTTTTCAGGTCCTCATATTGTTCTTCTTTCTCTCCATCCAGGTGGGGACCCTGATGGAGATTTCCACCTCCACAGCAGCACAGGAGCGCTCTCCACCTCACGCAGCCTCGACAGGGAGTCGAAAGCTGAATATTCTCTGGAGGTGGTGGCGACAGACAAAGGCAGCCCTGCTCTCAGCACCACTGTGACAGTGGAAGTCAAAGTGCTGGATGTCAACGATAACAGCCCTGTCTTTAGTAAAGCGACCTACTCTGTGGAAGTGTCAGAGGACGCTGTGGAGGGGACTCAAGTTCTGGAGGTGAGGAGGATTAGGACTTTATCAGGAATTTTTAAGATTAGCGTGTCTGAAAATCTTATTGATATATTGTATATTCTCATATTTAAAGGTGGCAGCTGTAGATGCTGATGAAGACCTGAATGGAAGGGTTTTATATTTCCTGAGCAAAGAGGCACATGGAGCGTTCACTGTGGATGAAAATACTGGAGTTATCAGCACATCAGCACCTCTGGACAGGGAGAAATTGGCATCATACAGCTTCCAGGTGTTTGCTGTTGACCTTTCACCTGCTGCACCCAGGAACTCATCTGCTCAGGTAAAGACAATGCTGCTTAAACTGGATGTTTAAAAGAGACTTGCAATTATGATATACATGTTGGATTTAAAGGGATATTCCGGTGTAATATTAATTTAGGACCAAACACACCGTAACACTGGGTTAGACACCCCCTGGAGAAATAAATGTTGCTGACCGCTTGCTTCTCTAGTTATACCAACTGTAGTAACGACCGCAGGATAGCAATACACAGCGGTCTGAGGAGCCACACACAAACCTTAACCAAAACGCCACTCTATAGCCACAAATAATGCTCAGAACAGCACAGAACAGACTAAACACAAGTAATGATCATAAATGTTCTTCCTTGAGCTGCGTAACCCCACAGCAGTTGATGGACTCGCCGTTGTCTCTGTACAAACAAGTGGCTGCTGGAAGAGAGTGGGTAAGTTGTGTTTAGTCTCTTTGCTAAAGAAATTAGGCAAAGTTAAAAAGATGTTTGGTGGCTAATACTATGGCTGGGACCCTATATGTACTGTTGAGGAAGTTAGGTGCTGTTCTGAGCATTATTTGTGGCTGTAGAGTGGCGTTTTGGTTGAGGTTTGTTTATGGCTCCTCAGACCGCTGTGTATTGCCACCCTAAGGTCGTTACTAAAGTTGGTCTAACTAGAGAGCGGTGTGCAACATTTATCTCTCAAGGGGGTGTCTAACTCGGTGTTACGATGTGTTTGACCCTAACTTAACTTTATGCCTGAATATCCCTTAAAGAGTTTTTTTTTTCTGCTTATGGCCTAGGTGATCAGTTTTAGCATTTTTCTCATATGTGACCACTTCCTTCCAGGTGACGGTTGCTGTTCTAGACGTCAACGACAACACCCCCTTCTTTATCCAGGATCCTCTGATCATTGAAGTGTCCAGTAGGCGTTCTCAGCGTGTTTTAGCCACCATGAAGGCTGAGGATAAGGACTTTGGGGCCAACGGTTCTGTGTTTTACCGTTTTGCTATGCCAGTCAGAGGCTTCAGCATCAACTCACTGACCGGAGAGATCCAGGCGACTGAGCCACTGGGGGATCTGACCCAGGCTCAGAGGACCCTGATAGTGGAAGCCATGGACCAGGGCAGTCCTGCTCAGTCTGCTCAGGGAGTAGTGGTGATATACGTGAAGGAGGTGGAGTACAGTGGGATCCGCTTCTCCAGGAACGCCAGAGACATCAGCATACAGGAGAACGCTGCAAAAGGTCATGACACATCATTTTTAGAGATTGAAATTGTAATCTCACTCAGTTAGTCTCTGTTTACTGAATGTTTTTCTTTTTTGCTTCAAAAATTCAGGCACAGCTGTGGCTCAAACTCAAGCTCAGCATCCGGATGGCACTCGTAAGGGTATCAGTTACAGCCTCTTCAGTGGGAACAGAAAGCAGGCCTTCACCATCAACTCCTCATCAGGTGACACACACAATTCATCTGTTTTTTAAAATATCACGGTCTTGATTGTGAGTCTGAACTATTTCCACCGTCACACTGACAAAATCGCTTTTCTATAATTTAATTTTTCATTTGAATCTGTGTGTCCTCCAGGTGAAATCAGGGTTCAAAGCTCCAAGGGTCTTGACTTTGAAGACACTCCAAGACTCCGTCTGGTTGTCAAGGCTGAAACTGTGTCGTCTACGTCTTTTATGGCTGTAAACCTGATCCTGCAGGATGTCAATGACAACCTCCCCCGCTTCCAGCTGCAGAATTACGTTGCCTACATGAAAGAAGCTCAGGGCTATGAAATGCCGATCATACAGGTATTTTCAAATAGAAAATACGCACAGGTAGTCTGTCTTCTGTGGGAGTAAAATAATAAGCTCCCATATTCCTCCCTTTTTCTTCATTCGACCAGGTTCTGGCTGAGGATGTGGATCAGGGCCAAAATGGTCAGGTGACCTACTCCATCCAGTCATCAGGCATGAGCGGCCTGTTCAAGATTGATCCAGTGACAGGAAGCATCACCACAGCGGCCATCATGGACCGGGAGATCTTCACCCAGACCAAGTAAGGACAGAACTGTGGTTTAGTAAACCTCAACAGAAACTTTCCAAATGCCAAGTTAAAGATAGACATGTCTGTTTTTCTTCTGATGAATGCTTGAGCTGCGGCATGGTGTTGTTGGAATGAAGTCCGCTATATATTCACATAGTTTAACACAGAGAGGGAAAAAAAGTAGCGCAACTTTCCTCGTCATCACTCAGCTAGATTGTGTTTAGATAGCTGGTGAAGCAGTTAATACAGTGTGCTAAAGATATAAAAACAGTGCAAACAAAAATCTGCACACCAGATGTGTCAAAGCTGCATTTTCGAGCCCTATTTAGAGAAACATTTTCATTACTTTTGTATTTCTTTCATAACAATACAGTTAAAAAAAATGATTGTTTCATGTTAGCCCAACTTTTAAGACATTGTGTTTATACTTGTGAGAGATGTGAATACTCTTTGGACAACCTTATTTTTTCTGCCCAATCACAGGTTAGTAGTCACAGCAACTGACCGAGGAAGTCCTCGATTGGCTGGTTCGGCCACATTAACAGTGATCATCGTTGATCAGAATGACAACAGTCCCACTATACCCCTGCCCAAGGAAGTGCGCATCCCAGAGAGTAGGTCCTTTGTTTACGTATTTACCTTCTGGTTAAAATGGAAAATCTTTAAACCCACAGAAGAAATACTATCATGAGACAACCCCTTTGAAGGATTTCATTTTGTTTCGTCTCTTTCTTTTTCATTAGATATGCTGATTGGCACCGAGATCACTCTTGTGACAGGTAATGACGTCGACTCCAGCCCTGCCCTCTCCTACACCCTGCAGCTGGACCCGACAGCATTGGGCAAGTTTGGAATACATCGGTTCAGTGGCGGTGTTTCACTCACGGCCCCTCTAGACTTTGAGGAGAAGACATGGTACACCGTGACTGTCAGAGCCACCGACAGCCAGCACCAGACTGAAGCTAACATCACCATACTGGTGGAGGATATCAACGACAATGCACCTGCATTCACTCATGATCTCTATCAGGTATAGTGGCGAGTCGATACTCTGTCTGTACTGGTTTTCCAAAATGTTATGTAATGTAGACTGATAGGCTAGCTGTTATTTAGCAAAAGAGCACTTGATCAGTGGGAACTGCACTTGGCACAAGTTGGCCACTTTTGAACATAACACCTGTTCAGACACATGCTTTGGCTGAAATGGTTCATTACTCCTTTTTTCAGATCTTTTTTCAAATACAGAAATAAGTCTGATCAGTGATTTGTAAAATGGTCTTGAAAACAGACAAATAAAAAAATGGTGATAAAATCCAGATTGTCAATCTCCCACATAAATACCTGCCAAATCACCCACCCATGCTCTCACCTTAAAAGACAGTTGCGCAACTTTGATTTATATCCCTTGTAAGTGCTTCTTTTGTGGTTTGACTGTGTAACATATCCGCTATGAAACAGAATATCCAGTGTGTCTTTGCAGACTGCTTCCAGCTTGGGGCTGGCTAGGAAAATATGTTTTTCTTTTCGCTTAAATGTTATAACATTCACGGAAAAGGAGAAAATACTACTTGTTGACATTCCCATGTAAAAACTCACTTTGCATGCCAGTGCACACACAGTGGGGGTGATAAACTTTAACTGCACAATATTGACTGGAGAATAGTTGCAGAGATTGCTCGTATAATATGAGGAAATGACCTCAACATCAGCAGAAGTGTAAGAAAAAAACTAACTGTAATATAAAATGTGAATTCCCCCCTGTGGGTTACATATCTGTTGACCGGTTCACTTTAGGTTTGGGAATTTTATTTCAGTGTTAAGGCTGACTGACGCTGACTTGTTGATTTTACTCTCATTCTTAAATGTCTTTATGCGTCCCAAGGTAACTCTGCCTGAGCACACGCCGCCAGGAAGTGCAGTTGTCACAGTAACAGCAACCGACAGAGACTCTGGAGAAAATGGAAAGATCACCTACAGAGTGATGTCATCAACCCAGGAAGGTTTCTACATCGACCCTAACAATGGTGGGCAACTTTGGCACCATTAAGATGCCTGATTTAAAATCTTAAAATACCTTTTCAAGCATGATATTGTTTACCTTATCATTTTTCTGTTTCCAGGAACCTTGTTCATCAATCACAGGGCTGAGTTCGACCCTGAGCGTCCGTCAGTTAGTGTTGTTATCGAAGCTCGTGATGGAGGTTCACCTTCACTGTCCTCCCTCACCACCGTCCAGGTGCAAATCTCTGACGTCAATGACAATGCTCCCGTGTTTCACCAATCAGAGTATAGGTAAGTTCAACTCACCGGATTCCAGTGGTGTGGTATGACCTTCATAAATAGCTTTATTTATGTAATGTTCTTCAACCTGCAGGGCCACGGTCTCAGAGGATACCATCCCAGGGTCCACAGTTCTGACTTTCGATGCCTTTGACAGCGACCTTTCACGAGAAAACTGTGGTTTCGACTTTGCTATTGCCAGTGGAAATGAGGGAAACGCTTTCCAGATCGAGAGCAGCGTTCGTTTCCTGGAGGGGCGGGGCTTTCAGACAGTGGGGACGCTGCTGTTGGCTGAGTGGCTCGACTTTGAAACCAAGTCTCTCTACAACCTCACTGTGGTGGTGTCAGATCGTGGTGTGCCCCAGAGGAGTTCCAGTGCTGCTGTGGTTATAGCCATCGGTGATGTCAATGATAACCCTCCAGTGTTCACCAGATCAGAGTATACTGTATCACTGAGTGAGGGAGCTGCTGCAGGGACTGAAATAATACGTCTGAGTGCGACAGGTGGGCCGAAGTTTTCTGTTTTTACCCACTTTCTGTATTTTTCTATTCCTATTTTATTTTGTTTAATTATCATCATTTGTCATCCTTTTCCTAGACCCTGACTCAACTCCCAACGCTGAGGTCCAGTATACCATCAGCTCTGGTGATGAGGTCAACTTGTTTAGCCTGGACCAATGGACTGGAGCTCTGCGCCTCCAGCGTGCACTTGACCGTGAACACCAGTCCACACATATTGTCATCATCCAGGCTACAGATGGACAGGGTCACTTTGCCCTGGCCCCAGTCATTGTCGAAGTGAAAGATGTGAATGATAATCATCCATTTTTCCCTGTGGAAGTCCTGACAGCCAGTATCAGAGAAAACCAACCAGCCAACTCAGCTGTGACTGTTCTACACGCCATCGACCATGACACAGGGGTTTTTGGCCAACTTAAATACTACATGATGGAGCGATCTGGGACGGGAAAAGACAGCTTTTCTGTCGACCAAAACTCTGGAGAAATTAAGAGCAAAACACCCTTTGACTTTGAAAAGATCAACTCTTTTAACTTTGTCGCAGTAGCGGTGGATTCAGGCAACCACTCAGCCACTGTGACTGTTCAGGTGTTTGTCACAGGTGTAGATGAGTACGACCCACTTTTTATATCCTCTGATTTCTCTTTTGAAGTCCCAGAGGGAGCGAAGAAAGGCCAGAGCATTGGCCAGGTCCAAGCAAATGATGAGGATGAAGGGGTGGATGGCATTGTTCTTTATTCTCTTCCAACCAGCTCACCGTACTTTGATGTCAACAAAACCACCGGAGTGATTTTCCTTAAATTGGACAGTTCAGGCAGCAGCAGCAGCAGCAGTAGCAGTGGCTCTGGTCGTAGCAAAAGGGAAACCAGGCTTATGACCCTGGATGTGAAAGCTCATAGTCCTTTGGATGCATCCCGCACCACAACAGCCCAGGTCTCGATTGATGTCACAAACACCAACTTTGGCCTGGCTCCTGATGTTAATGTCCTGCTGATAAGCATCATCGCTGTATCTCTTGGTTTCATCATTTTGCTGGTGGTCATGGCCGTCGTGGTGTTCCTTGTGAAGTCTCGAAGGAGGAAGAAAGGCCAGGATGCAGGAAACAGGACTGTTGCTTCAGGAACTGCCCTGCAGAAGCTGGACGATTGCAACCCTGGACAAGGAGGGGACAGGATCTACCATCAGGCTTTGCCAGGCTATGCAGGTGATCAAGGGGCTGGTGGTGGTCCCTACACCAGAGGTGGCTCTCTGGATCCTTCTCACTCCAGTGGAAGAGGATCAGCTGAGGCAGCAGAGGATGATGAGATAAGGATGATAAATGAGTACCCTCGGGTTGCCTCCATTACCTCATCCATGCAGGAGCACATCTCAGCTAGAGGACCAGACTCTGGAATCCAGCAGGATGCCGACCAGCTTTCTGATATCTCCTGTGAACCTGCCGCTCTGGAGGGCAGCACTTGGTTCAAAGGAAAGAAACTTGGAGGCAGTCTGAGTGGAACATTGTTGTCTGGCCAACTCCCAGTGTACAGGGATGAGGGAGGTGGATACCTAGGTGTTGGACGTGGCCTCAACATCTCCCTCCCCAAGGATTATGCCTTTCCTGAAGATGGCAAGCCTTCGGTGGATGGTTCCCTCACAGCAATTGTTGCCAGTGATGAGGAGCTCCGTGGAAGCTACAACTGGGATTACCTTCTCAACTGGTGCCCTCAGTTCCAGCCACTGGCCAATGTCTTCACAGAGATTGCCAGGCTGAAGGATGAAACAGCCCAGCAGAGCCAGAACCCTCGCCAACCCTTCCAGACCAAGCACAAAATAGACCCCAAACCGAGGATTGACCCTCCACCACTCATCACGTCGGTAGCTCACCCAGGGGCCATGTCAGTTCCACCAAAGGTCCCAGTTATCGGACGGACATTCCCCCACTTGGCCTCATTGCGCAGGTCCCCAATCAGTCACGAGGGATCCATTTCATCAGCTGCAATGTCCCCCAGCTTTTCACCTTCTCTGTCCCCTCTTGCAGCTCGATCTCCAGCTGTTTCACCATTTGGGGTCAACCAAGGGCCCTCAGCCTCCATGATTAGCACCAGGGAGCCCTCATTAGACCAAAGTCCTGATCATGAGATGAGAATATGAAGGACAAGTTTGAAAACTGTTGAAGGAAGAAAGTACCTGTTGTCTTTTTTTCATGGAAAAAAAATACAAGGAAGAGGAGGGCATGGTTCTACAGTTATCGTCATGCAATCATTTGTGTCAAGTGTCTGATGTCATGGATTTTGGAGCAAACCCACTTGAACAAACTTAACCTCCTACTCGTCGAGTACTTTCGTTCTTTGAAGTATTTCCATGTGCCGGCAGTGTTACAGAGTTACACTAAAGTGAAACATGTGCCTGGGTTGACAGGACCATGTCAACAGTGACGCAGGTCTCCATGAACTGATCAGGGTGAAGGGGTAAACCAACCTCATGGGAATGTGCACTTACCATGCCCTGCAGTCAGAGATCCCTCAGTGTGTAGATAGATAGACGCGTAGTTTTCATGTTGCCTCACTGGCTGGCCAGAGAGCTGAGGACCCTGATCTACTCTTTGTGTCTGTGGACATTTTTACACCCCAGTATTAAACTTATCCAGAAGACGGTTTTTAAAACAGCCTCTGGATATGTGTGTGTGAGAGAGAAAGAGAAAGTGTGTGTGTGCATGTGAATCCCATGGACTGAAAGCTTGTGTGTGTTAGTGAAGACCTTGACCCATTTAATTGCTGTTGCAACATGTAGGAGCAATGAAGATTATTGTTTCTCTCATCAATTCACACATCTTTTGATTGTTCTAACTTTAATTTTTATATATTTTTTTAAAGAAATTATGATTTCACACCCAGAAATGCCAATATTCTACATGAAGAGGTTTTTGTTTTAGTGTATTTGCATATATGTATATTTGTATGTATGCAGGCTATGCTTTGTAATGTGTGTGTCATAGGGTTTTTTTAGAGATTCTTGTGACAGTTCTGATGTGAGTGAGAGGACAACTTTTGTGTTTTTAGCATTATTTATATGAAAAGAGGACTTGCTGCCATACTTCAACAATGGGACAAGAAGTACAGCTCACTCTTGGCTGTGCTGTACCTTAAGTTTTTCTTTTTTTTTTTTGTCAATATGTAGATCATCCCAAATGTAAGACAGCAACTGGATGAAAACCTGTGATCACTCTGCTCCTCCAGCAGGTCAGCACTCTGTTGTGGTGCGTTGTCATGCACAGCAGCACATTCCCTTTGTTATTCAGGGACTACCTTATTTGCTGATCACCTCTGTGTCTTTGAAAAAAAAAAGTGCTTCCTAAAATCAATTACACCGGTTATTAGCTGAAATGCATTTTACTGTGAAGTTTTTCATCTCAGCACAACAGAAATAGCATGTAATGAGTAGGCTTTGATTCTTTAAAACGTGAACAGATGTAGCACATGAGCCAGAATACATAAGCCTTGATGAATGTACAAGGATCTACCAACCAGTGCAGTAGTTTTTTTTTTCTATGTAGGTTTTCTGTTCTATGCATTTTAGTGTTATGGTTCGCTCATGCAGATCGTCACCGGTATGATGAGGTGTTTTCAGGCTTCATGTGTTTAACTCATCATCTGCACCTTCTGTATTTTCACTCATAGTTCAGATTTAGTTACAGCTCTCTGCTCGCGTAGCAAGAAGCAAAAGGCTTTAAGATTGTCATTCCTTCATGTGTATTTATCCTCCTGTCTTGTTTTTCATCTTTTGCGGTATTTGCATTGATTGGATGTCCTCTTGTTTTCAAGAGCTGACCTCTACCTCTGTATTTTCGTTCTCACATAACTCTACGAAACACCTTTCTCAAACCTGGCACTGAAAGCTACACATGCCACGAGCGCAACATACTCTTAACTCATTACGATGTTGTCTCAGAAACATTTCTGTGTTGGAGGAAATCCATTTGGAGTTCAGTTTGAGATGACTGCCAGTGACTGATCAGTGGAGTGATGGCAGGAAAACAAGAGCTGTTCATGTATTTAAAGCAAATAATAAATTCCTACTGATCTCTTTTGACAATTTGGAGTCTGGCGTTGTTTTTTCAGAATTTAAACCAAGACTTTTAGGGAAGGAATTTAAGTCTTAAAAGTTCAGAAGTGCGGTTGTTAATGGTAAGTTTGAAGAGCTGGAATGAGCTCTATGAATGACTATTTAAAAAAGAAGGGGTTTGGCTTAAGGAAGAATTATAACAGAACCGATGAGAAGACAGGGGCCTTCATCAAGTAAGGTCCCCATCTGGATTTTGAGAACCTGTAAGTAAATCTAAGCAGTAGCTCCAACTCAGCAGTATTTCCTGTGCATTGCAATACATGTATTTTATTGGAAAAACAAATGTGTAAATCAGAAATACCAATGGTTTGTTTACGTTGAAAAAGAAAACTGAAAAGTAAAAAAAGTAACCCTTTATATGATTTGTATGCAGACACATGTGGAGGGCATGGCTACATTTAAAACACAACTGTAAAATACAACAAATAAACCCTATAGGAAGTCTTTGAAATTTATGAAACAAACTGAAATTTACACAGATTTTTTTTAATGCAAAAGAGCAAAGAAGACTGTGAGACAAGAATGACAGATTTCATAGTGCGATTTTTGATGCCTGTGATTGATGCAAGAGGGTATAAGTCCATGAAGCTGCTAAAGAAAAAGGCTTTTTACTTTTCTACATAAAATTTTCAGGAAAAAATGTTACATCTGGAAGTCAACAAGATGAGATTTTTTGCCACAAGACACTCCCAAAGGATGCCGAGGACAAAATAAGCTTTGGTCTCAGCTTTGTCTATAGGGGGCGCCAAAATGAACAGTAAGCAAAAGTTACTCACAGGAGCTTGAAAGAGTAAGTGTAATTTTGCTCAGTAAAAAGTCATTATCTTAACCCACTGTTGTCTTCTAAACACTCAATGAGGCTTTTACATTACATTCACACCATATTCATACTCTGACTCTTGAGCTGCAGTGCAAAGTGCCCATTAGTACTGACTAACCTAACACACACTGCTGGCACAGCCACTGGAGGCAGTTTTGGTCCCATGTGAACAGAAGTATGTAGGATTGATTGAGGGATGACTGATTCTACCACAACACTGGACATCACATAAGATGTTTTCATTTAGACTTCAAAGTCTGGAAAAGCCCACCTTCAATTCTACTAATTGTCTTTCTTACCAACCAATGCCTTGAAAATGTTTATGTTATGTTTTGAAGAAATCTACAAGTTCAACAGAGGATCCACTTCTCCCTGCCTAAGTATATGATGTTGATGTAGCTGAATAATTCCAAAAAATGTTTATTTCATGTGGAGCTCAGACATGTTTGGATAGCTGCTCGGATTTCTGCCTCATTTAGTCATCACACAGAGCCGTGCTGTTTTCTCTGTTATTGTTATGTACTGAAGGAGCTTGATGTGAATTCTGACAAGGTGTAAGAGAAAGAGACAGACGTTGCTACAGCACAAGAGAGACTTGTAAGACTTCTTGTGGAGTGAGAGGTGATGATAAGTCGAACATCTTATATACAGACTGGATTACAGATGGCAGTGTCCTAAAATTCAAATATTACATTCAGTCTAAACCCAGAAGAAACAGCAGAAGTCTGAGGAAGATTACAAATCAAAATCTATGAAAACTACAGACAACTGAAGCTCTTCTGGCCATTTCAAGGACATATTAACAATCCTATGAAAAAAAAATCCCTCTGCCCTCACTTACACCTCAACACACAGCTGTGTTTACAGCCTGACTGCTTTTGGAGTCTACTCTTTCTCTAACCCCACACAGCTCACCATAATCACCAGCACACATGGAGGCTACTACACAGTGACACACATGGCCCACAACAATCTCCCCAGCTGACATTGGCCCGGCTCCAGCTCCTGCAGGCAAATACTTGGCAGGTTGTAATGCAGCAAAATCTGGGAGAAATCTGTCTGAAGCTGAAGTCTGTCCCCTAGAGAGTTTGTACTACATATGAAACGCTCGGTGTGCTGCTTAACAAAAAAACTAGACAGGATGAATCCATGAAAAGTGAATGAATCTTAAAAGTACCCATAACGTCTGGAAGAGTTGAAAGAGTTGCTCATTTCATTTCACACAGATCAGTTCATTTAGTTTCTGTCTTTGATTTTCTAGTCTGAAGGGGGCTTGGCTTTTCAGATAAGTATGAGGTCATTCACCTTTGTCGACCAATCAGCTTACAGAAACGTTTGATCTGAATGTGATCACAGTTGGTGGGTTAGTTGGGCATGCCATCAATAATCTCACCAAGCCCCTTTGACAAGGTTCAGAAAATGTACTGTATAAAGCTTATTTTTAAGGCCAAATCATTATTGTTTTTTAAATAACTACAGTATTTTTAAATTTAACTTTTTTTCCAGTTTAAGGGCCTGTGTCCACTTTTTCCACAAGCCACATCCCAAAGTGTTCACTAGCACTTACCCCCAATTTCCACCAAATCCAGAACGGCTACGAACAGGCCATATCCGCCAATCGCAGCTGATCATAACCATTCAAGTTAATGTGTCAATTTCCACCAGCTTCTTTCCATTCCGCTGCAGCTAGCCGGACTCCACAGCTGATTGCAAGAGTTCTATTTTTACCAGCGGTTTCAGGCGGATCGTATTTCACACCACGCAAACAGGTAAGGATGAACAACTGAAAGGTTTGTAGACAGCATTTCTCCCTGATGACACCATGGATGAGGAGATGCTGATTCTAAAAGTCTAGAAGTTGATTTTCTCCTCTGGAAGCACACAATCTATTGCTTATATAGTTATGTGGCTGTCTTTATAGAGACAACTCGTTATCGCGCGATTGCATGTGAATCCACAGGTTCTTGTGAGTCCTCGCGATTCCCGCTGTCCATAATCCACCACTAAATTCACCTCACACACAGATCCAGTAGGAATTGTTTGTCTTGTTTGAACTTAACCCTCAGTTGTTGGGAAAGCTTCACTTTTACTGCCAGATTTTGAAATTGTTGTTATTCGATAGCCAGAAAAGTCAGCCCATGAGTTTGGAGCAGAAGTTGAGGCTTTGGAAAAACTTTATCAAATAGTTTGGTTAATGTTGGTTTGTCTTATTCCTCATGAAAGGCCGCCGTGGGAGAGCAAAATAAGAAAGCCCGGTCTGCTAAGGACCTTGTTTCAAGAGCAGTGGGTCTGAATACCCTGCAGCTGCTCAATCTGGAAATCAAGCCTGTAAACATTATATTAGCCCTGGCCCTCACTGTAGATAGTATCCAGGTGCTCTTTCATTTGACTTTGATCGCTCCAAAGTTATTACATGATGAATCAGCACAAAGCTATAAATACAAGGCCACTTACTATAAATTCACTTGATATATAATGTAACATAAGCTAAAAGTTTGCATCCTTGCTGGAGTACATTTCACTGTAGGTTCACAATGACTGTGTAATGTAGAAAAACTGTACATGATTATACAATTTGTGTACAATTCTTGACACTCTAAAGGTAAAAACTGAGTCAGTCCCTGCCTCCTGTGCCATTCCACCTCTGCGTTTGACAGGATTCACAGAGGAAAAACTGTTCCTGGGGTTATTTGGCTCAAAGCCACTGGACTTCTATTTTTAGAGATTTTCACTTTTTTTTTCTGAGGTGTCAAGCTGAGAAAAAAAATGACAGTGGAAAGGATCCAGCTGAGTCAGGGTAAGCCTGGTTCTCATTTGTGCTGACCTTGCATTACAGGGCTCCCTCACTAGTGTCACTCACACTTCAGACCGCTGCAGAGGAAAGGGGATTGAAAGGATGGAGGCCTCAGCTGGCCAAATATGGTTCATTTGTTTTGATTTACATGTTCAGTCAGGATCTTTGTTATTTTACCAAACTAGAGGCCAGCTTTGAAAAAAAATCAAGTTATGCAACATTCAGATGTGGAAGAATAAGACCACAAAATTATTAAACAGTTCAGATTTGATCAATTCTTTTCCACATGGTCAGTTCTGGGCGGCAGTAGCTCAGGAGATAGAGTGGCTGGCCATGAAGGTTGACGGTTTGATTCCCCTCCGATCCCGAGTCTGTTTGTTGTTTCCTTGGGCAAGACACTTCAGAAAGGCCTCAAGATGGCCTGGTTTTACATTTCATGTACTGAAAGGGCTTCCAGAGAGAACCTTTTTATGTTTTGCATACTGGGGGGCTGACAAGAGGGCTTTTTTTAAAACCTTTTATTATCTGGGAGGACATCCAGAAGGTACTTTTATGTTTTACATACTGGAAGAGCATCAAGAGGGCACCGTTGAAACTTTTATATTAAGGAACTTTGGAAAGCACTTAAAAGCACTTTGCATGAGGGAAATCAATCCACTTGGTTACATTCACTGTAAGGGAATCCCAAGAGCACTTATTACGTCACATGTACCCCCCACCACTGTTCATGGATGCTGTAGCATTTGAAATTAGTGGTAAGCCTTTGTAACCAGGCTATTAAGTTGAACAATGGAGACTGATGATTACCACAATGGTTTTTCTAATGTTTGAAACAGCTGCAGTGGGGTAGGTATCATGAGAAGACATTATGAGAAATCTGCCAAATCTGCCTCCCACTAATAGCTACTATGTATGGTGTGTGCAATGTTCAAGCCTTAACTTCATCTGTCAGCTCCTCCAAAATGTCAAAACACAAACAAGATAACTCCTGCCTAATTTTCCAACCATCAATTTTTTCTTCACCCAGCCTAAAAGTCCTGATTATCAGTCCTGGGTCCTTGGCAATGACTGTTGGGTACAAACAGCCCAACCTGTTCTGCAGGTAGGGCTGGGCTTTTCATTGACCATGTGGGTTGAATAGTTGTGTTGGCAAAGTGTGTTGTCTCAGCCACTATGTTTTCTGCGGTTGTGTCTATAAGCACCTTCATAGCTCAGTTGGTAGAGCACATGACTGGAAGAAGTTCCTGAAATGCGGTGATGCAAACATTGCTCGTTCAACTCCAGCACAAAGCACCAGATTTCATTGGTGTATGCACTTTTCAACCCTTTTCATTGACCATGTGCGTCCAATAGTTA